GTGTTATATTTGCTTTTATTCCAAGTTATGTATCAAATTTCATTTAAATCCCTCCATAAATAAGAAAGTTGGCACTGCGCATGCGCAAAACCAAATTTGGAAACTGGCGTTAAATTTGCGTTTATTCCAAGGGGCGAGATATCGTGCTAACGGACGGACAGACACCGCAAAATTATAAACTCGCTAGGAGCTCGTTAATAAAGGTGCAGACTTGAAGTATATTCTTAAATAATAAATTCAAATACAAGAAGTGTAATAATTGCCTTGGACATTAAAATTTTTGAACTTCATCAATGAAATTATTGTTTAGTTAGACGGATCTAATGTGTATGTTTGCCAAATCGTTCAAAGAATATTCTACAAAATATTGTTGATGGTCAGGGTTGTTCTACTGGTGGGAATAAGTTGTCAGTAAAGGATTGGCGTACTAAAATTTGATGCGGTGTGTCAAGGGCTTTAAATTTAGCTGTACCCCGGAAAACCCACAAAAGGGCACTTACCGTTCGTGCTCAGCAAATTGGTGTTCTAAATACCTTTCAACATTTTTTTACACTTACACAACTTCATTTGATACCACGCTCATTCTTATCTAGGCCAAATAATTGAAGTGGGTAGCCAAAGGTTAGCCCCGATTGATCTTTTTCAGTTTCTCCACCACCAAAGATATTTTTCCATAAAGCAACCGCATTAGTTATTTTATTTATTTATTTATTTACGTACTTGTCGATGCTTATTTGACATTTTTTTACACAGGGCAAAGTTACTCAAATTGTATAAAAGTAGACCAAAGGAAGACGTATTAGCACACTTTTATTATTCAATATTACCCCCATACCTATTTAATTTAATTCACATTCAAAGAGACTCTTTGGTTCACCCTAATACGGTAATTTAGAGTCTATGAGGCTAGTACAGTTTTAAGATCTACGAGTATGTGAGTTGCCTACGTTTCCATGAAACTTTAACCTTCTGGAAAGTTTAATTTGAGTAAAATTACGCCTACGCTTATTGGGGTAAAACAATTTTGAAAGTCATTTTTTAACCTGCTCATTATTAATTATTTTTATTATGATTCAATCAAATTTTACAAATAAAAAAATTCGTTAAGCCGCTTGTGAGCTTGTTTTTTCGATTTTAATAGCCCTTATGGACATTTCGTGCCTTAACGAGAATACAAACATGAAATAATTTTTAATTTCTGATCGAATGGCACTAATACGAAGTCTGTAAGTAAGGAGCCTTTGTGACTCAGACAGACAGACATCATCAGGAGCGCAAAAGTGCACTTTTTATTTTTTGAAAGTGAAAGTGCACTAAAAACAATCCGCGAAAGCAATTTTCAGACTGGCCCGACATGTTCAATTTGCCACTGCCACTGCTAAATTTTTCCTCCAATCCCCTTTTACGTGAAGTTCTACACTGTGAATTAACTTCCGTATAGTTTTTTACGAGGTCTTTATGTATACATTTGTGTAAGGTTAAAAAAATTTAGTTTTCTATCGTTCTTACATTATTTTCCAATGTAGCAGTCGCATTTTATGAATGTAATGATTAATCGTTACCAGCTTAAATTTAACAGGTGGTGAAACTGAGATTTAATGATGGATTTGCGTACCCTGATAGTGATTAAATCAATAAAAATAGTAAAATGAATTTCCATATTCTAATGGAACCCTTTCCTGTGGGAAATAAAAAAAAGTTGTTTTATTTTTCTAATTACTTTCACTAAGTAATCAAAAATATGAGTTAGTTATAGCGGTTTTAATCACCCAAAACAAGGGCTATCCTATCGCCAGAAGCGCGTAACGAATGGTCCACAACTACGCCATTTAGTTGTCGATTTTTGAAGAGGTTAATTTTTGCAATCATTTTGAACTGATCAAAGTGCTTAATAAAAATTAGGAGAAAATTTTGAATGCTTGATACCCCCTTCTTCCTACCTTTATTTTTTCGTTCGTCTTCTTTTTTGGTGTTATTGTTATTGTTATAACTAATTCCGCTTAGTATATCTGGAAAGAGAGCGAGATGTTATTTATAGAAAAACGGAAAATTGCATACCGTGACTGTTGATGAAATTAGCGAGATATAAATCCAGCTCTCGAACGGACACGTTAATGTGATAGGGGTTAACGCATAATCCCGGTTGCGAACAGTCGGGGTTTTTCTCTAAACGTTCGCCGTCCGTACTTTCGAGGGGGATGGCTTTGAACAAGATGACCATGACAAGATCGAGACGCCACACTTTATCTGCCTGTCGTAAACAGTCTATGCGGCGCATTTTGCCTTTTTGATCAGGATTTGATAAGACACACACTGCAGGTCTTTTGCCTGTAATACTTAGCACAAAGTCCTCGCGGCACTCTTGTGTAATGTCCTTGCGTAACTTTCCCAAAAGTCGCGATGCCCACTTTTGTTTAACTTCGGATTTTTCGTTCTGTGTAATGAAATGGAGCGAAAATTAGTAGGGCGTCGATCGTCGTCGTTTAAGGGTTTTTACCTGCAGAGCTTCCTTACACTGACGTTCCTCCTCCAGGGACATTCGTTTCTCGTGTTTTTTGTAATATTTTCTTTTAGCCGCCTGTAGGTTGAACCACGTGTAAGAGAAGGACTTGACGAAAGGCAGTAGCGCCTCGATGAAGGGGTGGAACTCGTCCTGGTGACATATACATGCACTCATCAACGTTCATTTAAATCAACCGATTGTGTGAAAGTGTTATAGAAGCAAACGTAATACACAGGTGATACAAACAGATCTTTAAAGATTCGATCAATTGTGATTTAAATAGAATAAGTAGCAACGGTAGGTGAAGAGTAAGGAACGTATAGTGGAGTGGACAATGAACGGGCTAAAATGCGGGCTTTGCGACTCGCGGCTGGGGCTATCGCCATCGCCCGGCTTTGGTCACGTACAACTTTGCATGCACACTACAACAATTGCATCACATAAACAACAATCAAAGACAGTGCACCCATAATTCGATGCATTTTAATGACTCGCGGATCTCATTTTAATAATGACATTTAAATTATAAATATAGGTGTCGGGCGGGAAGAAATTTGTTAACAGCTTGAAATGGAAGCGTCGAAATGTCACACACACATCAACTCATGCTATAGCAATCCAGCAAATGGACTTTGGCTTGTCTACGAATTAGAATTGTTAGAAATGTTCGTCTTTAAATTTATTTTTATCCGTTTATTTTTAGCCGCTAGCAATGAGAAAATGAGAGCCGAGCAGCAATATATAGCAAACAGCAACAACACAACAGAAAGGTATGACTGCAACAACAGAACATCAGTCAAACATCGAGGGCCAGCGGGGTAGATGCGGCCCAGCCGCGACTGCATCCACCCGAGCCGCCAAAACAGAACATTGAGGTTAATCATGTTAATTACATATCACGCCGCGGGGGAACTAGGAAGGGTAGCAGCGGTTAGGCACCTGTCCCGAGGACGGCGTCTGCAGGTACGAGGATACATCGGGCTCCACCATGCAGCTACGCAGCGAATCGGGGATGAACATTCCTCAGGGTCACCGGCCGGCGCCGTGGTGCGCGCCTTGTCCCATCACCAGCGTCTCTTCACAACGCCACCGCAGGAAACAGACGTATTTTTCATTGATTTCGCACTGCGCACTGCAGTCTTGTCAATAGTTCGATTTCACGTCACATGCCAACATAAAACGCACCCTTTCTACCGCGCGATAGCCAAGTACTTATGCTTACTATTAATAAAGACGCCAACTCTCGGTGTATTTATATTTTGCTACGCTGGGGGTGCCGGCTGGGATCGTTTTATGCCCACGAAACATGTTGGTTTCGAATAGCTTCAAACGGATGACTGCCGATAATATCAAAGCTTTGCGGCGACGCGAACGGCGCACCGCGACGCTACTACCACCGCACTTCTGACGATCCTGCTTCTCTGGGTAACGATCGGTATTGCATGTGCACCATCGCAGATTTACGACGATTTGCTCTTAGTCGACGCTTCGCATCCCAGATCCCAATTATAGAACGTAAACACCTGCCTTTCGATATAAATAATGCTACACCACCAACACTATGCTGCCACCAAAAATTCCTCTATTATACCTATCGGTTATCAATTATCCTTGAAACTAATTGCAAAACTAATCCGCATTCCCAAAGTCGTATTTTTGTTACCTGAGGACCAAAAAAGAAAACCGAAAATCTCCTCCAGAAGCGTCTTGATGCTATTTCGAGGTACAAAATCGGTGCGGTTTAGCGAAACAAAGTTTTTTATTATCCAACTTTCATAAGAGATACGAAATTAAGTTTGTCTTTCAACTAGCTTCTGTTCTGTTATAGAACGTCCAAAATAACTTTTCTATAAAAAGAAATTTTCTTGATTCGGCCAGGCAACTAAAACGATTTCTATTTCCTGTTCAGCAGGAAATGAACAAACCTCAACGTAAATAAGTGGCGTAAATACCGCGTAACATTTGATTTCTTTATTGATCAACAATAATACATGTGCGATGGCTTCCGTCAAAGGAATGTGCACCAATATACAACATTTAAAATAAAAAATGAAAAAGGAAAAAAAAATCTGGAAAACTGATCAATACAAATTGCCGTACTTCGACTATGACAAAACGTATCGTATTGTGTCTGACTTTCGAAACAAGGACGTTCCACTGCCTAAAACGCATCATAAAAATACTTACAAAAAAGAGATTACTTACCTACTCGAAAATTATTAGTCTCCGAGTTTATGTCCTCATCTGAGTAGCCTTTCATTGCCTTCGTTGCCACAGGCCCCATATAGTTATTTACGACTGCAAATTCCATCAGCGACAAAAATACAAAAACGGAACAACTCGACATCCAGACATCGATAGCTTTTACGTAGGAAACGGGAGGAAGAGACTGCTGAGATTGTGTGTTCTGCGTAGCTAGCAAAAATTGATATAATTTCATCAATGAGCGCAAATTACAATACCTAAAGTCAATAGGGAAGTTACGCCCAGCGTCACTCTCGCCGGTATTGCTTCCGGTTTAATCCAGAACGATATCCAAGACATAACAACTATTAAAGCTGACGGTATGTAAGTGTGAAATAGATGATAGCCCAGTCTACGTCGTAAATTAAAAACAATCGCCAAGCACGTGAAGTTACCTAGAATTTGAGCATCGTAAAATTCGCTGGGCAAAATTTTGAAGGATGTACCCGTTGAATATTCGATTGTGCAGTCGGCTGTGTAATTATTCGAGATGTCGAGCTGAGGAAGTTCAATATCAGGGTTTACTACCAACGGATTAGTTACGTTCCATATAAAAACCAAGTCGTGATCAGTATGCGACACTGCAATTTGAAAGATAATAATCTTTTATGTAACATGTAGCTAATTGGGTGCCTCGCGTAAAGCCCCCGGTGGGGCTCCGCTGGCAGCCCTAATAAAATGAATATATATATTAAAGTGGAACCTATAAGAATAAAGATAAACCTATGACAAAAATAAACAATTTTATGCCTCCCATTAATAGTTATTTATAATAATCAGAATTCGCTATTGCCCCACCAGATATAAAACATCCAAAAAGGACAAAATTATATATAGCTATATTTCAAGCGTATTCAACACAGAGCTGGGCAGTATTCGATTTTGTAAATACTTTTTAGTATTCAAATCCTTTAAAGTATTCAAATACTTTATAATTAAATACTTTTATGGAAGCAGCATTTGTATTTGTAACTCAAATACTTTCACAAATATTTAGTATTCGAATACTTCGCAAGGTATTTGAATACTTTGAGAAGTATTCGAATACTTCGCATAGTATTTGAATACTTAACCTTCCTTTTTTACCAAAAATCGACTGCACCAAAATTTCTCGGGAAAACACTTTTTCTTATTAATTTTGGTGCGTAGAATCAAAAACAATTCGTACTTTTTCGATCAGACTTCTCAATCAAAAGTTATAGACTAGAAACCAATTTCGAAAGAAAATTCAAAGGGCTGTAACTTTTGAACTAGTAGCCCAATATTGGAACTGTTTGAAATTATGGATTCTACAGGCCACATTCTATAAGAAAATTTTTTTTCCGGGTCGATCTGAGACAATTTTTTTTTCGTGCCTCAAAAAAAGGCAGTGTATAACCTTCCTTTTTCCCAAAAATCGACTACCCCAAAATTTCTCGGGAAAACACTTTTTCTTATTAATTTTGGTGCGTAGAATCCAAAACAATTCGTACTTTTTCGATCAGACTTCTCAAAAAAAAGTTATAGACTAGAAACCAATTTCGAAAGAAAATTCAAAGGGCTGTAACTTTTGAAATAGTAGCCCAATATTGGAACTGTTTGAAATTATGGATTCTACAGGCCACATTCTATAAGAAAATTTTTTTTCCGAGTCGATCTGAGACAATTTTTTTTTCGTGCCTCAAAAAAAGGCATAACCTTCCTTTTTTACCAAAAATCGACTGCACCAAACTTTCTCGGGAAAACACTTTTTCTTGTTAATTTTGGTGCGTAGAATCCAAAACAATTCCTACTTTTTTGATCAGACTTCTCAATCAAAAGTTATAGACTAGAAACCAATTTCGAAAGAAAATTCAAAGGGCTGTAACTTTTGATCTAGTAGCCCAATCTTCAAACTGTTAGAAATTATGGACTCTCGATCGATCTCGATCTCAGACAATTTTTTTGCCGGCCTCAAAAAAAGGCAGTACTTTTAAGTTATTCAAATATTTGAGAACAATTTAGAAATGTTTAGGGAAAGTTTCCATTGTCACAAAATCAAATATAAAAATCCATATACCATCTGAATACCGAATTCGATAGTCTACGTAACTTAAAAACAATAGGATTTAATTGCTATAAACAACAGCGTAATTTTATTATATTTTGAGATAAAGGGATGTTTTAACCATTGAGTGAATTAATTTTTACGGGATGGCTAGTTTGCCTTTATCGTCGTGTATAAATCGCAACTTTATTTTATAGCAGAAGCCATAGAAATCATTATAAAACTTCTGAAAGGTATTTAATTTAGACGTTCCAAGCTTATAGGTTCTCCCGTCGTTTCTATGGGAACAATATTGTATTCTGTTCTGAACTGCATTTTATATCGTGCTCTGCGTCTCATTTTTAATAAGAATGACAGATTTCATTAGAATGCACAATACTTGTTTCTCTCTGCCCTTACGGTTAAAAAGCCATTGTCTACTCATTCAAACCTATTAAAATATCAATTTAACCTTTGCCATAAAATAAATGAACTTAGTTTTATCATTTGCTTACTAACTTATTATTTACTCAACTTACTCAGTAAAAAATACTAACAATACAGTTGGCTATTTAAAAGCACTGACATATGGCATTTTTCTGCAGGTCAAAAAATATCCTCTTTTATGGGGACCGACAAGAAATCCAAATTTCAATTTTTAGAGACAAATTTTACAAATGTTTTAGACGATTTTCATCAAGATTTCTAATTTTTGTTGCCAAATTATCCAAATCCAAATAAAGCGACAAAATATTCTACCAATTTGGAAACTACGATTCCATATTGTCTTGTTATAGATTTATATGTATGGATGTTTTGAAAGAATAAGGTCTTAATCTCGCAATAGAACAATGAACAAATATTAGTAACGGCGCAAGAAATGCGGGAATAGTGACAGAGTTTGCGAATGCTAATAAATCAGCTTCTGAATTCATCTCCTCAGAGCGGTTGTCACTCCTTCAAGAAATTCAATGACACATGGGGTTGTGTCAGGTGTGATACGTCATGTGAAATGTTATCTACTGCGCATTTATAAAATTGCGCAATTGTCATTAGATCCCCCCCCCCCCCATAAAGCTAGTAAATTAATTCTCTATATGAGTTTATCGGAAATTAATTATGAAAATATGGAGGGAAGGGAGGGTGCACCTGCTTTTAGAGATCTGAAAAGATCATCAATAATTGGTATTAAAAAGTTCCTGATCAATTATTAAAATATTTCCTCAAATCAATTTTATTTAAATTAAAAATTTCTAAAGATTAGAAATTATACTTCCCCACCTTCACCTTCCCCTCCCATCGCCAACCATGGTATCCGGGGTTGGCTCTTAATGGCGCAGTATTAGATTGCACAAGAAAATCTGTTTTGTATTTTTTGATTGCAAAAGTAAAAATCCTCCATTGTTTTCTTATTGAATCTCTAGCCTCAACCTCCGGAACTCTAATCGGAAATGAAAAATTTTACCAAGAAATACTCTCTAATATTGCTGTCACTTGAAATATATAACAACCTTCTTAATTGGCACATTTCTATATTTATAAAAGTGCGTGTTTGCGTTTTGTCCGTCTATCCCTTCGTTCGGACACCGATTGATCCTTATTAATCCTTTTTTGAAACTTCTCTGGACAAAATCTCACAAATTTGTGTAACTTCCTTTCTAAACTCTTGGAAACCTTATGGAAACTCGTAACCTTCTTTAGGTTAGCTCTTCTCTAAAGTCCTCTAAAACCCACTAACGCTCCCAAATTCCATAGAGCGTTACAAAACTTTTTCAAGTTCTATGGCATCCTTTAAAACTCTGTAAACTTAAATGAAACTGCGGCACTTTTTTAAGCTCTGTAAACTATATATATATTACACTGAAAATGCCTCAAACTTTTTATGGCTATCCAAGATCCCGTATAACTTGTCTGAAGCTCTCACAAACCGTCCGAGACTATCAAGGTTTTGTAACCTTAAAAATGGGACACATTGCTGTAGATTTAAATGAGCCATAATCGGTGAAATATCTCCAGAACGTCGACTTTAGCTTGGAAAGATTCAGAAATTAAAACTTCTAGCTCTGTAATCACTATGTCTAGATGATGCTGTAATTTTACGAATGTGGATTCGATTTAAATAATTTAGATAGAATAACCAGGAAAATGTGGAGGAAATCTGTCGAAAGAAGAAATTTATTTAAATTGTTGTCTAGCTGAAGAAACTCAGTATCGGGATTTATAGTTACATTCCATATAAAAACCAAGTCGTAATCCCTATGCGATACTACAGTTTGAAAGATTAATATGATAATGATATCCAACCCGAGCGCCCCGCCCTACATAATTCACAACCCTACAGCCCGATTATAATGAAATACAATTGCATTTCAGGGTCGATGAGCAAACTCGTACTTTTATAGTTATGTTACTGTCTAGTCTACATATACTGTAGAAGTATTTTTCTGTCATCATAAATTTGGATTTATTTTTTGTATACTTACAGCTCTCTATCATCATGGAACATATTTGCGTATCATGGGGATACGACTCAAATTTCATGGCGCAAGATAATACGAGGGTTAACCTGAAAATCGACGGTTAGCGATCACTGAATAGTCTTAATGACATTTTACTTGGACATGTACAGCAATGTTTTGTCATGGTACAACCATAGATAATGGTTTGGAATTGTCATTTCGTGAAAAGTGACACTTTTCGCGTTTTTGAAAAAACAATCCGGTCTCCAAATGCTGTGCAGCCAATCGACGTCTAAAATCCTATATTCTTCACTCATGTTCTCTGGGAAACGTAAGCGCGGATCTTGCCAGCTTTGTGCCAGGAATATGTCTGTTACATAAGTCTACTGAAAAATGAAATTCAAAAAAAAATTAGATAAGTACCTTTACTCAGCTACGAACAATTAAAAAATTATCCTTCGACATGTAGAAATACCGAATGCGGATGTTGGGTTGCAAATGCGTGTCACTTAAATGTGGATTTTTTTCAAGACCCGATCTACCCCATACCAAGGAAGGGATATTTGAACAAACGGTTATAAAAAGTGTCTATATTAATATCTAAAACATTGCACTTATGGAAATGTATTACGGATATTAGGTACCTATATAAGACAAGCATGCCACGTTTTCCGACCGGAAATCGTAACTGATCGCCGTTATCTTGAAAAAGGGTGGAAATTGTAAGTGATATTGCTCTCATCTCCTGAACATCATGTCCAATACTAAATCCAATTTAAATAATTACTCAAAATGTCAGGAATTTCTGACTCTTCACAGTTATGTTTTACCATTTCACCGTAAACGCGACCTTCGCCTCGCGCCCAAAATTTATTTATTATTTATTGTATTTACATGTAGAGACGGACAAAGCACGGGCAATAGTGTTAATTTTTTTTAATGCGCTAAAGAAAAATGCGCTATAAACGTGAAAATTCTTCTAGTCTAAAAAGGTTTTTTATGTAATTTGTAGTCTGTAGGTATGCACTTTCAGATGTTTGAGTTTGAGTGAGAGCGTGTGTCAAAAAACAAGCTGGGTCAATTGTACCTCCTATGCGAGAAACTAATCCACATACAAGTTTTTTTCAAAATTTTTGGAAAATAGACTCAAAAAATAATCAACCCCTAAAGCAAATCTAAAAAAAGTGACAGAGCACCTCGGTGTGACCCTACGGAGTCATTGAATATTTGTAATAGGTTTCTTTATAGTAAAGTTAGGGGTCAGAATGAGATGGGGGTATTTTCTGCCTGTACAGACCTACAAGGTGTCTAACGATGCTGTCGGCTATTATATAGGAAACTCATTTTTGAAAAGTTGTACATTTATTCAATAAGGACGTTTCAGCAATTGTTTTTCAGTTTTATACGAAGCGGTGCCGGATCAGGTTTTGGCGCCTTATCACTTACCATTGAGCTCTAATTAATAAAACACCGTACATTTTTGAGAGAAACTACACGAAATTTTAAAAGCGCTGCGCTACTTAAATTTTAGAAAAATGCTTTGAATAGTGAAGTCTTTCACTCAACGAAGAATAGAAATACCTACATTTATTTATATTGTTTCCAATTCTCGCGTCAAATTTAGCTATGACATAGGATACAAGTCGTAGAAATGATTGCGTCTTAGAATAAGGGTGCAAATGCTGGTCACACTAATACAGACTATTGTATAGATCACAAATAAAGTATTATTATTATTATTATTAGTTTAAATTGCAGCCTTTTCCTACCGCTGTAGCTTTGTTCTACAAGGGCCATTCAGAAAGTAGCAAGCAGAAGTTTGAAATAAAAAGTTAAGAAAGTGTAAGAAACAACTTTTATTATATACATTTGGAAGCTACACTCTTAGGCTATTTTTCAACATAGTCGCCATTCATATTGAGGCGCTTATCATAGGGTGGTACAAGTGTTTTGATTCAAACTTTGTATACCTCCGCCGTCTGTGGGGGCGTCAGAAGTGGGTACCAACAAAGGGAATGTGGTAGCCCCCTGACAAGATCTTATTGATTGTGGAGTCAAAACTGGCTAATAAAACTACTGATCTGCCACACAAAAATGCGCTGAAATCCCTTGGATGTTCCGTTCATCCTAAAGGACCGTAAATTTAGTTTTAATTATATTTCACTGCACCCTGTGTTCGTCTTTAGCAAACTATTAGAATTTAACCGCCGTTCTTGTCTTTTATGACTGGCCTATACGGTACACCGCGATGCCCATCCCGACTTAGTGCCCTCGGTGCTTCAGCGCCTCCGGCACGCCCTCCCCCATTCAGAGCGCGGTGCCGCGGCACCTTTGGCACCTACCTAGTTACGCCACTGCTTCCCGGTTATAACCGGCAGTTGACTCACTCCGTTATTTTAAATGCGATGCTCCTTTTTAGCGCATTTCAAAATTTAAAAAAATGCCCTATTGTGGCCACTTTGTCCGTCCGTCCGTCCGTCCGCTCGTTTTGCGACGCTACTAGTTCTTTATCTTAAGAGCTATTGTTCTACTTTTTTCGCTATTTGGTTCGTTATGGTGTCGAGTCTTGTACCAAGGAAGGAATTTTTTCTGTACCGCTTACAAAAAAAGTTATTGTAAAAAAAAAACAAAAAACCGTTTTTTACATGTTCCATAATTTTACACTTTTGCCGTTTATTAACGATCCTAGAGATCGTTTATAATTTTGCATTGCTGTCTGTCGTCTGCCTGTTGGTCTGTCCGTCTGTTCCTTTGTCTGTCTGTCCCTCTATCTGTCCCTGTGAACGATAACTTTGTTTAGAAATGTCCGATCGCTCTTACATCTCCGTTAGTTATGAACTGAATTGCATGAAATTCAATATGGGCATAGCTTTAGCCATATAATACGCAATGCCAAAAGTTTAGTCGAATCGATTCAACATTCACAGTGCCCTTTTCGCATCTCGACCATTTATAAACCGAATTGCAAACTTTTTTAATTATAAAAGTATTTAAATGAAATTTTATACATAGCCACTTGGAATAAAAGCAAATTTAACGCCAATTTCAAAATTTGGTTTTGCGCATGCGCAGTGTCAACTTTCTTATTTATGGAGGGATTTAAATGAAATTTGATACATAGCCACTTGGAACAATAGAAAATCTAACGTTAGCTTCAAAATTTAGGTTTGCGCATGGGGGCAGTTATGGGCAAAAAAATTCCTGTTTTTAAAATTCTTATTTTCGTCGTTTCCTGAAAGGCAGGACGCAGGTACCTCACCTCAGTAGCAGTACTAAATACCTGTGATACCTATTTGTTATTTTGGGCATCAATGTAGCGAATTGCCGATCGATGCCGAATAGCCAAATCGTTGACTACCAACACTGATCACTCACTGAATAGTCTGGATGCCAAACTGGGATTTTTGGCTTAACCTGGAAGTGAGGTACGGTGAAGGTTTTTTGACGGTTTTTAGTTCGTAAGGATGTCTACTTTGAGAATCCGTTTGATGCCACTCTGTCACTCTTGAGCATTTTGAGAAATTCAAGATGGCGCCCAAAAATGTCTGCAAAAAATACAAAAATTAAATTTATTTAAAAATATAAGCATGTAGCACATCGATTTTAGGGTTTTTAAGCCTTCTGAATTTAAATTTTTAGTTAAAAATATGTTTGGGGGAGTTTTGGAGGAGTGGGGGGTGTTTTTGAGGTTGGTTTTTATATTTTTTCAATATTAACTTGTCGTACATCGATTTATATGTTTTTATGGATGAGGATCCCGAATTCCATATCAAAATGGAGTTACAACAAGTTATTCAATGTTAAAAAAGTAGAACGACGCCGACAGACGGCCCGAAAATTACATAAAACGCGCGGTGCGCCGCGCCCGCGCTTCACAACGACATCATTTTAATAAAAGGATAATAATTATAACAAGTGCGATACGTCTTTTTATAGGTTTTTTGGGGTGGAGATTACAATTTTGATGTCAAAATATGATTTTTGAATACATCCTAGAAAGATATACAAGATAGCGTCAAAATTTAGAGTTAAACAGTTTACCTCACAGTTTACCATTTACTCCAATACACTTACTTAAATATCCCCATCCCACATATCCCATCTTGTAAAAAATATACTATCTAGTCCAATATACCCCTACCTAAATATCCCCATTAAATGTTTTTTTATTTTTGGTAGAAGTCAAAATTACTGGTTGAGAGAGACGTATCAGTTGTTCTGTTAGAACATAACGTCTAGCAGAATGTTTTCCTCGGCTGGTTCTAGTGGATGATTTAATACTGTAATCGTAGTATTTATCAAAAATTAAAATCACATCTGCTTCTCGTGAATAAGCAACAAGTTTATCAACAAAGAGTTTTAGGTAATCAGAAACCGTTCCTCGAACTGGCCAGTGTATTACCCAAAGCATTGCACATCCATCAATTATTGTTAAAGACGGTCTAGTATTTAGTCTCTTAGAGTGGGAAACAGCCAGTGAATTCATATGAACCGATTTTGTTGATGCTTCCTTTATCGATCCATCATCATTAAACATTGAAGGAGGCGCCGAAGATAGTTCGTATTTCAAAACTTCCCCTATATCAATGTTCCTGAAAAAACAAATACTGAAAGAAAGTTAATATTGTAACTGTGAAAATTACTACTAAACTAACCAAAACTTTTGTTTTGATATTAGTAGAGTTATTTGCACAATTACACATTGGGATATGTCGGATAAGGGTATTGGAGTAAATGGTAAACTTTTTAACTCTAAATTTTGACACTATCTTGTACCTATATCTTTCTAGGATTTATTCAAAATTCACATTTTGACATCAAAATTGTAATCTCCACCTCAAAAAACCTATAAAAAGATGTATCGCACTTGTTATAATTATTATCTTTTTATTAAAATGATGTCGTTGTGCAGCGCGGGCGCGGCGCACCGCGCGTTTTATGTTATTTTCGGGCCGTCTGTCGGTGTCGTTCTACTTTTTTAACATTGAATAACTTGCCGACTGCTGTACCTCTATTTTGATATTGAATTCGGGATCCTTATCCATAAAAACATATAAATCGATGTACGACACGTTAATATTGAAAAAATATAAAAACCAACCCCTTAAAAACACCCCCCACTCCTCCAAAACGCCCCCAAAAATATTTTTAACTAAAAATTTAAATTCAGAAGGCTTAAAAACCCTAAAATCGATGTGCTACATGACCATATTTTAAAAAAAATTTAATGTTTGTATTTTTTGTAGACATTTTTGAGCGCCATCTTGAATTTCTCAAAATGCTCAAGGGTGACAGAGTGGCATCAAACGGATTCTTAAAATAGACCTACTTAGTGACCTAAAACCGCAAAAAAATTTTCACCGTACCTTACTTCCAGCTTTTTCGTCTGGCTTCCAGACTAGAATAGTGAATACTACAGAATATTTAGATTTTAGTGACTTTAACCAAAACCAAAATTGCTCGCTCTATATATACCTATATATTATTGCCTTTATTTTAAAGTGGGCGGAGCGGATAGCGGAGTATTACCTAAATACCTAATAGCTATGATGATAACTCAATTCTTCTGGGGGGATATATCCCTTCATCCCCCCCCCCCCCCCCCCGTAAATAAGCCACTGGTTCGCGTCCCGATATGTTTTTGAGCAGTAGCGTCGACGGCGAGCCCCTACGTCCACAGGCCATCAACACGCACATTTTTCAGACGAGCCTTGCCAATGCATTTATTTTAGCATTTTTCACTAGCTAATTGTAGCAGTGCATCACAGTTGGACGTTGCGGCGGGATGGGTACGCTCAACGCCGCAAAGAAATCCAACCTTTAATATTCCTATTTGGAACCCCGTTATGTGTGGGCCGCTCTCCCCCAACATAATAAAGCTGCTTTAGCCGAGTCATAATAAATTGTGACGTTCTCATGTTAAAGAAGTTCCGTTTACATGTAAGTGTATATCTACCCCATAGGAGCCTTAGAATTATGTGACGTTCAAGTAGGGTATTTTCACAGATAAACGTGCAAACCATCAGCGAGATTTACTGCATTTGATAATTTTAACAATTAAAATCCAGACCAAAGTAATAGCAACTTCCGCGGTCAGAAATAATGTAATTTCATCAAAGCAATAGGTCACAATTGCTCACTTTAAATGTGTAGCATTTTATGGCTTTCTTGTAACTCTATACGTTAATTAAGTATAAAAAATCAATCATTCATACCTCATAAGTGTACTATAAGTATACTTGCCATAGATTCTTCATTAATGGAGTCAAGTGACAACACGGTTACGTGAAAATAAACAACAGTGGGTTGCCCTTGGTACTTAGGAGCGCGGTTCTTGTCGTACAACTTGGGTTTGATAGGTAAAATATCTCGAAGAGACAAACTAGACTCTTCATCGTGATGTTTATTAGTAGAATTAGTACTAAAAAAATAAGGGAAACTTCATAATCAATTTACTTTCTAATTAAGCACATAACAAAACACGTTCATGTATAAACAAATTTGTAGATACTTACAATGTATGAATACTTCTTACATTTGAGAATGTACATAGGGCCAATAAAACACAAACTTTCATCGTGGAACGTAAGCTCTAAATTTATTTAATAGATTGTGAACAGACACTTGGCCTCTCTGCCAATGCTAGGCTATACTACGGACTAGTTCCTTCACAGTTTACACATAATTCAATTAACCTATAATAGGCTTACAGTAAGTCACACAACACAATCACTGGGCTGCAGGCCCTGAGAATATACTGTCCTAATCTACTTAAGACAATACACAAGGGAACGGTATAAAAATAAATCCAATAAATTGTGGCTAAAGATTGGTTTAGTTTAAATTTAGTAAACAGTATCACATAAGAAACGGGCTGTGAGACCAGTCAGCTGCAGGAGTGTGTTGCACTAGCCCCAGCTAGCTAACATTTTTACTTATTATTTCTGAATATCATTTATTATTAGTAACAAATAATCGAGCAAGAATGATGTTATTAAGTATTATTGCTAGTTGCCAGTGTAACAAACATTTGTTGAAAATCGGTCAGTTCCTGACACATTTCAATACCCGTAGTAGAAGTAATATGTCCAGATTCGGAGGACGATGTGCCAGGATTTATAGGTTCCTTTACAGATGCGGCAGGAGGTGGTTGCTTCTTTTTCTCGGTATCCGAACTTTCCGGACGCCGCGCGGGCGTCTGTTTATTTGGAATGACAGGTTTATTAGGTGGGATCGGTGGGGGAACGCCTCTACCAACCACCACACTCTTTTTTGGCGGCGTCTGCGGAGGTGGGCTTTGCGTGTACGACGTGTGAAAACCTAGTTTTGCGGGCGTCCTAGATTGTGGCGTGCCCGCTTGGGAAACGGACGCTAGCTGTTAAAAAATAATAAAACAGTTGTAATCAGGCATAAATTGTCATTGAAGAATTTTATTTTTAATAATAATGAATGCTTCCAATTAACACTTAATACATGTCAGCGCATTCAACATTAACTGCAAGTTGACAATAAATAAGAATAAATTGACAAACAGTATCAATCAACTAGCACGCAAAATTACAAACCATTATAACCCAAAAGGGCACTATATATGGTTGCAATTAAAGTTGCGCCGCAGGTTTTCCAAAGATTCATCAATGACTGTTCGGTTGGAATACCAGAGTGTTTCCCATACTTTGATGATATTTTGGTAGCATAATTAGAAATTCATGGTATTTTAATTAAAGGACTCAACAAAAGGAACGGTTTTCTACTAACTAAAAGAGAGGGTTGGGGAACTGGTTTTATCCTTCATGGTACTCTAATGAAGGTATCAACCAAAGGAATTAATTTCTACCAACCAAACCAGAGCAGATTGTTGGAGGAGGGTACTCACAAAGGGCGACTGGGACGTTTGGAAGAAATATATCCATTGGTTATGTCGAAACTTTAAGAGCGAATAATTTAAAAAGGGTTTGTCGGAGGAGAGTACTCACAAAGGTAAATTGAATCGTCTGGACGAGACATATCCATTGTTGAAGTCGAAACGAATATCTTGAAAACGACGGGTGGGAGGAGGGTACCTACTCATAAAGGGCAAGTAGAACTTCCATTGCAAATATCGGCAGAACAGTGCCAGAGAGTACTCTCAAACGGCGCCAAAGATCGCCTAGAGGAGACACATACGGGCGATGTAAAAACTTAATTGCGAATATCTCGAAAATGTTGGAGGGACGTACTTACAAAGAGAAAATGCAATACTTCTGAGAATTTCTCTAAGGGCTTGATTCTTGCATTATATAGCGTAGATTTTAAATATATGCCTGGCGGCCTTTAAACGTTAATGTGCAAAAAGCCCACTCCAACAGCAGCTACAGGACTGTTTTCCGTGTGAGCTACTTTAACGAAAGGTTCGCACGTGCCTGGACTATAGGACCAATTACGACCTAGTTTAACAAAGAAAGTGCGGGAGTAGGAGAAGATGAGTCTGGTCATACTCGGAACAACACGAGTATTCGAGTAAACAGTCCCAGAAGGCAGAAACGAACCTAGATGCCAGGAGGAGCAGATTGTGTACATTGCCAATTCCCCAATTTGATAAATCCACCTGCAACATTTTTTCGTAATTGGTCCATCCGTTCTCTTTTAAATTGATAGATAAGAAGCTATCGAGGGAGCGGATGGACAGATGAGCGAGTGATCAATTAGGAGACAGCATACGCATCACAACTCGACGCTCAAAAAAGGTCTGTATAAACTTGAAAACTTTTAATGTGTTTAATGTTAAATGCTGTTTTTATGTTTTTTATTATCTTTCTGGGAAATATGATGTTTGTTCGAGAATACTCTAGAATATTCGGGACCGTTCGAGAAAGACCGGCGCTTGCTATTTAAGAAAATCGAATTGTGTTCCCAGTCAGTTCTAAGTCTAACATGGATTCGAAGTGAAGTATTAAGCTCCCTCTCGTGTTGTTATAAATTGTGAGTGATACTGTTGTAAATTAATTAAAATTGTGCTAATTGAGATCAACTATAAAATAAAAAAGGTAATTTGTGTTTAGCCTACCCCACACGCTCGTCAGCATTATTTCGATAAGAAAAGACAACTAAAATAAGGGTTTTGAATTTTAGATTACTTTGCGTTCAAAAGGAACTTATTATAAACAAATTAATTTATTAACTATTTAGTTCTTGGTTATATTACAGAGAGGAATTTTGGGGTTTTTCATTTTAAATTTGTATTTAATGCAAAAAACTCATCTTTTAAATTTAGGACTAATTTATCCCACAAGGAGATTGTGTGCATGATATTTTAATCAAACGTCTCATCGAAAGGAATTGGTTTCTACAAACTATAACTTTCCTCGGCGACTCCTTTTTTAAATTAGTGGAGAGGGAGTGGGGGTTACAAATTTATTTTATTTTTCTTGGTATTCTAATGAAAGGTCTCAACAAAAGGAATTAATTTCTACCAACCACATTCATCCTCCTCGATCCCTTATCGTGACCGGTTCTAATTCCTGATATTTTGAGAGTAGTGTACTCACAAAGGGCGATTGGGAACTTTGGAAGAAATATATCCAATGGCTTTTTCAAATCTTTAAGAGCGAATATCTCAAAAATGAAGTGTCGGAAGAGGTACTCATAAAGGGCATAATCTGCAGAACTTAATGTCGGAGGTGATTTTAAAGGAGAGTTGGATTAGATATTTAATGTATGTCGGGGCATTTAAATGTTTTGTGTCCCCTCCCCATTAAGCATCTATCAAGAAAGCCAAACACAGTCGTGGTTCTTCTTAATATTTCAAATACTTCAAAATCGATACGTATATGGAATGCCTACCTTATAATTTATTACTTAGCTATTTCGGTTTAAAAATGCGCTATATAATATTAATAATAATCAATGTCTTTAATAAGTACCTAGGTTAAATTATGTACATAGAAATGTATACAAATGAAACATACATACCACTTCTGCTCTTTCTGCACAAGATTAATGTAATATTTGAACCACTTGAATATTATTATTATATATGCCTTCATTATTAATGTTTTTGTTGTACATTTTATTTATGTTATTGTTAATATTATTTGCGAGATTATAAAGGATATAAAGAAAAAATTAAAATCTTGTTTAACACCCTGTATATGCCATCACGTGGCACACAATGGTACTTGCAGAAAGTTTGAGGACACTGTTGAAGAAACATTAAAAAAGTTCTGCTTTGGGGTTGGGGGGTCAAAGGTCAAACGCGTTACTCGATTCTAACTTTGCATAGGTTTATTTTAATTCTTGCTTAACAAATGATTATAATAATTGGGAAACAATATACAGGGTGCTCCAAAATACCTGGGTGAGCTTCTTTGATGCTATTTGAAAAACTTAACGGTATAAAACTAATTTGGACAATTTCAAAATTCAAGATCTTGTTTTACAATAAATTAGGCACAATTTGTAGTACTGGAGGGTCAATTATGAAGGATTTTGATCCATTAATATGGATACCGACTTTAAAAGTACACTGTAATTAATTTTTTGAGCGTCCAAAAACAATGAATCAGGTGTAAAATTGTCTGCAGAATCAAAAAATATACAGGGTGTACGCCATTTGTTTCTACTCAAAATTTTAGGTCCATGCCAAGTAGGAGAGTGAAGCTCAAAATCGCCACCAATTCCAGATTTATGGTGTTGATCGACAGTTACCGTGCATAAAAAATACCTTCCATAAATTTTACTTATAAAAAATTACCTTGGAAGAACTTGTAACTGCACTAGAAGACTGCCGACTACTTTGTCCCGGTGTAACTGACTGGGCTACACCTGTCGCTACAATAACAAAATTAAATACTGAGCAACTTTTACTATGAAAACATCTTACTAGGACCAGAGACAGGAACACTAGAAACTGTAGCCGTAGGCTGAACAACTTTGGCGACGCTACTCGACATTGAAGCAGTCGAATCGACAGGATCACGCAATCTACACAAAACCTCACACTCTGTCCGCCATTTTTGTACTTCAGCCTCCAACTCCTGACACCTACAACAAATAAGGAAGTTTAAAACTTACTTTCATCTTCGCAAACACAAACCTAGTCTCTCTAGTTGCCAACGCAGACTTTAACGATTTTTTGTCCGCTTCAAAAATATGAACTTGTTTCTCAAGTTCGGCTTCCATCTGTAATGATTTCTTGCTTTCCTCTTCCAACCCCTCTGCCATGGTGTCTATGCGAGATTTCTCCTCCGATAAAATTTGCGCCAGATCTTCGCTTCGTTTTCTCTCCTCAATATATTTAACGATAATTTTTTTACGTTCCGCTATTAATAATAATACTATCTGTTTTTGTCTAGCTTTCTCTTCGTCCGCTAAATCCACTTGCCTCTTCAATTCCTTCTCCAATTTTTTACGAGCCGTGCGTTCCATTTCTAATTCCTGCCTTAAACGAGTGCGTTCCATTTCTAAACCGTAAGTAATATCATCACCCTGAGCTGTATCGTGTTCGTGTTTACATTTTTCTTCCTCTAGTTCTTGAATTACCTTTTTATGTTTAACTTCGGCATCTTTTAATATGTTTACCATGTGTTGGTGCGCGCGACGTTGTTGCAGAGCCAGCTGCTCCAACGCCTGCAGTTGCTGTTCGGCCGCAGCTGCCATGTCTTTTTCACTATGAGGCGGTTTCGATGAGGTACTATCTGCAATGCTGTCCCGCAGCAATGCCGTGTACGGATCTGTCATTACTATCGGCCGATATCGTCCAACATTGACCACTTGTTTTAACCTTTCCGACTAGAATGAAATGAATTAATGAAAAATGTGCCAGTCCTCATTAAACGTATATTTTGGATGTAAATGAGCCACTCAAGAGCAACAGTTAAATTATTATTCTTAAATATTAATCGCAAATAAATTCTAAATTGTTCGATTTTTATCTGCCACGGAGATATTCCTCATAATTAGTGCAAGTTACGCTGGTACGGAATAAGTAATGAATAGGTACCTTTAGTGCTGCAATTGTAATATCACGAGCTTGTATTTCTCCTTCAAAGTAGGTTAGAAGTTTCAGTAAGTCAGTTTTTGTAAGTTCCATCTTCGGATTTCTCTATTGAAAAGGTTTACAATTAAAAAAACAGGCAAAACAAAGTGTTGAATGAAAAACCTTTAATGTGTTGCTGCCTGCATTAGAACGATCTAATTGTTCAAATTGGTTCATGTCTGATGTTGAACTGCTTTGCTGTTCGGGAACGGAGCTTAAAGGGGGCCCGAACCCGATTCCAAGACCGCTCAACCAACCATTCTGATTGTTGTTAGAAGCCATATTGAATGTTGCTTCTCCGGCGTTTTTAACCCCCTAACTTTTAGGGTGAACTGTTGCTACAAAACGCCAGGATCTATATGTAACGTTTCAATGCATTGCATTATTGCCTCCCTTATCGGCATTCAAAAAACTACACTTTTTACATAAAAACACAAATATAGGTTATTCAACTAAAAAATCGATTATATGTATTTTAAACACCTAAGGCACAGCTGATTTTTTTTGTTAAGTTGGATTAAGGTTGGCAGACATGCGTTACATCCCCACTCCTAATGCCTCATAAATTATTTAAATTTTGTTTGTTTAGACATCATTTTTGGATGCGTGAGCGCAGAGTAATAACATAATCTTTTCCAAATCGATTACGAATAGCACACGAATATCTTTCTGCCTTTAGAAAGAAAACGCCAAGAACCACATAGGCGTAAAATGACTGCTTTTCCGCACAAAATTTTGTACACCTTCAAAGTATAGGCTACCTACTACTAAAATTCCAGGACTCTAGGCCCATTCCCTTAGAAGTAGTTCAAAACGGTAGAAGCAGGTCCGGACGGACGGACAAAACGCAAACAATAGCACATTTTTTTTAATTCTTAAAAAATGCGCTAAAATTTTTCAAATCGAAGCGGACAACGCAACGCATGCGTATTTTTAAGGAGTCGTGTTGGTTTGTAGATGCCGGTGGTACAGCCGACCTTGGGTTTGGGCATGAGCTTGTGCCGCTGCCTAGTGGTAGTGAGTGTACAAAACGCAAGATATGGTGGTACAAGTGAAAATTGGTCAATTTGGTCTCCCTTATAATAAATAAATACAAATGTTTGTTGCGAATTAAGGTAGTAATTCTTCTGCGTAGAATCTGTGCTACGTGTGAGCTGCTAAAATAGTCATATATGTTTTTTTGGGGATCTATTAGCGATACATAACCAACAAAATGTCAGAAAAAATTAAGGTTTGTTACAATTTAGCTGCCGCATTTCGCTTCATTTTGCAATTTCAGCACATTCCCGAGCAAAAACTCAAAGCCTTCTCTATTGGGGCGATGGGTAAGAGGACGCTGTCTAAGAAAGAATTGGAAGAACAGCGGAAAAAAGAAGAAGAAAGAGCTGCCGCTCATGTACAATACTTATTACAACTTCTATTTTTCTATTCCCAATTTTTTAGGTATTCCAAGAGTTTGTGGAAACATTTCAAGAGACGCCCGTTAACGGATCGAAAGTTTGGGTTAAAGCGGGCACATACGATGCAGGAGCGAGAAGTATACCTTTGTGTTTTACAATTTTAAATTTACTATATCCGTTGTTTGCTTTAGAGGAAGATACCAAAGATAGAGGCAAATTGTATAAACCGCAGTCTCGAATTCTCGCATCGCAGGAATTATTAACATCGGCGGAAAGGGCACAAGCGTACGCTCGTATGTTGGCAGTTGATAAGAAACCCGAGCGGTTGGGGAAGAAGAAATCGTCTGGAAAAAGTAATCTCGAGTCATTTAAGGAAGAACTGAGACAGTAAGTTTGCAACTAATTTACTAGTCCTCAATAATACCAATTAATTTCGGTTCTTTTAGGATTCAAGAGGAGCGAGAAGAGAGACACAAATACAAGGGCGCTGTTCGCACTCCAATTGAATCCGAGCTAGATCTATTTTTGAGATGCGGTGACCTTGGTTCTTTCGATAACGGCGATCCGACAACGACAAACTTGTATCTAGGAAACCTAAATCCAAAGGTATATTTGATTGCTACCATTGTCACACTGAAATTCTATTTTTTTCGTAAGATAACTGAACCCCAACTGATGGAAATTTTTGGACGATACGGACCTTTAGCCAGTATCAAAATAATGTGGCCCAGGTCCGATGAAGAAAAGGCGCGTGGTAGAAATTGCGGATTTGTCGCTTACATGAGCAGGAAAGATGGAGAAAGAGCATTAAGAAATTTAAATGGTAATAGTGAAGGTGGTTATTGTGATTATTCGTGATTGTGTTTTGTAGGCAAAGATATTTTGGGTTATGAAATGAAATTAGGGTGGGGAAAATCGGTGATTATACCTCCTCATCCTATTTATATACCACCCGCACTGTTAGAATTGTCAATGCCACCACCATCATCCGGCTTACCGTTTAATGCTCAACCTTCACCAAAGGATAGGGATATTTTACCAAAAACTTCCGAAGAACTGAACCAGATTTTATGTCGGGCAATAGTGAAAGTAGTCATACCCACCGACAGGTATTTATAACAATTACATTATTCAGAAGTATGAGCGACCCAGCTTGTTTTGATTTTGGACTTTCTGTCTGTTTGTTGCTCTTCTATATTGGTCTGATTCATTTTTAGAAATATACTGATGCTTATTCATCGAATGGTGGAATTTGTAATACGAGAGGGTCCAATGTTTGAAGCTATGATTATGAATAGAGAAATTAATAACCCTTTGTTTAGGTAAGTGCACGTATATTATTTCTGTTACATTTTTTCCTTTTCTTTGTAAAAAGGTCATAGTAATATAGTTGCTGATGCTACTACAGATGTAAGTATACTACAGATGTATTATGGCATATTAAAATTAGTGTTACTCTGCGCCCATAAGATAGCGCTGGTTAAAGTCACTAGATATAGAAAGTACCGCAATCATCCGCCATTTTTGGGCAAATTTGCTGCCAACTTAAAAAAATTGACAAATAAAATCTGAATAGCTGTAATTTTTTATAACCTAACTTCATACATAGTACTGTCATGTTTTATAAAAATATATACAGATATATACATCATTCTATCATTATTGCGTCCATACATTTACCAATTACGCACATTATTGCGTCCTTCGAACTATTGCGTCCGAATATCGGACGCAATAAAGGCATCGCCTGTATTTCCATGTTCCCGCCATTTTATCATTCAAATACTATCAACGAAGGATGCACCGGTTTAACAGATTCCTATAGCACAAACCAGTTTTGAGACATCTCTTGCCGTTTTCGAGATATTAAAAGATAACGAATTTTTAGTGGACGCAATAATAGTTGCAATTCGTACGAAGTTGTATATTTTTAGTTCAGCACTTTGCAGCTAGGGGCGGTAAATTAGTATACGCTTTCAAGTATACGTTTTACAAAGTTGGTATATTATTGCGTCCAACATGTGGCAACACTGTAAGCTATTTATAGACATCATTTCGATAAGATAATCATCTTTTTATATCTTAAATGAGGATAATTATTATACTCTCCATTCGGAAAGTACATTGTTGCGTCCAGATACGTTTAATTATATTGGAGCTGATCTCCAAAAATGTAACAATTCAAAAAATTCTATTCAATAAAATTGTTTAACCTAAAAGGTGGTATTTGGTTATCAACAAATTAAATTTCGCTTTTGAATATTTTTGGTTGATGGTTAACAGCTGACCCCCCTTTAATGGCTGTAAATATTAACTTGGCGAGGTTCAATTGAAACGTGACGTCTCTTATACTATTCCCACCATTTAAAAACAAATTTTTACTACAAGCGTACACTTTAATTTTTTGCATTATTCCGTAACCCCCAGCTGATCTCCGAAAATGTAACAATTCAAAAAATTCTATTCAATAAAATGGTTTAACCTAAAAGGTGGTATTTGGTTATCAACAAATTAAATTTCACTTTTGAATATTTTTGGTTGATGGTTAACAGCTGACCCCCCTTTAATGGCTGTAAATATTAACTTGGCGAGGTTCAATTGAAACGTGACGTCTCTTATACTATTCCCACCATTTAAAAACAAATTTTTACTACAAGCGTACACTTTAATTTTTTTGCATTATTCCGTAACCCAGAGCTGATGTCCAAAAATGTAACAATTCAAAAAATTCTATTCAATAAAATGGTTTAACCTAAAAGGTGGTATTTGGTTATCAACAAATTAAATTTCGCTTTTGAATATTTTTGGTTGATGGTTAACAGCTGACCCCCCTTTAATGGCTGTAAATATTAACTTGGCGAGGTTCAATTGAAACGTGACGTCTCTTATACTATTCTCACCATTTAAAAACAAATTTTTACTACAAGCGTACACTTTAATTTTTTGCATTATTCCGTAACCCAGAGCTGATCTGCGAAAATCTAAAAATTCAAAAGATTTTATTCAATAAAATTGTTTTATTTGTAGATAAGGTAAAAGTAAGTAATTGTAGTAATAAATGAATGTTTTCTTATACGTGATCGATTTCGCTTTTATTTAGTATCTTCGGACCTTTATTAATTGGCGCTAAGGTCCGAATATGCTAAATAAAAGCGAAATCGATCACCAATAACTTATAAGAAAACATTCATTTATTTATAATTATTTACTTTTACCTTACAAATTCAATACAAGTAATTACAATAGAGACATACGTTGACAAAAACCAAAATCAAAATTGTATACCAAGTCCCACACCTTTACAAGGAAAAGCAATTGGACTCGTATAATTAAATTAATTCCTGCCGGATCAACGTCCTCTTGAATATGTGATTAGACGAGGAATGACTGAGCATTAACATTGGCAACATTGCAGGACGCAATAATATACGGCGAAATCCATATACGGGTGCGACAATGGCGCATATGAAAGGACGCACGAATGATTCAATATGACTGAAAATTCGTATATCGAAATACTGGGAATTTTTGAAATCTGGTTACGATTCTAGCCACGACATACGATTCCAAACCAACATTCGCGGCAATAGTTTAAGAATTCCTATCCGTTCTAGGAGACGCAATAAAGTACAAATACGTACGGACGCAATAATGATAGCGGGATGTATATATATATCTCCAAACAGGTGGAACAATCCCTAACATTAAAGTTACTAGAATCTGGTAACTTCCACCATTTTTGGGCAAAAATCATGCGTTCTCTCTCTAACACACAAGCCCAATGGATTGCGGTACTTTCTATATTTAGTGACTTTACCTCTGGTGGCCGATGTGAATTTGACAAACGTGTGACATAATCGAGAGGACATAACAAATGACTCCAAACAATTATGTAACTAATAAGATCAGTGGGTCCTTAAAATAAGACAAATATATGATTTCTTCTGCAACCTAGTGAACATTCGTCTATTACTTATCATAGACCAATTTAAGGCAAAAATCTGTGAGAATTTATATTAAGTTCCCTTATATTAGAGAGTACCCACTATTATCAGAGATAGAATGTTCAATAGTAATTTGTATTTCAACAAATTCAATGCATTTTTTTTAAAGTAGCCCTTGTATACAGGGTGAGTTTTTTTTTCATTTTCACTATGGGGATCTTGTAAACTTTAAGAGATACGAAGACGCTTAAATGGACAAAGTTATGCCCAAAAAACCTAAAAATGCTAATTTGGAAAATTCGCTAGCGTTCATTTCATTTCAAAGATATCAGAAAATAATTTTAACAAACCCGTAGTAATTTTTTCTCAGCTTTTTGATGCTGCTAAAATGTTTTTATCACTTGTGGGTTTTGAGTCAATCACATCAACTTTCTTATGGACGCCAAATTGATTTCTACGTCACTTGATAGAAAATCAAAATTACAAAACCAGTGATACTAAATTTATAGTATTTCATTTGGGAATCAACCTTGCATTTTTGCCTTGGATGTTTACAATGTACTTATTAAGGCAATAATTCCATGGCCATGTCGAGGGTGACTGTGTGAGACAATAAATGAATAAATTTGGTTTCACAATCGATCACCCTGTATATGCCAACGTTTTAGTTTAATTTACCTTTGTGCATTCGCGCGGTTACATCTTTTCACACGTTTAATATAATCGATCGATTGTCTTTTACCAAAAGTTGCTACTGTTAAAATTTTAGTAAGATCAGATCATCAATAAGAAAGGTGCTTCTGCGCATGCGCGCGCGGGTTTTTAGATGTTTAATTTAATGGAACGATTTACACTTAGTAAAGTGTGCTACTGTTAAAATTTCAGTAAGATTGTGCATAAATAAGAAAGTTACTTATGCGCATGCGCTAGAAGGATACTGCCTACTGGTCTGAAAATTAATAGATGTCATCTCCGGCAAGTAACACGCACTTTGTCCGATTAAATTTTGAGTTATCGTGCTAACAAGCCGGACAACAACTACAATTGACTTTTCTGTGATGAATACAAGACCCATATATGGGTGCGGAAAAGCAATACAAAAACCCATTGCTCTAATATCGCGGACAATATTGGGCATTGAGAAGTTATACAAGCGGTGTCTGTCTATCTAGTGTAGTATTATCTTGGTTCACCATCGATATTATATTCCCATGGTCCATCTGTAGTATATTTACACCTCTGATGGTACTTTTACTACAGCAATATTCACATTGTCAAAAATATTGATAGTTTTTATCGGCATTGCAGATTCTTATTTGAAAATCAAAATCCTTTACATATTTACTATAGATGGAAGTTGTATTCCATTATGCACGGTGATTCGCAAAAGGATTGGACTTCAAAAGAATTCCGTATGTTCAAAGGTAAATATTTTTCATTTTTAGATTAAGTGGTAGAACAGATTATTTTTTGCTCAGGTGGATCTGCTTGGAAACCTCCGCTAATGACCTCGTACACAGCGGGAATGCCCGAGGAATTAATACAAGAGGAAGAAGCTCGTGAATCGACGAAGGGTTCTTTATCGAACACGTAATTAATTATCAAACGTGATAGGAGATTATTGACTTTCTTCCATTTAGGCAAAGAGATCGTTTGGAAGATTTAATACGGAATTTAACTCCCGAAAGTAAAAGAATTGCGGACGCCATGGTTTTTTGCATAGAACATAGCGATGCCGCTGATGAAATTGCGGAGTGTATTCTCGAGTCATTATCAAACGAATCGACGATCGTCACAAAGAAAATAGCGAGATTGTACCTTATTTCTGACATTCTACACAATTGCGGAGTGAAAGTGAATAAAGCGTCATTTTACAGGAGAGCGTAAGTTACCCGCTAGATAGTCATTTTGTAATACAGGCTTTTCTTTAGATTCGAAATAAGATTGATCGAGATAATTAAGCAAATGAAATTCATACACGACAAATTGGAGGGGCGTCTACAAGCGGAAGGATTCAAAGTCAGAGTTTTAAGAACGTTAAAGGCGTGGGAGGATTCAATCTATCCTAAGGATTTCATGAGTAAACTTCATAATACGTTTTTGGGATTGGATGCCAATGTAAGTGTGTAGTGTGGACTATTTAGCTTGCTTTCCCAGAAAGACTTAAAAGACATTTCTGTGCCTAGTGGACCAAAGTAGATGCTTACTTGTACAAAGTTATGTCTCAAAGATAAAAATACTGCGTCAAAATGCGTCATAACAGAATTTTAATCGTTTGTCCCCTAGGTGGCGACTATCGAATTTACTCAATTTCTTTGATAACTCATAATTTTGTTGTTATTAAATGTAATTGGTTTCTAAAACCATACCCCAGATAGTGGAAATTTAGTCACTCATTTGGAAGATTTTAAAGATTAAGGTTAGATTAAATGGACGTTACAGGTTTAATGATGACGGTTAATCGCAAACACATAAACAAGTTAAAAAAGTAATCGTAACCGATTTACAAAAAGCGCATTTCCACTTGGAGTTGGCATTGCGCATGCGCAAAACCAAATTTTGAAACTGGCGTTAGATTTTCATTTATTCCAAATGCCTATATATCAAATTTCATTTAAATGCTTTTATAATTAAAAAAAAGTTTGCAATTCGGTTTATAAATGGTCGAGATGCGAAAAGGGCACCTGTTAATTTTGAATTCATTCGACTCAACTTTTGGCATTGCGTAGTATATGGCTAAAGCTATGCCCATATTGAATTTCATGCAATTCAGTTGATTACTAACGGAGATCTCAAAGCGATCGGACATTTCTAAACAAAGTTATCGTCCACACGGACAGATACATGGGGCAGACAGACAAAGAAATAGACGGACAGACCAAACAGATAGACGACAGACAGCAATACAAAATTATAAACGATCTCTAGGATCGTTAATAAACGGCAAAAGTGTAAAATTAGGGAACATTATGGAAAAACGGTTTTTTGGTTTTTTTACAATAACTTTTTTAGCAATAAACGCGGAAAAAATCCATCCTTGGTGACAGCTTCGACACCATAACGAACCAAATAGCGAAAAAAGTAGAACAATAGCACTAAGATAAAGAACTAGTATTGTCTTGACGAACGAGCGGACGGACGGACAAAGTGCCCACAATAGCGCATTTTTTTAAATTTTTGTGGAAATGCGCGAGGTTCAATCAAGTACACTCTGTTTATCAGATTTCCCAAGGAAAAATTTGGGTTAGGGACCCGTTTGTAAACCACACAAGCCCCTCAGGTTTGAGGAAGGGGAATCCGAGTTCACTTTATAACTCTTTGGTCTTAGTAAGACAGCCAGAATCACATCCCTTCTTGCGAGGCGGGGATCGGATCTCAAGGTTTCCTCCCAGATCCGTTCGTGCCCAAGGCTGCCTCGATTCTTCCACTCATCCCAATCGTTTAGCCGTATAGAAGCCATGCATTTTGTGCATGAAATTTTACCTCACATTTCCAGTTGTTCTGAAGGTCTCCACCCATCATAAAATCAATTTTCTATCAGGAACAATAACTTCAGCACTGCGACAATTGAAAAATTGAATGAAAAATAACATTCCACTGCAAACGCACACTGTTCACTCAACCAAAGCTCCATTGCTACTCACTAATAGGAAAGACCGGATGCCTACTAACCAGTGAGACTCATTCTGCAGTCCCATTACTTCCTTTCCCTAACATAGTAAGTCGGGTACATGGCTAGAATGGGGAAAATACTGTACTTTTTGATTGGAATATGCCACTTTCTGTGGTAATAGTTAATACCAAAAGGCAACTTTTGAGATAGGGAGCCACTCGAAAATCCGTGCAGGAAACCAAAATGGCGCCATTAGCCGCAATATATTTTTTTGTATCTCTGCTCCTAATAGTCCGATTTTAATTTTCTTTTTTTGAATTGAAAGCTCTTGTGACGAGGAAACTTTTTTGCTATATAACATTTATCTCTAAAACTTAAGGATTTAGCACAATTTTAAAAAAGTGTTTTTTTTTTACGAATTTGATTCACAAGTAAGCTCTTAATTGTGCAATATCCCGGTCTTTTCGACAAAAAAAGCCATCGATCAATCGATACAACCCCAAAACTACTTGTATCTATCCTGCAAATTTGGAAAATTTCAATCCGCCATGTTTTTTTTTAAAAAAATGCACAATATTTGTTTCATCAGGCAGGAGATCAAGCATTATGAAAATTGAAAGGAAAAGCCTCATCAATTTTTTTCTCTGAAAAACGGAAAATACACTCCGCTTTTAAAGTAATTAAAGAAACACTCAGTATATCAACTTTAACTCTTACTCTCGCTCTTACTTATCCTATTTTATTTAACTAGTTGGTTTAAGCTACGACGAATGTGAAATTTGGAGTGCTTATTTATCAGATCATGGATTTTTTCGAGGGTTTTCTCTCGGGTTTTCTTTAAAAATATTAACGGAACATTATGATTTCCAAGTTTTAGATACCTATTCATATAAGTTGAATCATTTTTATTATACAGGGAATCCACCTTCTGTAAGCGGACGATAGAGCCTCAATGGTTGAGATTAATGGTAACGGTTTGTTGGTACGAGAACCCTGAGGGGAAGCCTAAAACGTATTTTTAGGTACATAGGGTGTTCTCGAGGGCAGCCTATACATTTTGATATTTTTTATAGTTATCCCCGGGTATCCCTTAACAAAAGAATTATTTTTGTAGGTCTTTTCGGTTTTTTTCGTAATGCTAACCGCGAGGCTAACCGTTTTTGGTATTTGGTATTTATTGTTCTTGTTTTTACAAAATAAATTTGTTTACAATTGTCAAGGCCTAATGTCTATATGTATAAAACAGTGCAGATAGAAAAACAAACAAACAAGTTAAATAAACAGACAAACAAACACTTAGACGTGTATAATTTACTCCAGAAAATCGGCCGAAGGCCAACGATAGCTTAAGAATTCATTTATAGAGTAAAAACTTTTTCTCAATAGAAACTTTTTCAAATTGTGTTTAAAAATCGTGTATGGTAGCTTTGTTATGTCTGTAGGCAGTTTATTTAAAAAGCAGGGACTATAATAATTTGCTCCGTATCTGCTACGTTGCAACCTGAGGTACTGACTCCTCACGAGATTACCACCCCTGGTGCTATATCCATGTATTTGGTTTTGAAATGTGTAAGAATCTCTTTGTTGTTTAGCGTGTAACAAACACACGTATATATATAAACAAGGCAACGTAAGTATTTCCATAGTGTTAAACTGTGTTCTTACATCATTTCTATATGGAGTTCCTGTCATTACGCGCAGAGCCCGGCGCTGAAGACCAAACAGTCTTTTTGAGTGAGAGGAATGACCCCAACAGAAGATGGAATAATTAATGAGCGGATGAATTAATCCATGATAAGCTGAAGTTTTCCGGATATGCTTTTTATACAGGGTGAAAATTTTATCTTCAAAACATTTTTTAAAGAAACTTTTTATGACATCCATAATTATAAAAAGTTTGCTACCAATCCACATACATTCAATTTGGGGTCAGTAGCATACTTCTGCACGGTCAACTGTTTTTAAATAGCAACCACTATTTTCTTGAGATAGTGAATTATCTGTCGATACAAATTGATACAATAAAACTCGTTTTTCAAATAATTGAATTTTAATATTTCTTTAGATAATCGACTTCGAATCGTATAGACCGATTCATCATCAGACCTTAAGAGTCAGAATATTGTGCTGAATAATACAAATCCTTACATATTAACATTTGACGTGGACAAGTTACACATAAAAATCGGGTTGAGCTTACTTGTGATTCAAATTCGTAAAAAAAACACTTTTTTAAAATTGTGCTAAATCCTTAAGTTTTAGAGATAAATGTTATATAGCAAAAAAGTTTCCTCGTCACAAGAGCTTTCAATCAATTTCCTGCACGGATTTTCGAGTGGCTCCCTATCTCAAAAGTTGCCTTTTGGCATTAACTATTACCCCAGAAAGTGGCATATTCCAATCAAAAAGTGCAGTTTTTTTTGGCGTACCCAACGTATTAACACGCCCCCTTTATTTTTAAATACATATATAGAAAAAAGTGTAGATGGCTAGATATGGTATTTCTCTATCCATGAGGATGGAAATTAGCATATGGCAGTACAAATGATCATCTAAATTACGATTAGTCAGCCTGTATGGCGCAGTGGAGTTGCTCAACTGCGGTATTAAGGGGCCCGAGTTCGGGGATGGGTGTAGTGGGTTGGGGTGGCAGAGCAGCTTTGGCTGAAACCCAATAAAGTCCAGAAATAAAATAAATAAATGTTTTAAAGTTTCTATTTCAAAAGGAATCCGTCAAAGACTCGGTCAAAGAAGCAGTGGCCAGTGCTGATACTTTCTTAGCCCCACCCACTATGATAACAGTAGGGAAAGCAATTGAGAACAAATGGTTACAAACAAATAATCTCTAGGAAGTGGCTCATATTCTTTGAAATAAATATTTAGTTTAAGTTGGTTTGCTTACTCATGATTTTAATGGCTTAGCTTTGTCGATTACATACCCCTTTGCTTTATTGTAACTGCATAGTACTTTGTTATTTTAGGAGTCAAAAATGAACAGTGCTCCTATTGAACAAAATTGGGACGGTAATCCCCTTCAAGATCAAATGGAAACCGACGAGGATGTTCCCATGGACGGGGTTGCTTTACTAAAAAGCGCGTTGAAGCAGACTTTAAAAAGTCCATCGCCGGTAGCGGATCTGGACATCGATGGTAAGCTAAAGGCGATTGTTAAATTCGTCCCAATCCATTATTGAAATAGGTTTCGAAATACAAGATGATGAGAAGAAGGATATGGATAAGGGTATCGCCCCAAGTCAACTTTCGGGATTTATTTTGTCCAAATGGGAGACTGTCGACCCAGAACAAGTGGAAGCGCAAGCTATGACCACCAGTAAATGGGATTTGCTGGAGAGCAGTGCAGATAATAGTCAGGATAGTAAAAATGATAATCAAGATTCGTGCGATTATACCGATCCTAGGTAAGTATAGCAGGTACATAAGTAAGCATTGTTACTTCGCTGTCTCCGTGATGCAGCTGTTAACTAAAAAAAACTTTAAACAGCACCATTTATTCGTAGTTTCAGTAACTTAGTCCTCCTACAATAAAATTCTTTTATCAAAATGTTATATTTGATATGTTGCTGCTTTGATAGAGATATGACAGAAGAAAGACGTACAAAACTTCGCGATATTGAGTTAAAAACTATGCAATATCAAGATGAACTGGAATCGGGCCAGCGAAGCTTAAAAAGCGGTTGGAGTGTTTCGCAACAAGTTGAACATTACAGACGTAAATTATTGCGCAAGTCAGAGAAGGAGTGGAAGGAGAAAGAGAGGGATAGCGGTAGCAGTAAGTCTGAAAAACATAAACGTGATTGGGATCGTGATAGTTCGGAGGAAGAAGTCTACTATAAAGACGTGTAAGTAGAATTTTATATTATATGCACACTTCGTATATTGAAAATGTGTGCATTTAATATTATACGGACGTTATTTGGAAAATTAATATTCAAATATGCTCTTTATCCGATGTTGTAGTACTTCTAGAAAAAATAAAAAGCATGCACGAAGCTCTCCCAGCCGAGCCACTTCAAAACACAGGTAACTCGCTACAGTACAGTAAAGTAACTACTTTTTTAACTAATTATAAGTATAAAAGGCTATGGTGATTAGAGATAAACATGCTTGCAGTTGTGATTATTGTACAGAACTTACGTGCGTTTTATCAACTTGTTTTTGCATACAAATAATGCAGTTTGAACCAACCAAGGCTCTGCAATCCTTCGACAAGGAGGTTTAATTTGTAACTGTGTATCATACTTGCAAAAATCCTCACGCTTCGCTGCTCTCAGAGGTCTTTTGCACCCCCACTTTTCACCTTTCACTTTATGCAACCATCTTCATTTCATGGACCGAGTTACTCACATAATCCGCAGTCGAAAAAAACGCTCATGAGCGGAAAAACAAAAAGCGCCAGAGCGCCGAACACTTTAAGTAAATGCTCGAGCGCTGTTTTGAGGCCAGTCTGGTTAACTCATCGGCTTTCTCAGTACCTTTCGTTCCATCATGCCCTTTGACCCATGCGAGCTCAGGGGTATTGCTTGCTACCTGCTCTAGTGTGTAATGACATTCGGAAACCAACCTAGAGGCGGTACGCGTCAACTCGCCAAGGGCGACTCGCCACCGGACCACTCGCCACCGACTGACTCGCCAACGGGACAACTCGCCAACGAAATATTTTTCCCTGTTTAATGTGTCGTGTCTACAATTTTTCGATAAACTTTTTTTACAAAATTAGGGAAATTGACTATTGCATTTGTATGACACATTAAACAGGGAAAAATATTTCGTTGGTGAGTTGTCCCGTTGGCGAGTTGTCCCGTTGGCTAGTCGGTCGGTGGCGAGTTGACCGTGTCCCCCTAGAGGTTATTTTACAGTGACTCAGAGCAGCCCTGCTGTTACTGGCAACTGATTGGAATACAGTAGGAAGGTTGGAGATTCAGTTCTTTGGAGTAAATACCAGTGCCTGTTCCTTCCATTGTATTAGATCCATCCGTAAAGATGAATATGTCTGGTTGGGATACCCATCCTCATAAGAAAGGTGTGATAGTTTTTCCCTAATCTGTATTGAGGAGGGAGTGAGTCCGATCGTTCTTCTAGGATAGGCAATCGCTTCGCCCAGAATTCGAGAGTGACGCTGAAAATTGGTGTTCTTGGAATAGCAGGGGAGTCTGTTTTTGTCGGGTTGATTGACAAGGGGCGTTCCCTACACCATTTTTCGGTTACTCTAAGAGCTGATGGCATCATATTTGGTTGTTCGCGTCACACATCAGCTCCCAAGACAATTGGAGGACTGATAAAGCCTCTCGCACCCTACCGAATGGTCGCTTGACCAAACCACTTTTGATATAATTATCACAAAAACCCTCGATAGATCTTTTCGCGTCTCACCACTATTTCATATATGAAAAATACGTTTCCCGGCTGTTTTTGCTAAGGTCGTACTCCAATCAATTCAACAGATAAAGGTCCATTGTCCTGTAATTGGAATAATTTTTTGTTTTGTTGGGCAATTTATTATTATAATAACAGGCAGAATGCAACTAACGCCATGTTGTGGATTCACAGGGAGTTCACAAAGTTTCTTTTTGATTATTTTTTCATTTAATCGTTTCGGTTGTGTCAGTTTACACTGTTTAATTAGTATATTTGTTTAATAAAGGTTATAATACAACAGAGTTGCCAGTTTACTCGGGCGTCCTATCCGAAAATATCACTCCCCACCCTCTCTCTTTGTCTCTACCCATTTGCCCACATTTCGGCCCACTTCATTACATTTCTAAAGAATGACTATACAGGGTCATTCTTGACGAGCGTCAGTTAGAAAGGTATGGAGAACCTTTGAAAATGAAACTGAACTGATAAGTCCTTTAAGGGTTTTGGCACATGTGGAATTGACCTAAAATATGTACTCCAAATTCGACGTAGAATCCGAAAATGTTTAAAAAATAGGGAATAAACAAAGTTGATGGCTGCTTCCGGTATTCGCGGAAGTGGCGCCATCTTGAAAATATTTTAGTTCAATTCATGTGCCAAAACCCTTAAATGACATCAGTTTAGTTTCATTTTCAAGGGTTTTCCATATCTTTCTAACTGACCCTCGTCAAGAATGACCCTGTAGAGAGGCAATGGACGAGTAGCGGGAAATTTAAATCTTATTCTTTAAACTTAGCGCTACTAGTACTGCAGGGTGATATTTTCGGATTGGACACTATATAATTAAAATTAAACTTCACTTAAGTTCCCTTGATCGCTAAGTTCGGATTATTACTACAATTATTTGGCTACTTTTGACAATAATATCCTAGTCAGTATCGTGAAACAGTTTGTCAGTTTTCAAATTTTTTGATGTTCAGGTATTTTTTAAAGGATTGCAGAGATGAGCAATATTAGTTCTTAGACTTAACCCCTTAAGCACACTGCTTTCACGTAACCTAAACGAGTAGTTTATGCATCCATGAAGGGAAGATTTACATTTTTTGACGTACGTTCTGAACAATATTGTTCTGCGCAAAATTCGATAACCACCTTGCCTTTTTGTAATATAACGTGTTCCTTCATACAAATGCAATTTTAGGTCGAACAGTTGTTCTCCGCCATCACGCAAGAAAAGCTCCCGAGCCGTGAGTCCACCTAGTCCTCCTAGGATACGACGTCACTCTCCCAAATCCTCCAAATCCCACCATAAAGGTTCACTATCCCCGGAAATTTCTAGTTCGAAATATACAAAGTATTCTCCATCTTCGCCAAAAAGTTCTAGATATAGCCGCAAATCACCGTCACCAAATAAGTATCGTAGTTCCCCCACACCTCCCCGCTCTCGATATAGAATCACTTCGCCAGAAGTGTCTCGCAAACACAAACATAAGCATCGATATTAACCTCCCTTTCACTTGGTACGTTTACAGAACTGAACATCGTGATCTACACATTCTTGCTGTACATTGTTATAATTCTGCCGAAAGTAATCCAACATTTTGCTATCGTAATGGTTGTTTGTTGTATTGTTTGGTTGTTGCAGTTTAGTTGCAGATGTGAACGAGGATCTGCGAAATAAATACAGTGATTGTATTTTAAAACATTTGGCATATTTTGTAGTATGTGGACAGGGTGCTCTGTACTGCTCATTTTACAATGTACTTTAAGTGTGGTAGATATTAAATTTCGGTGTGGAACAAAAAGTGACTGATGTAAAAGATATTTACACATTTCCACCAATACATTTCTGCGGGTTGGGTCGATCTGTTTGCAATACATATTATGTACATGAAGACGATTCACAGTTCTAACCAACCCAGAATAGTTTAGCATATTATTTATTCTTATTTGTAAAAACAAACGATTGAGCACCCTGCAAAGGCTCTACTTGTGATAACTCTAGGAGATAAGATTTTTGTACATAGGTATGGTCTTATTTTAGTAGTTATTTGACATACGGTAAGAGTAGTTACATAATGTATAAGACATTTGCGCTAAATTTGATTTTCTTTTTTGTTTATGTTCATGTATTTAGATTTAGTACGATCGTTTGATTTTTTAAATATTTGTATTTAATAAAATTTCCATTAAAGAGATTCATTTACCCAACTCTCCTAGTTGTTATTTGTAATAGTGTAACTGTAAACAATGCAGGTTACTGTATAAGGAACAATGTAATGGAATAATGGGTGCTAAAGGAATAAAATATCGAAACAGTATTTCTAAACAAAAATTAATAAATACCCACCCTACTTTGCTCACGCACTGTTAGGTGACATCTCAATTTTCTGGGAAGACGGAATTGTGTTTCTATATATGCTTTAGCAGTCTTACAACAGTTTTTGTCAGGGCGGTGTGGTACCAGAGCTGGGCAGTATCCGATTTTGTAAATACTTTTTAGTATTCAAATCCTTTGTAATTAAATACTTTTATGGAAGCAGTATTTGTAATTTAAATACTTTCACAAATATTTAGTATTCGAATACTTCGCAAAGTATTTGGATACTTCGTAAAGTAGGTATTCCTTTTTTACCAAAAATCGACTACACCAAAATTTCTCGGGAAAACACTTTTTCTTGTTAATTTTGGTGCGTAGAATCCAAAACAATTCGTACTTTTTCGATCAGACTTCTCAATCAGAAGTTACAGACTAGAGCAGGTAAGTACCTAGAGGTAAATAATTTAGATTATATAAGCAGGTAAGTAGAGGTAAATAATTTAGATTATTAATTTCCATATGGAGCAATACATCAATAAAATTATAGACTAGAAACCAATTTCGAAAGAAAATTCAAAGGGCTGTAACTTGTGAACTAGTAGCCCAATCTTGGAACTGTTTGAAATTATGGATTCTACAGGCTGCATTCTATAAACAATTTTTTTTCCCGGGTCGATCTGAGACAATTTTTTCTGCGCGCCTCAAAAAAAGGCAGTGTATAACCTTCCTTTTTTACCAAAAATTGTCTGCCCCAAAATTACTCGGGAAAACACTTTTTCTTGTTAATTTTGGTGCGTAGAATCCAAAACAATTCGTACTTTTTCGATCAGACTTCTCAATCAAAAGTTATAGACTAGAAACTAATTTCGAAAGAAAATTCAAAGGGCTGTAACTTTTGAACTAGTAGCCCAATCTTGGAACTGTTTGAAATTATGGATTCTACAGGTCACATTCTATAAGAAAATTTTTTTCCCGGGTCGATCTGAGACAATTTTTTTTTCGGGGCTCAAAAAAAGGCAGTGTATAACCTTCCTTTTTTACCAAAAATCGACTACACCAAAATTTCTCGGGAAACACTTTTTCTTATTAATTTTGGTGCGTAGAATCCAAAACAATTCGTACTTTTTCGATCAGACTTCTCAATCAAAAGTTAGAGACTAGAAACCAATTTCGAAAGAAAATTCAAAGGGCTGTAACTTTTGAACTAGTAGCCCAATCTTGGAACTGTTTGAAATTATGGATTCTACAGGCCGCATTCTATAAAAAATTTTTTTTCCGGGTCGATCCGAGACAATTTTTTCTGCGCGCCTCAAAAAAAAAGCAGTGTATAACCTTCCTTTTTTACCAAAAATTGACTGCACCAAAATTTCTCGGGAAAACACTTTTTCTTGTTAATTTTGGTGCGTAGAATCCAAAACAATTCGTACTTTTTCGATCAGACTTCTCAATCAAAAGTTATAGACTAGAAACCAATTTCGAAGAAAAATTCAAAGGGCTGTAACTTTTGAACTAGTAGCCCAATCTTGGAACTGTTTGAAATTATGGATTCTACAGGCCACATTCTATAAAAAATTTTTTTTCCGGGTCGATCTGAGACAATTTTTTTTCGGGGCTCAAAAAAAGGCAGTGTATAACCTTCCTTTTTTACCAAAAATTGACTGCACCAAAATTTCTCGGGAAAACACTTTTTCTTATTAATTTTGGTGCGTAGAATCCAAAACAATTCGTACTTTTTCGATTAGATTTTTCAATCAAAAGTTATAGACTAGAAATCAATTTCGAAAGAAAATTCAAAGGGCTGTAACTTTTGAACTAGTAGCCCAATCTTGGAACTGTTTGAAATTATGGATTCTACAGGCCACATTCTATATGTAAATTATAAGACGCTTTGAAAACTGGTAAACATATTCTTAAGGATATAACTGGTATAAGAAAGGTCCTGGTAGGTATCTCCTATATAATAATAATAATAATAATAATACGCTTTTACTCCCCTTAAATTTATATATAACAATAGAAATATAAAAAAAGCTAACCCCATACAAAGTATAACTTGATTTTTTAAGTAGTATTAAGTCTTTTATCTAGTATACTATTTTAAATTGTTAATGTATTTGAGTGACAAGCATTTGATTACTTTTTACTGTATTCGAATACTTTTCAAAGTATTGGAATACTTTTTATAGTATTTGAATACCTTTGATAGTATTAGAATACTTTTGAAAGTTTTCGAATATCTTTGCAAGTATTCGAATACTTTTGAAAGTATTCGAATACATTCTAAAGTATTTGAATACTTATTTTTTAAAGTATATGAATACTTTTCTATGCATCTGTATCTAGTAGTCGCTTGTGCTGGACATAAAAGTATTTAGTATTCAAATAGGTACCTTTGATTTGTGTAAAGTATTTACTATTTAGTATTCAAATACTTTTTGAAAGTATTCTGCCCAGCTCTGTCAGTGGTACTATGAAGCACAGAGGCGGCACCGTAGAGGGGCGGAAAAAGCAGTGATTTTTCTGATACTTCGATCCTGCATATTATGTTGGACTGCAAAATGCACTTGGATAAGGACATTAGCAACATGTTAATGCATTTTATGGATGAATCACTCCGTTAACCCGTGAGGAAGGAGCTGAATAGATTATCCGTAGGCATAAATTCGACTTTAAGGGTGTATTCCATCAAAGAGTAACTAATAATATTCTTTGATTCCACTTAAATTTTAATTCTATTTGACGTATGATGGGTTGCATAATACTTACTTGTAATGAAATGGTAACGAATAAACAAATATTGAAGAATTTACCTGCCCAACCATTGTATAAAGTAAACAAGTAATTACGCTAATTTACCCAGGTCATTAGTCATTGTGACGAATATGCATATATAATTAAACATCGATTAGAAAACGCAAATCATTGTAACAACGGCTAATCCTCAATAAATTCACTTTTCCCAGTTTTTAATAAGACGTATATTTTTTTTAACCCAGTAATTACTCCATGAACTGTATTAGCCCTATCTGGAAAATAACCCATGTAAGCGAATAAGTACCTATGGCTATAAATTAGATATAAAAAAAAATGTACATTTTTTTTACTAATATTCTAGATGTGTGTTACAAAAAATCGTCTAATTCGGGAACAACACAAAATAAATGAGAACTAACGCTCTTTCCGAAGGATGCTACAGGTAAATAATCTCAAATTTGTACCACACTAAAATTTTAGGGGTGTTTCAAAAAACGCCAGAAAAGACGCAAACTTTTAATTCACCCAAAAATAAGCGAATAAGTACCTATAAATTAGATATCTTTAAAAAAATGTAAATTTTTTACTAATATCACAGATTTCAATAAATCTGTGCTAATATTCTAGATGTGTTACAAAAAATCGTCTAATTCGGGAACAACACAAAATAAATGAGAACTAACGCTCTTTCCGAAGGATGCTACATGGTAATAATCTCAAAATTTTATCACACTAAAATTTTAGGCGTGTTACAAAAAACGCCATAAAAGACGCAAACTTTTAATTCACCTAAAAATAAATCACATTTTTCGTGTGAATTCTATTACCCAGTATATTATGGAATTATAATACGTTCTAATGAATCCGGTTTCTATTTGTAAATTAGTCCCGATAAACGCAACAATGCCGCTAATGAAGTCAGGCCTGCTGTATGATGTGTTGCCTACTGTACAATTATAAATGGTGAATGACTTCACTAAACGCTGCAAGTTTTCGTAAAAAATTTCGAATGCATATTTCGTCTAAAATTTTTTGTAATTTATGTGAAGGGTTGGTCGATGGCTCTATGGCTTGCTAATGTTTTTTCTGAGTATGCTACAGAGAGATTTTTAAAATAATTTATGTTGACGCCATTTTACCTATAAAAGTTCACTTTTTATTGGCAGTGCTCTAAAAAATTGTTTTTTCTTAAATATTAAAATATTGTTCTGTAGCATACTTTTTAAATGTATGATTTACACGAAAAAAATTAGCCCCGTCTTTCATCTCATGTTTTATAGAATTGAGACGAAATATAAATCGCTCTATTTTCGCATAAATGTTGTACTACTGGATTACACCGTTAAGATAGCACATGTTTACAGTTTATTTTCTAGTGTTTGTGGTACTCCGATGGGGAAATGAGACGCGAGCCTAACTCACCACACCTACAGCATAAATATAACTAAATGTTTGTAAAGTGTCTTTGTAGGCAATTTTTGCTCCTAGAATGTCTGAGCAGTATCAATTATCAAAACAAATGAGTGTCTCTTATTTCAAATTCTACCTATCCTTTTCTACACGAGAATCTCTAAAACTAACTCGATTTGACTAAACGGGAAATTTCAAATCGTTCTCTTAGGTACATCCAATTACAGCAAAATAATCAAATCAAGTGAAAGAATACCTCAATTAGTACAGAAGAACAGCATTATTTTGATTTACATCGCTCTTTTAAAAGCTCGGAGTAATATTGAATAAGTAATAATACAGACTAACGAGAATTCAAGGAGTCCTTAGAAACTGTTTGAAACTCTGAAAAGCCCTTATAATAGTTCTGCGCATCGCGAGAGGCAGCAACCAAAGGTGTAGGCAACATAAGAACTGACTTAATTACGTTTGTAACCAACTATGCAAGTTTTACAGGAACTGCTAGCGTCAGAATCGGTAGGCGTGTCCCAGTAGTTGACCCTAAATATTCTACGCGTATTTTCACAACTATGGAGATCAGTAGAGTAAAAAAAATGGTCCAATGATATTTTCCGGGGTTCCAGGCGCAGATGAATGTGGCGCCACGTCAGAACATTTCAGACTATTAAGAGGGATGGTCAAAGAGCATATGTTGCCAATTTTCATAACCACTCAAAAGTGTGAACTTTTTGACCTACGCACCCAGATTAAAATAAATGCACGTGGATAGACTTATAGTTCGTTAAGGTAGGTTTTAAAAGTTCAAGTAGAATACCTACTTCAATTAATTTAACCTGAAATGTAAAAGTGACAAATGCAGCAGTATTCATGTTCATTCAAGTCCATTATCACATAAGTAGAAGAAATGTTACTTAGAGGACCCCCTTCTCATTTATACTCAAGTCACAAGAAAGAAAGCAACAGATACAGCGAAGAATCGGACAGTATTAGGTGCTTTCTTCGCGGAAGTAGTTAAACCACTCAGAGAAACAACAAACTAAGGGGATCCCCTTTCTCATATATGACACAAGGGCTGCAGTCAGCACTAGATCAGCAAGTAACAAAAAAAGCGAAGAATCAGACCATATGAGGTACTTACTTACTCCAATAGTTAAATTGAAGCATACAGGCAACAGCACTCATAATGCGGGTCACTCTGTAATTGGGCGCATGCCTGTTGAGGACCCAAAACTAAGAGGGGGAAAATAAATAAATAATAAGCACCCCTGAAAGTACTAGAAACACAAAGTGTAAGTGTGTAAAAAAGGCGGGAAATTCAGTTTGACATAGTTATTACGCCCGTCTTTCTTGACTCCTTGCATCAAGTTTTATGCTTCCCTCTGCCTACGGTCTATTGTATACTATGATTTAGGTCGAGTGGAAGATCAGCATGTGGTAAACTTTTACACCTACTAATGTAATTGCTTTTTCATGTAAAACTGCATCATGTTACGGAATTCTTGTCTTACTATGTTGAAGTTAAAGAATCAGGTTTATAAAATGGATAATTTTTTTTATTATACAATAATTTATAATACAAAAGATATATTATGTAATCATATAAATACAAATTTGGTATCTTTGTTGTAAAAGATGGAATGCCTTGATGACCAAAACTGATATTTTTTTAACAATCATAAATGTAATGCACAACCCCTTACTTTATGCACTGTAAGTCCTTTTAGTACGGCAACGCAAGGTGTGTGATGCTATGCTTGTAATCAATGAAATCGATAAAATGTACAGATACCACAGTTTAATTAAACACATAAAAATTTTAAGATCCAATTTACCTAAATTGATGAGCACTAATTCTTAAGCCCATCGCATCTTTTCCAATTTCAGCAACACCACAAACATTACATATCGTCCCCTTGAATTGTGGGAAGTAACATGCACCACACAGCGGACATTTCTCTTCGGATTTTCCTCTGTAAAGGGGTTTGTAGGACGAGCTGCATAAATTAAAGGGATTGTGTTCGTCATAAGCCAACTGTAGTTCATCGACCGGATTCGTATCGCACGCTTGCAGTATTTTACGTGCCTGCTGAGAAACTTCTTGTCTGGGACCTAGTTCTAATAATCGCTTGGCGAACGAAGCAGCGGTCTTGTAGTTCTTCACTTTGAAGAACATATTCAAGGCAGTACGCAATGTTAAGATTTGATGAATCGGTTGCAAGTTGCAATGCGTGAAATATGCCGCCATCTCGCATTGACGTTTTTGTTCGTCGATTGTTCCCTTTGGAAGACTTTTTCGCAGCGTTTCCATTTTTAAGCCTAAAATGTACTCTCGGCATATCTTCAGCAACTGCTGAGCTTCGGACACTTCTTGTTTAGTATCGACAACGAGAAGAGTGACGAGTAGTATTAATGCCTGTAATTTCTCCACTGCCTCCGCAAACTTTCCGCCAGTAGTCAATTGATAGCAAACCTAATGAGAGAGAGAGAGAGAGAGAATCAGATTTTTTTAAGTTTAAATCGGATTTTATTTTTAAGTGGGCGGGGTACAGCTGACCCAACCCCTGCACATTTTTAATAATATCCATGATTGGAGAAACATGTTTTTTCAATCATAATGATGCAGCTTAAAATCAAAGTTAAAACTGGTTCACAGTATCCCCCTCGGGGTTGGGCCTTGTCGCAGTTGTGGGGGTTGAGTGGTTCAGTGATCAAGGAGGCGGGTAACGTTAGGTTCGACCCAGCGTATGATGACCCCAAGTGAGAATGCAGACGAAAGGTTATCTGAAGTGAAGTCGTACCGCCGACTGAGTGAGCATTTGGCGGGCCAGTGGCAGCAGACTGACTAGTGGAAGGTAGGCCGTCCTCAAAGCGAAACCAGGCGTATTCTGCTACCCTCTAGAAGCTATATTCTCGTGGTAGCCCTGGCGTCTGGATATACGTCTCCTTGTTGGACTCCGTGGTGGATGGGGAGCTGGGAGAACGAAATTTCCCACGCCTAACATGGATACGAACAAATTTAATAAACCAGAGGGAACTTTGTTGCAGCTCATCGAGCCTCAACACAGCAAACCATGAAAGCGCATTTCTGGCGCTGAACAGACGAGGAAAAAGAATGCCAGGCTGATCCAAATGGATCAAACTACGCCAACAGTCACCTTCAAACCATCCACCTTCCGTGACCCAACATTGACCTAGAGGCAGGTTCCTAGAGATAAAAAGAGGGCTCAGTGGGTGGGTTTTCCTCTCTAAAGGTGAGGGTTAGTGCCGAACCTGAAGAGGTGGGGTGTATGTCAATACACCAGAAGCTGTTATAGGAACAACTGCAAAAGGCTATGGAAGCATAACCATTCAGGCTGACAAGGTAACCTGTGGTCAGTGCTTGCTCCAGCGTCAGCAACTCACCCATTCCGATTTCGAACTTGGAGTTTTGCGAATATTGAGGCGCTACTGGAGAGTGTGATTCTAGTAACGCCAGACAAACGATAGACAGCTATTGTCTACATACATAAGTATGCGCCTCACTGTAAAGCAGGGCATTGCGCCTCATTCAAGAACCCTGTTAGATCAAGGGTTTCTAGTTAAGCTGTGACATAAAGCTCAAGTAGTAATAGACACTTTGGACAAGCACTGTGTAAACGTGTGCGTATTACGTAAACGTTACTTTGTCACGGATACGTATACGTATGCTGTGAGTTAAGGTTGCTTTAGTTAGAACTGTGTTTTTCTAAGGTAGTGTATCTGACGTTTAGAATATTTTTCAAATACACAGACTCTCATAACCCAACCGTAAAGCTATGTTGCGTACATCGGTTTATTCTCAAGGCTACACGTATCCGCATGATAATACGTAAAATGGGAGGAGCCTAACGTAATGCGATAAGGATAAGTCATACGGATACACAGCTCTGTCCTAAGTGTTAATAACATTAGTATATGTATATCTCCTGGGAGATTCTGTCAACATAGCTACCAGATGAATGGCAGAACTGATAGAACACTGTGAGAAAAATAAATACCTCATTATAGGGTGTGACTCAAATGCTCACCATACAACATGGGGGAGCACTAACGTCAACGCTAGGGGTAAATCATTTCTTGAATATCTGAAAAGTGCTCATCTAGAGATTCTCAAACAGGGCAGGTAACGGATATTCCCCTTTACAATCCTCCCTATGGAGAAAAAGTTAGAGAGGACAATAACCCTATAACCATCCCTGGTGGTACCGGGCGCATGAAAAGCAGAAAACTCAGTTGGGTAAACTGTTCAATAAGGCACAGAAGGGCAATGATAGCTATAGCCGATTGGGATGCCTATAAGGTAAACCTAAGGCTATATAAGAGGGATATTAGGAGGCGTCAGAGAGAGACATGGAACATCCTGAGGTTCGGGAAAACACTTTTTCTTATTAATTTTGGTGCGTAGAATCCAAAACAATTTGTACTTTTTCGATCAGACTTCTCAATCAAAAGTTATAGACTACAAACCAATTGCGAAAGAAAATTCAAAGGGCTGTAACTTTTGAACTAGTAGCCCAATCTTGGAACTGTTTGAAATTATGGATTCTACAGGCTACATTCTATAAGAAAAATTTTTTCCCGGGTCGATCTGAGACAATTTTTTTTCGGGCCTTAAAAAAAAGGCAGTGTATAACCTTCCTTTTTTACCAAAAATCGACTGCACCAAAATTTCTCGGGAAAACACTTTTTCTTATTAATTTTGGTGCGTAGAATCCAAAACAATTCGTTCTTTTTCGATCAGACTTCTCAATCAAAAGTTATAGACTAGAAACCAATTTCGAAAGAAAATTCAAAGGGTTGTAACTTTTGAACTAGTACCCCAATCTGGGAACTGTTTGAAATTATGGATTCTACAGGTCACATTCTACAAGACATTTTTTTTCCGGGTCGATCTGAGACAATTTTTTTTTCGGGCTTCAAAAAAATGCAGTGTATAACCTTCCTTTTTTACAAAAAATTGACTGCACAAAAATTTCTCGGGAAAACACTTTTTCTTATTAATTTTGGTGCGTAGAATCCAAAACAATTCGTACTTTTTCAATCAGACTTCTCAATCAAAAGTGATAGACTAGAAACCAATTTCGAAAGAAAATTCAAAGGGCTGTAACTTTTGAACTAGTAGCCCAATCTGGGAACTGTTTGAAATTATGGATTCTACAGGCCACATTCTATAAGAAAATTTTTTTCCGGGTCAATCTGAGACAATTTTTTTTTCGGGCCTCCAAAAAAGGCAGAATATAACCTTCCTTTTTTACCAAAAAATCGACTGCACCAAAATTTCTCGGGAAAACACTTTTTCTTATTAATTTTGGTGTGTAGAATCCAAAACAATTCGTACTTTTCCGATCGGACTTCTCAATCAAAAGTTATAGACTAGAAACCAATTTCGAAAGAAAATTCAAAGGGCTGTAACTTTTGAACTAGTATCTCACATGTTGGATGGTTTGAGTGACGTTGTACAAAGGGTCCGAATATGAGGACTAAGTATCGGCGGACCCTCCTATCGTAATTCAGAAGTATTACACAACCGTTGAAATTTAACCGCCCCACCGTAAGTGAATGAAATGCAAGAAGTGAATTCAACGCAATTTTTTCATATGCGTGTTAGGAATTTTAAAGTTTGCCAACTATTGATCAAAATTATCTCAACCCCGCAATGAGTTTATAATCAAGTGTCAAACCTGGAGTCTTTGGACCAAGTCTGAAAGTTTGATCCCTGCAACCGGTAAACCACCCTTGTTATTGGCATCCTTCCAATTACGTAGAGGGTAGCTGTAAGTTGACGGAAGGCTTTGCTGCCACGTAGATATTGTTCTGGAACTACTGTACAAGTACATGAAAAGGGTTTCGTATGGTGCAAAATTCACAACGCCAATCTACAAACAAGTACATTATTAAGGAGATGAAACCAAGCAATATTTACTTGGTCATGAAGGAGACGACAAGCCGATTCAAGTGATCCCGCCATTACGTGGTCGACTGGTAAGTGAGAATTCTTTGTCCATGTAAATGTTGGAGGTTGCGCGTATGTCGGCAAATGTACGTATCCCACACTACTATCCACTTCACCTTTACTAGGACCCAAATCCGGAATTTCTAGATCGCCATCTTCAACATCCCATCCGCCTTCACCGTCTCCCTATAGATCCCGAATAAACGATTAAGTTAATGAGTAGTTTGATTACCTGATCAGCTTTCTTTGTTGCGAGCTCTCCTTCCACCAAGTCCTCTTCTTCGTCCACCCACCCACCTTCAACTTCCATGCTTGGTTCGATTGAAGCATCTGGTATGAAGGCACTGACAGTGGCTGCGGTCTTACGTGAAAGGGCAATATTTTCAAAGAAGGTCTAGAAAAAAAACAATAGATGGCGCAAAAGAAAATTGAATACACATACCCTACTGACGGTCAACAGAGGCCAGTTGTTTTCAGCTTGTTGAATGGGTGGAGGTGGTCTCAAATACTTAGCATTTGCGTCCGGAACACACCACTCCTTATCCTCATCTTCAGAAGATCGTATTTGTTCGGCTACATCGTCGAAGCCAAACGTCTTTGCGGTTAAGTACGCTATATTATATAACTTGGACTTCTTTTGAATTTCTATGATCTCGTCCACATCGCCTAGACGTGGAAAGTCAGCCATTACGCTTCACCGCATTTACTTACCAAGTAGTAAGGCGCCTTGAAACTGGGATGATCTCTGACTACGGACTTCGGCAATCTTCATCATCTTATGCAACTTTTCTAAATTTCCGGTAATTAAATATAAGAACGAAAGTTTATCAAAACTCTTGGTTCTTTGGTAACACATCTCGACGATTTGGTGGTTACCATGCATAAGCGCGGCGTCTGCCAATTGGAACCAGCAAGCGCGATCGTTTAATGCCTTCGCTGCATCCAGAGCGACCTCGATGTTTCCACATTCTAAAGCAAGGGCAAAACGAGTCTTCTCGTCTTTCACATAGTGCAACGCCACCTCGGGGTAACCTTTTTGTTGCAAATAGAAAATGACCGCCTGACCGACTAACCGCGAGTTCCTAACCATATGAAGGACCTCTTCGTATTTGTGCTGAATTAGAGCTAATTTGAATTTAAATTCGGTAGAATCGATGGTTAGCATCCGCGGTCTACATTCACGATCCAAACAGAATACGAAGTCGCCTTTCACCTTTGTTATATAAATGGGCAAGTCCAAAGTTCTAATAATGCCGTGATCGCTAAAATTCATTATTAAGCATAAGTGAGACAAATTACAGCGATCATTACCCATTCACAATAGTGTATTTAATGTGGTTACTAGTGGTGTAAATGAATAATCCCCCATCATCCCACGCGCCCGATTTAACACGGGTGCTTTCGTGAATGCTACACAAAACTTCTAGTTTTCTGTTGCAGATGGTTACGGAGTGTTTGGCTAGGAGTGCCAGGTAGACCATATCGCTAGACCAAACCACATAACGGCATTTTGTGATTTTTACTGCAATTCGAACACTACCAACAATTTGCCGACGAAACAAAATACCTACCTTGGGCTAACGTGCGTTTTTGTTGAACATCGAATAGAGTAACATGATCGGTATCGCGCAACAGCAACATACCGGTGCCGGCGTAAAATACTTCATCGCACGGTGGGGTTTGCACCTTCTTTGTCACCTCATTTTTCAAGTTTTTGATTACCAGCTAAAAAAACCTCAAATATTTACATTAAAAATTCAAAAGGAAGTGACTACTTCTTCTCTCCCACAATCCCCTCTTTTTGCCGCTACGCGTGACAAGCCACAGAATATAGAGCTATATCTTTGAATATAAAATTAGGAAGAAGTCTAAGCCTGCACTTTCGCGTGGGTCTCTAAAAGTACCTTGAGCGATAGATTGAGCCACGAAATGAACGTGAAAAGTACCTTTGGATTTATATGCGCGCTTTGAGAAGGCAGTCACAGCTCTTCCTTCTTACAGAGCGTTTTATGTGTAGGACAAAGATAGACTGAACTCTCCCACTTGCACTCGTTGATTTGTTACCGTACTCTTATGTTGATAATAGGCGCGCGTACATAATTGAAAACGCTGCAAATACCAATTTGGACACAGAAAATTTCATAGAACAAAAATTGTAGACAATTAAATTTACTATAAATATATCTATCTTTAATCGTTTAGCCTTACCAACCATTTAAAGTTGTACCTAGTGTCCTCGTGGGTTTCAATAATATCTTTGAACGCTTATCATATATTAATGGTTAAAGATACATATATGCTGTCACAGACTTTTTTGTAGGAAATTAAATTCTCTACAATTTATGTTTTATGAGTTTTTCTGTACGAAGTTTCGTTTTCACAGCGTTTTAAAGTAAATGTGGGTACCTTTCGTTTTGTGACTGAATCTAAAATTCAAGGGTTGTGAGCAATTTTACTGTACGTGATAGGGTTTTGTGTGCTATTTAAGTTTTATAAGGAGTGTCCTGTGCCTAAACCCCCTAGTTTTTAGGTTATTCAATATTTTTCACAAAACAATAATGAATTACATGTTTATAAACAGGATCGAGTAAGCCGTGATAATAGAAACCAAAAGAATTCCAGTAAGCAAGTGTCACAAGTAAATTATCTGCTGCAATTAATGTGCTCCCTATTTCGTAGTAAAATAAGATTAATTAAATTAGTTGGTAATAAAAACAAACTTTTTTTTTCGTGTAAGGTGTAGCTCAATAAAGGCATTATTATTAAAAAGGCGAATTAGTCTTTTTAAAAAATCTTATTTTACTAGGAAATAATGAGTACACTTGCAGCAAACAATTAATTTATGGCACTTGTTTACTATTTGGCATTCTTTGGTTTTTTATTATCACGGTTTACTCCTGTTTATAAACATGTAATTCATTATTGTTTTGTGAAAAATATTGAATAACTTAAAAACTACGGGGTTCAGGCGCAGGATATCCCTTCTAAGAATTGAAGAGCGCACAACAGACCATCGAATAAAGAAACAAAAAACATTTGAATAAAAATAGATATAGCACTTTGAAATCTAGAAATTTTACAATTTTTTTGTAAACACTCTGTATCATTAAATTCAACTTTCTCATTATCAAAGTGTTGCCTTTTATTCAGATTAAAATTATTGATTTCTATTTCTTAACTTTAAAATCAAGGTCGCTACGATTTATCAAAGTGGGGCTGGTTTATAGAGAATTATTTGAAAAAAAATTAATAATTTGGCCTGCAGAGATTAAAAAATGACATCGAATTAGCTAAAAATAAACATGCTATTCCATTTAAAAAAATCAGCTGTGTATTGACACCGCAAACACTCTGTACATTCAAAAATAATTTCTGTATATGCATAACATTCTATTGTTAACATTTGCACAAAAGATTTTTTGCTATTTTTTTACCAGGTATGAACTAGGAAAGCCCGACGCAGTGTTATAGGACCCTGTATAATTGTTATAAAACGTAAAAAACGAAGAAAGAATGGGAAAATTTCGTCTTTTTTGCATTTCACTTCAATTAACTCGTTATCTATTGTTCTGAGAGAAAATGAAGAGAAATGCATTTGTTTAGAATCGAATTTTCTATAAGATACAGTTGGTATGGAACATTCATTTTCAAAAGTTATTGTTTTTTATGGAAAAATATAAAAAAAGTATTCCCGAAAATTAACAATCTGTTACTAAGCAACATTCATCCTATCTTTTATATTATCCGTAGCTTGATAACGGAACAATACGGCAACCGATCACCCGATCACCGTAGGTACCATAGTCATTGATTAATTAAAAATACAAATTAAAAAATCCACGCTTTGTCTTTCAAAGTGGGTGACTCCCAGATTCTCCCCCAATTCTTTCCGCTATAGTGGAACCCTAAGCAAACCGTTTCCAACAATTGTCCCGATGATTCTTGCAAATCGACGGACTGTCAAATTTTTTTTTTCAAAATCCGAAGACTGCTAGTTAACCAATGGAATAATTTCCGAAATATAACAAGAAATGTGACTCCCTAATAGGCGAACAGAAACCTCTTGGAAAATGTACCTAAATTTAAAAAAATACGTCGAAATCCGTCCGTCAATTTGCAGAAATCATCGGGACAACTTTTGTAAATGGTTGCTTTGGGGTTCCGCCATCTGTACAAACATTTAGAACGCTATGGGAGTTACCCAATTTGTTTGTTTATTTAATCAATGGCTATGATACCTACAGTGATCGGGTTTGTCATATTCTTTTGTTATCAAAAGAAGGGACCAAATGCGTTTTTTATATTTCTCCATAAAAAACAATAACAATTAAAAATGAACGTTCCATACTAAATGTATGTCATAGGACATAGACAATTCGATTCTAAACAAATTCACTTGAACATTTCACTGGAAAAAAAATTGAAAAATTCATAAAAAATATCACTTCTCTTCATTTTTTCACTCGGGGCAATAGTTAACGAGATAATTGCAGTCAAATGCGAAAAAAAAAACATTTTCCCATTTTTTTTCATTTTTTCTGTATGGTTTTGTTGAGTGAAATGACATCCCGCCCAAACCGTACTTTTGATGAATTATAGGGCTTTGCGCCCTTCTGATAGTGTATTATTAGTATGGGTAAAAATAAGTATGTAAAAAATATAGCCAACGAGCTCTTGGGTATGGCTATAGTATGTGCAAAACCAAATTGCACCTGGTGTTAGATTTGCTTTTATTCCAAGTGCATATGTATAAAATTTCAAAAATGCGTTCTATAATAGTGTGAGTTTCTGGAAGAACACCATAGATATTTTTTATATGTCCCTAAGACAGTTTGAAAGATCGTGTGACAATATCCAAGGACTGTAAAAAATTGTTCACAGCATTTTTTCTTTTTTTTTCTTTTGTTTTTTTTTTATTTTAATACTCTTAACATATATTTTTTATATTCTTTATGATTTCGAATACTTTTTTTATTAACAATACATGAACATTGTTATTGGGGTAACCTGTTATGTTCATAAATAAATAAATAAGTTGGTACTGCGCATGCGCAAAACCAAATTTTGAAAATGGCGTTACATTTGCTTTTATTCCAAGTGCATATGTATCAAATGTCATTTAAATATATTTATAAATTAAAAAAAGAGCACTATGCATTTTGAATCGATTAGGCTCAACTTTTACCATTGCGTATTATACTGCTAAAGCTATGCCCATATTGAATTTCAGGCAATTCAGTTCATAATTCACGGAGATGTCAAAAGGGCCTTCCTTATTATACTCGCAAGGAGCTCGATAATATGTGAATTGCACTAATAATAAAAATAAGAAGATCATTTTTTTAATTTCCCATTTTCGCATATTTCCCTTGCGCTTTGAGCAGAATGTCAAAACAATAATGACAGTTTCAATTTTTTACAACGCTTCGATCATCCCAACCGGAACCCCCAAAAGCACCTGAAATTACAACATGTAGGTCAAGGGTTCGAGTCGTACCCACGCCAGATTCTCTTTTAACTAAAAAGTTTATTAAAAGTTCAAAATTAAGATGTGCGTACATTTTTTTACAAACGCTGAGAAAACAAAAAGAGAGACAAAAAGTTATAAAAGATAAATTGTAGCGAATTTAATTTCCTACAAAAAAGTCCGCAATGGCATATATCTATCTTCAACCCTTAATATATGATAAGCAATCAAAGATACTATGAATGCCAACGCAATCAAGATGCGCAACTTTAAATGGTTGATATGGCTAAACGATTAAAGATAGATATATGCCGTCGCGGACTTTTTCTAGAAAATTTTGTGTATCCCAATTGGTATCGGCAGCGTTTTCATTCAAAGTGCGCGCGACTATTATACGTACCAACAAAAGATTACAGTATTGAAATCTTCAGTGCAAACGCAATTCGGAGCATAATATTCGCTATAAAACCGATTATAATATTACAAAAGTGGGAGAGGTACACCTTACCTCTCCCCCGATTGTCACAGAACCACAAGTTCCCATTAGGCTAGACTTCTTCCTAATTTTATATTCAAAGGCTATACGCATGAGATAATTTTACTCCCCTCCAAAACGTATATCGAGATAAGAAGCAGTCACTTCAAAAATAGCGAGATATTAGATTAGTAGAACCAGTGTTCGATACATTATAAGGCTGCGAGCAAGCAAAACAACTTTTTCGAATTTGTATTTTGCTCCGCATAGGAAAATTTACACATGTACCGCTTCATAGCGAACATGAACGAAAATATGTCTGGGGATAACCAGCGATAATTGCTGAAAGTGAGCACGGTTACCACTATCTCTTCAAACTTAAAAGTTTCGTTCCGTTCTGTGACGAGCCAAGCACGTATACGGGTTTCCTATTCGTTTAAAAAGGTACGCGAGTCGAGATTGCTTCGTTCAGAAAATAGCAAAGCAAGCACAATTTCGTTGGAAACGTTTTCGCAAACCTTTTAGAGCATTTTCTTTTTTGAAACGTTTTCCGAAAAATTCTTAGAACCTCTCTTAGAACACTTCAGTCTTCCTGTACCTTTATACTCACAGACTAGCAATAAATAAGAACTCTTTTAAGATCTACATTATTTCTTATTTATAATTGCTACACATCATGAATCAAAGCATATAAATGGCAATCATAGTCATTTCACACTTTTCGAAGATCTTTGCCCAATCTATTTATAAATACATCAACAGACATAAACATCCCTCCTCCCCACCAAAGGAGTTGGTTGAAACAAATCACTTCCTCCCTCTATTTTTAAAAGTACCTTCTTACCTGACATGTTCGGTCCAGTACAGCAAACCTATTTCGAGCCACCCACAGGGCGGTAATACCGGCGGATCGTTTACTATCAACTTCCAGTACTTCGCGTTCCTGTTCCTTGGGGATGACGTACAAGTCATAGGTGCTGTTCTCGAGGTTAGCGGAACGGGTGCAAAGTAGCACGGCGTTTTCTGCGGGATTAAAGGATACTCCGTAAACGGGCGTCTTGCCCCCTCCGCGAATTTGTATAACAGGCACGTCTTTTGAAGTTGTAAAATCCAATTTGCGTAGATGCTTCTCTTTGACGTAGTATAAGTAATTACCGTGGACCGTGTAGGCAGGTCTCTCGCGTTCCAACTAACAATAAGCTAATGAAGTTGGTTGCAGAATTTAGGTGGCAAATTACCTTGAATATAATCATGCCGTTATCGTGTCCTGCCGCAAACAAATTAAGTGTAGGATGCGCTGTTAAGACCCAGAATCGGTCATGCTCTCGCCTAAATGTGTGGAGGCATGTACGTTTGGTCATGTCCCAAACGCGGATGCTTTTATCCTCACTGTTGGAAAGTAGCAACTCTTGTCTTGGGTGAAACAGCACGCAAGATACATTATTGTAATGGCCGCGACAGGTATCGACCTCCCAAGCCTTTCGGATTAAGTTGCCATAGTACAAAATGAAGAGAGAAAAGTACGATCTTACCTTTGATTCGTTCATTCTCCACAGTTTTACTTGACGGTCGTCAGCTCCAGACATAATCAGCGGTAGAGTGGGATGGAAACAAGCCCAATTTACACCTCGATCGTGACCCTCAAGCACATGCTTCACGACCGCGTCGGCTTGTCCGAATAGATCAGTCGTGCCGGGGTTCTTCAAATGATCATCCAAGCCACCAGGACCGGGAGCGACGTTCTTCTTTCTCAATCCCGATATGTCCCAAACTCTCACAGTTTGATCGAGCGACGCCGAAACCAGAAGATCTTCCGTGGGGTGGAACATTACGCACATTACGTAATGGTTGTGGCCGGTCAGTACGCAAATGCAAGCGCGCCCTTGCCAATTCCAAATGCGAATTGTCTGATCGTCTGACGCAGACACAATCCATGGGTATTCGTGATGGAATAAAGTGGTTCGAATGTAGTCTAAGTGGCCCAGTAAAGTGAATATGCAACGTTTTTGTTTATAGTTCCAAACCTGAAATGAACCACAATGGAGAAGAATGAATTTTATTTTGCAATGGCATGGCTACTACTACTACTATCTTAATTAATTTATTAAAGTCGACATTTACTGTTAGAAGCGCTGTAACAGCCAGATTGTATATTTCTAAGGGAACTGAAACTTATGCGCCTACGCTAATTTCAAAATCACTTATGGATTTCTTGATACTTTATGCTTTCCGTTTAGAACCTTTTCTTCCATCTGTCGCTCTCTTCCTCCACCCCTTATAAATCATAGATTTAGATCAGTCATAATTCCTCATATCTCTAGAACGAAGTGTCAGAGGGGGGTACTCACAAAAAGGAAAATGGAACGTCTGAACGAGACACATCTACTGGCGATATCAAAAGTATAAATGCGAATACTTGCAGAACGAAGTGTCTGAAAAAGGCATTCGCGAAGGGCGAAAGAGAGGCCTGGACGAGACATCTCTACAAGCGATATCAAAGCTTTAAACCTGAGTATCTCAAAAACGGAATGTCGGAGGAGAGTGCCCCCTCCTCCGACATTCTGTGAATACAAAGGGAACATGTACATGAACAATATAGAACAACTTAAGACCTTGCACCTCTGAAAAGCGTTATGCTGTTGAGAACAAGAAAAGGATAATAAATAAATAAACAGAGGAGGCGTCCACTCCATGGCGTCAACTCTGAGAGAATGATTCCAATCGCAGTGTCTGAAATTCTACTCGTACTTGAGCTTGCAGTGAGTAAAACATGCGCTCCTCAATCAACGTTATGGAATAGGGAGACCTCGAAAGAGCTCCCGAAATTAGGAGCGGACGCCATGACTCTCCTTACAGCGCTGTAAGGTTTTCCTTGGCGCACACGACAAGAAGGAAGAAGGTTAGACTCCACAGCTCTCTCTCCTAGGAAAGGTGGGTGTCATGCTGTCCAATCCCAGTTAGGATTCTTCTCTGACGGGGCAACGAAAGCACCGCTCATCACTAGATGTGGAGTAGAGGTATCTCACAAAAGACCTCGACGGATCCTCATCAAACATGGCAGAGGGAGCCCTACCGATATCAGTAGTATGGGCGGCATTATGGCGTGCAAATCGATCGGACACTGGCATCGGTATACCTCCAATCAAGCGTACCTAGACACTGAGATGTGTGGAAGTAGCTATCAACTACCCTATACCAGGCTTTTCTGGACTAATGGCCGTCGGCCAGTGAGCTTTGCTTTGAAAGTTCCAAGTAATAGTGCTCGACTGCGACTCTTCAAGGTGATAAAGAGAACCTTATCGAAAAAAGTGCTAAGGGGGATGGGTTAATGAGGGGGTTAATTTAATAAATGATCTCAAAATATTATATGTAATATCTCGATCTGAAATGTTAACGATTAAATTTAACTTACTTTTTTTGCAAAAAGGGAATCAACTAGTAGTTTAGAAAATTATTCATATCAAAACAGGAGCTATAATTATTATTAAATGACCATTCAAACAAACATATTAATTACAATTCGGTTGTATCGAAAACCAATATGTAATCAAACGTTATAGGAGGCGTCGAAAATAAAAATATGACTTTGAACTCTGGTCCTAACGGCCGTCTGAACTAAGAAGGACGATCTTCTGCCTTATCTGTAACAGATAAAAAGAAAAGTTGTCTAACGTTCGATACTCGGTACTAAAACCGTGATTAACACTCAATAAGAACCAATAATTCAATTTACGTTGACTAACCAAAGTAAAATTTTGTTCAACAACGAATCGTGCGTACAAATCGGTGATATATATAAAAGCATAAACGTGACGTTAATTTCATGAAGACTAGTTAACGATGCACAAATAACTAAATTTGTATAGAGTTAAAATTCAGGAACAAATACGTCTCCAGGTGTAAACCTTTCAAAGTGGGTCAGGAGTAATGTATTACGTGATGTCTCCAGTGTCAGTCAATCGAACTTAACCCGTCAGTGGTCGCTAGGTGAAATGTTACGCGAGTGGTCGCGCGTGAGCATTTTGCTCATGATGAAAAATGTATTATTTTGACAAAATGAAATAATTTAGTATACTTGATATGATGTTGCACATTGAATTAACGATTAATATAAATTAATTCTGATGAATATTGCTTTTTTTATTATAAATCGAAATACATTTATACATTACGGATTACAAAAAAAAGTATAACGGCAGTGGTCGCTCACACACTTGACGCCGAGCTTGACGCTTTCACAAATAAACAATGACAGAATCTAAACGGACCAGTTTTACAGCGTGGGAGGGTCGGGGGTGACAAAAGATGTTCTAAAACTCAGCTAGACGACGACTTGGCGCGAAACTAAATCTTTGAAAATAATTATGATTATTTAAAAAAAATGTGAGCAAATTGCTCATAGAGCGACCACTGACGGGTTAAGACACTATGAAAGTGGAATATTCTCCAAAGAAACAAACAACACGCAACGCGCACGCCGAAGAAAAGCAATGAAAGAGCGAAAGCGAAAATACAGAAAAGGTACACTCGGGTGCCCTCTAACGGCAAAATAAAGAACTACATCTAAACTAAACGAACTTACAGAGGAAATGGCGTAAGAATGTGATTTTTGTCTCTCGATATTAAAAAAATCCCTTTCGGCTTGGCCAATCAGATGTAGGTAGATTTCTTTAGTGTCCGCCATTTTGTTCCAATATGGCGGAATTGGCTGATTGACCAACCTATAAATATACTGGTACCATTACAATAGGTAGATAAAAATCTACTTAAAATGGATTATTATTGTAACGTAAATTTAAATGCGTCGTTTATTTATTTCTAACTAATTAACAATAAATTTATAACAGTCTTAAAAAAACAGTAATTGTTATTTATCACTCACGAATACACACATTTATCACGGCGCGAATGATTTATTACTTCGGCGTTCTAATTGCAACTGAAACAGTAACGCAATCCGATGTGCTTTATAGCAAAGTCGAAGGTTCCCGAGCGATCGCGAAATACACGTCATATTTCTCGGAAAGATTACGTCACATCCGCTCTCGTACGATATCGCTCATGACTGATCTTTCATGGCGCCTCGATGCCTATGGAAATTTCCGGAACGTTCGCTACATTATTAAAAAACCACTCAAAGAAAATGTTGACATATGGGTACTTATTATAAATTGTTCCGTTTTTTAGTTCGTCACTATGATTGTAAAAAATGGCAATTTTTCCATTGGGGATTTCATCCCCGAAATCGATCGCCAATAGAAAAATTACGTAAATAAAGTTTATTGCTTTCAAATTCTAATGATCACGCTCAAATTTTTAAATTAACAACGGTTGCAAATTTGCACTCTTTATTTTGAAAATACTACCATAAATCAATAAACGATTCCAAAAAAAAAAGAGTATTTAACGTTAATGGTGTGCTAGTGCACAAAAAACAGTAATACAAAGTGTGATGGAAGTCGATAAGTAGGGATTAGACAAATGAAGTAAAAATCTGACAACGTATGGTGAAATACAGTGCGTCCCCTATAAAAGCAGCACTTTTTAAGTTCAAAATTACGTGTTATGAAAAACGACCCTGTACCATTTGAATATCTGCACAATGCATATAGCTGCTAAAAAATATTTAGAAACCGGTCATTGTAATGAAACAGAGACCGGCTGTAATTTACCTTAAATAATAATCACACCAAGGTAAGATTATTGTACTTAAAACAAATATCTCGCCCCAAGTGATTTAATGGGGTCCTAATTCTAACTGAAACTACGATCAGTCCAGATTCCTTGATTAGGCATAGGCACACAATTTAATCCACAAGTGAAGCTGAAAGGAAATTGTCATTTACCGAGCGTAGGTATAGGTCGACCTTGACATACACCTCGTCAGTCGATTTCAAATTTGATACAAAATAATTAAAATTGACGTTAAACGTGCATTAATTAATTAAAATCTAAAACCGTCGCTCTCTCTGTCCCCAATGGCAAATATTCCTTCAAAAAAAGGCGATGAAGGTCCTAAGTGGCAAGAAAACAAACCTTGATCTTATAGTCGTCTCCTCCAGACACGAAGAGGGGTTGCTGGTTATGGAAACAGATCCCACGAACTGGCCCATCGTGCTCGTCGAATTTCTCCAAAAGTGTGCACATGCGATAATCCCACAACTGAATCACCCCATTATGCAAGCTGTAACAAAAAAGTTGGGCGTCATTATTAAAGAAATTTGGTATTTTGACCGATCAATTTTTAAAATTTATTGCTCTAAGTGGAACAGCTCAATGTAATCTTGAATTGGTAATCCAGTTTTTCCAGCTAGGATGACATTTACAAAAGTTACTCCCATTCATAATACTTTTGCTTCTTGTCAGTAAAGGTAATGAACGTTATTACATTAAAAAGCAATTAATTAATGGGAAAGAAACTTTTAGCGGTAAAAAATACTACCGCAATTAAATGTATATATCCTAAATATATAGATTTCCCCAAAATACGTTGAAGGTGACTAAGACCCACCCAGGATATTTGTTTGAAAGGGGGGCGACTAAATTCTATATATTCTTACTTAAACAATTTATTTGGCGAGTGTTACACATTTACCCGTGCATGCTACTGCAAATATGATCTTCATTTTTGTAAGTATAATTACCAAATTTTTCAAAATATTACGCAATGAAATAAAATACGTACCTAAGTGGCAATAAAACTTTTCCAAAACCATCGATTGTAAAAGTGATTTAATCAAGCAGTTTAGCATAAATTAATAGTTAATTGGTGGCCTAACCATATAATTTTTTGATTTCTGCATCAGGAAAGTGCACTTAATTACGCAACAAGTCTTCGCGATCTAAAAACTTGCTGTTTTTTGTTATACCTATTTTTCCAGAGTATTCTACTGGGCTGCACAGTCAGCGGTCACAACGTCCCCTTTTATTCTCTCCCGACTCACCACGGGTTTCTACCGGCCCCAGTTTTTCACCACCGTTCGCCAATTTTTGCACCGCTCGAATACTACGTACCGCAACCCTTAATCTACCAGCAGCCTTTGCTCCGTGGTAAGTTGGTCCTCTTAGATAAAAATCATCATTTTTATCATTCGTAGATGCACCAATAGAAAGAGTTGCATACTCGGCACCGAATCCCTACCAAGGTTTCGCTTATCGCACTCGACTTTCAGACGACGCCACTATGAACGCATTTTTTCTATCGGGCGCTTACAAACCAGAGCAAATAGAACAGATTTTCGCGCGAACCCAAAAAACCGAAAACAATGAGGAGAAACCGCGCTCACTAGCCAACGTAATTGAAAATATCTTCGCAAATCAAGATCGCGATTTTCAATACATTTACCGACCTTCCTTGCATCAAGCCATTCCGACTGCGCAACGTTCCGGCAAGGCCGAACTGGAACGCAAAGAGACACCGGCCCCGACTGAAGCGTCAACCGAGATTAACGAGGAGAAAGAAAAAGCGATAACAATTAAACCAAGTGAGACCACCGAGATAGGATCAACGGAAGTAACAGCAAGTGAGACTACTTCAGTTGAGCCATCATCCTCTTCAACTGAGGCCAAAGAAACGGATTCGACAACTGAAAATACAACAACGGTTTCCGAATCGACAACCTCCTAAAATTCCATTATTTGTAAACACTTATTTATAATTTCTTTAGCAAATAAAATTGGCGGTTGCCGATTTGTAGTACAGACTAGAACAGGGCATTATTTAGAAGCAGGTTCTCAATTTTAAAAAATGCAATAACCAAGAAACTGAGACGAAAAAATAATGATGTCAAATTAAATGCGCACATACAACACTTGACGCGAAATTCCCCGCGGCTTAAACTAAACTCGCGAAATTGCCGCACGATTCTCTCCCAACAACCAAACCCACCCAGCTTTACTTTCCTAATTAACACCCATTCCGTGGCTCCCCACCAATAAAACTCATTTTTTCTAGCAAATGAGATTCCTTGACAGATATAATTCAACGCCCCTAGGTATTTTTTTCAAAACCTATTCTGCCATGTGTAAATGTGCAATGCTTTCTAACGACGCATGCGCAATGCCAACTTTCTTATTTATGAAAGCATTTAGAGATCGTCCCAAAACTAAAAGATGATTGCGCAGAAACCAATTTTAGTACGAATGCAAATATACTATCTAACAAAAAAATGTTGGCATTTGTTACTTTATATTTGAACTGTTCACAGCTGTTTTACAATTTATTATAGTACAAAAAGACGGATTGTGCTTTGTGATAATAATACAAACGCACTGCAACATCATCCAGGCAAAACCAGTTTCAAAATTTAGTTTTGCGCATGCGCAATGCCAACTTTCTTATTAACGAAAGCATTTCGTGTGGCGCAGTTCAGTTAAAGCTGCACTGTGGTGCTTAGGGTCCCTGGTTCGAATCCGGGTTCGGGCATGGATATTTGTAAATGTATAGTGGGTTGGGTTGGTAGAGCAGCCTTGGCTGAAACCCGGCCCACTCAACAATGAAGGCAAAATTAAAAAAATTAAATAAAGTTTAACGTGGAGACGTTTTGCCTAAATTTTTTCACATAGGTAACCTCAAATATTCCGAGAAAGCCGGAAAAACTGTTTTCAGTTTTTATTTTTGCGAAAAATAAGTCGCAGGGGTCTGAAAATTGGAGCACAGTTTTTTGATAAAAAAAAGAACATTTTTTGGACCCGCACAACTGAGCAGTTTCCGAGGTATTCAAGATTTTCAAAAAAAAACCTCTTTTTCAGAGGGATGAAAAATTTATTTTTTTTTCATCATACAGAGCCCCTTGGGGTAGCCAAATATGCGATTAAAATTTCAAAAAGATACCTGGATAAATAAGACATTGACAATCCTGCGCACGCGCACATTAATGTGATGTTTGCAATATGCGATACGTTTTACTTTTAATAAAAACATTTGTGGTTAAAATTTCAATAAATTATATTAATAAATAAGAAAGTTGATATTGCGAAGCCTGCGCATGCGCACATTAATCGTTGAGATTTTTCTTGGCTCAGGTGCCAACTTCTTTGGAAAATGCGCTAAAAATGTAAGAGTAGGTATATTTAATCAAAATCTTTCCAGTGCTCACGTGAAGTTGGCCGTGATTCCTCTGAAGCGGATTTTCCGAAAACCGCATGGGTATACAATGGAAATGAGTTACCATGGTACATTAAATTGTGGTAGTTCTACATGAAAGCGAGATCAACACTTCAATAAGGTGTTGGAACAGGGACTCCCAAAGGGGTTGTGGTAAGTCTACACCAGCTTCTCACCCCCTTTGTCTGTATTGCGAGTGTTTGGTTTCTGAATAATAATTTTACTACCTTACCCCTAATTTTAAAGTTTGAACATATTTATTTGCGAAGATCGTTGATGAAGTATTGGGAAGCCCGGTAGATTCGTGTTAATGTTGACATTAAAAGACAGTCGAAACCACACAGCTTCATCACCTTAACAGAAGACAATTAAAGCTAATTCACCACTGCAGGCGTGTTCCCAAATATGTGAAAGATTTACCTCCGTTGCTAGCGTGAATTAATATTCAGATTGTTCTTAAGCTTAAACTGTAACAATGTGTAGTATGAAAGATGTAAACGCTACACTTTTGCAAATAGAAGCGCAAATAGTGTCCGATTTAACACTAAAATCACATGTAATTACCTTGTTAATATCCACGGTCTTTTGGGGTGAAACGATAAGCCTTTTACTCTGGCAGACTTCGACTCAAATTTCGTCAACATAGTTGCATAGGAATAGTGAGCCAGGTTAGGTATTCTGTTTTGTGCCACTGGAAAAAGAATAATTAACAACGGCTTCTCAAGTGATTTAAAATCACATTACAACGTATTCCTAATTATTTATTTGCTGGTAAATAATTTCATGGAACACCGAATATATACGTCAGCTTGCTTAACGTGTCACAATCACATTTGCGGTTGTGTTAGGTTATTGTAACCGGTGGCTAAATGCACAGGTTGACAGTGGCGTAGTTAAAGTAGTTTCTCAAATTCTTTTTTTTCAAAACGAAAATTTACGAACGTAAAAATAGCAATTTATGAAATTTGGTAATAATTAAAAATTTATCAAAAATTAAAATATAACAGGAGTTCGATGTACTTTAATGTGCGCGTATTTTTCTTGGTAAGTATTTTGAAATGTTATTGAAATTCTCTAGTGGGAAATGTTATTTTATTGTAATTTACAATTTTGCATTTTTCCTAACCAAATGTTAATGGATTTATATGTGGTGTATATTTTGATCGTTTGTAACGTCCAGTTTTCCGTTAGGCAACCAACATGCCACCTTACTGACGGTACTCGAATGTATGTATTTACAAAGGAGTGCCGCTGCGGCAAAGGAACATAAATGCTATTTGATTTTTGTAATCGTACGTACATTGCAAATGCAAGTATAAATCGCGGAGGTCGGTCACATATTACCTGCTTTTTGTTTTTGTAGATGCAGAAAAGTTGGAAAATTAATTATAGCATTAAAGTACTGCGAATCCGGTTGAAGATGAGCGATGGCCCGTTATTGGGTTTGCAAACAGTAAGAGATACGAAATCATTAGCTTTGGAAAAAAGGAAAAGAAAGAACTTTCTATGTGCATAGAAACAGAGCTGGGCAGTATTCGATTTTGTAAATACTTTTTAGTATTCAAATCCTTTAAAGTATTCAAATACTTTGTAATTAAATACTTTTATGGAAGCAGTATTTGTTTTTGTAACTCAAATACTTTCACAAATATTTAGTATTCGAATACTTCGCATAGAATTTGAATACTTAACCTTTTTTTTTACCAAAAATCGACTACACCAAAATTTCTCGGGAAAACACTTTTTCTTATTAATTTTGGTGCGTAGAATCCAAAACAATTCGTACTTTTTCGATCATACTTCTCAATCAAAAGTTATAGACTAGAAACCAATTTCGAAAGAAAATTCAAAGGGCTGTAACTTTTGAACTAGTAGCCCAATCTTGGAACTGTTTGAAATTATGGATTCTACAGGCCACATTCTATAAGAAAATTTTTTTCCGGGTCGATCTGAGACAATTTTTTTTCGGGGCTCAAAAAAAGGCAGTGTATATATAACCTTCCTTTTTTACCAAAAATCGACTGCACCAAAATTTCTCGGGAAAACACTTTTTCTTATTAATTTTGGTGCGTAGAATCAAAAACAATTCGTACTTTTTCGATCAGACTTCTCAATCAAAAGTTATAGACTAGAAACCAATTTCGAAAGAAAATTCAAAGGGCTGTAACTTTTGAAATAGTAGCCTAATCTTGGAACTGTTTGAAATTATGGATTCTACAGGCCACATTCTATAAGAAAATTTTTTTTCCGGGTCGATCTGAGACAATCTTTTTGCGGGCCTCAAAAAAAGGCAGTGTTATAACCTTCCTTTTTTTTACCAAAAATCGACTACTTCAAAATTTCTCGGGAAAACACTTTTCCTTGTTAATTTTGGTGCGTAGAATCCAAAACAATTCGTACTTTTTCGATCAGACTTCTCAATCAAAAGTTATAGACTAGAAACCAATTTCGAAAGAAAATTCAAAGGGCTGTAACTTTTGAACTAGTAGCCCAATCTTGGAACTGTTTGAAATTATGGATTCTACAGGCCACATTCTATAAGAAAATTTTTTTTTCCGGGTCGATCTGAGACAATTTTTTTTTCGGGGCTCAAAAAAAGGCAGTGTATAACCTTCCTTTTTTACCAAAAATCGACTACACAAAAATTTCTCGGGAAAACACTTTTTCTTATTAATTTTGGTGCGTAGAATCCAAAACAATTCGTACTTTTTCGATTAGACTTCTCAATCAAAAGTTATAAACTAGAAACCAATTTCGAAAGAAAATTCAAAGGGCTGTAACTTTTGAACTAGTAGCCCAATCTTAGAACTGTTTGAAATTATGGATTCTACAGGCCACATTCTATAAGTAAATTTTTTTTCCGGGTCGATCTGAGACAATTTTTTTTGCGGGCCTCAAAAAAAGGCAGTGTATAACCTTCCTTTTTTACCAAAAATCGACTGCACCAAAATTTCTCGGGAAAACACTTTTTTTATTAATTTTGGTGCGTAGAATCCAAAACAATTCGTACTTTTTCGATCAGACTTCTCAATCAAAAGTTACAGACTAGAAACCAATTTCGAAAGAAAATTCAAAGGGCTGTAACTTTTGAACTAGTGGCCCAATCTTGGAACTGTTTGAAATTATGGATTCTACAGGCCACATTCTATAAGAAAAATTTTTTTCCGGGTCGATCTGAGACAATTTTTTTTGAGGGCCTCAAAAAAGGCAGTGTATAACCTTCCTTTTTTACCAAAAATCGACTGCACCAAAATTTCTCGGGAAAATACTTTTTCTTATTAATTTTGGTGCGTAGAATCCAAATCAATTCGTACTTTTTCGATCAGACTTCTCAATCAAAAGTTATAGACTAGAACCCAATTTCGAAAGAAAATTCAAAGGGCTGTACCTTTTGAACTAGTAGCCCAATCTTGGAACTGTTTGAAATTATGGATTCTACAGGCCACATTCTATAAGAAAAAATTTTTCCGGGTCGATCTGAGACAATTTTTTTTCGGGCCTCAAAAAAAAGCAGTGTATAACCTTCCTTTTTTACCAAAAATCGACTACACCAAAATTTCTCGGGAAAACACTTTTTCTTATTAACTTTGGTGGGTAGAATCCAAAACAATTCGTACGTTTTCGATTAGACCTCTCAATAAATAGTTATGGACAAAAAACAAATTTCGAAAAAAAATTCAAAGGGCTGTAACTTTTGATCTAGTAGCCCAAGCTTCAAACTGTTTGAAATTATGGATTCTACGGGCCAAATTCTATAGGAAAATGTTTTTTCCCGGTCGATCTCAGACAATTTTTTTTCCGGCCTCAAAAAAAGGCAGCATGTTTAGGGAAAGTTTCCATTGTCACAAAATCAAATATAAAAATCCGATACATCTGAATACTGAACTCGATAGTCTACGTAACTTAAAAACAATAGGGACCTTTCTTACATCCAAAGACCATATGTACCAATTTTCAAAGCGATCGCACGTTTCTAAACAAGTTATCATGCACACGGACAAACGGATGGTCAAAAATAGATCTGTTCCAAAATCGCTAGCATTAATTTCAGAAAGGCGTACGTATCATGTGCACGACGCTTTGAAAACTGGTACACGTATTCTTAAGGATATAACTGGTATAAGAAAGGTCCTGGTAGGTACCTCCTATATAATAATATAATAATAATAATAATAATACGCTTTCACTCCCCTTAAATTTGTATAAGTATAACAGCAGAAATATAAAAAAAGTTAACCCCATACAAAGTATAACTTGATTTTTTAAGTAGTATTAAGCCTTTTATCTAGTATACTATTTTAAATTTTTAATGTATTTGAATACTTTTTACTGTATTCGAATACTTTTCAAAGTAAGATAATGAAATACTTTTCAAAGTATTCCAATACTTTTTATAGTATTCGAAAACCTTTGATAGTATTAGAATACTTTTGAAAGTATTCGAATACATTCTAAAGTAATTTGAATACTTATTTTTTTAAGTATTTGAATACTTTTCAATATATCTGTATCATAGTATTCGCTTGTGCTGGACGTAAAAGTATTTAGTATTCAAATACCTTTGATTTGTGTAAAGTATTTACTATTTAGTATTCAAATACTTTTTGAAAGTATTTTGCCCAGCTCTGCATAGAAACAATATGTCTTGTTTTCCGAAAATACAGTGAACACTCACAAAGGGAAATTTTTACAACTTTAATTATTAATATCCAAATCATCTTAACTGGTTCCTTTTGATTAATTGATCCATTCCACCCTTCCCTTACAGTTTCATTTCGTATCCCATCTATTCCCATTAGACTATTCCTATTTGACTCGGTTTGTCGTTGGCCATTATGTACATAAATTTCCAGATAGAATGACCTGTAATTTTCCAGGTAGATCTATATATAACTCCTCAAGAGGATCTGCTAACTTTCCCAGATAGAATTGATCACAGTCTGCAGGTAAAGAAAAGCAAAACACACGACTCAATAAAAATATAGCAAAACAGATATATGGGATGAAGCGATGTTGAATTTTTCAAGCTATAGTTTGTCATAGTAATTAATCTTTTTCTTCAAACATTTACGGATACTCGCCTGAAATGAAATTTCGTCACATATTGTAACCGGCACGTAAGAAGGCGAAAGATCACGCATCTCTATATAGGTACTATTCATATTCTAGTAATTGCACTGTTTAGTGGGCCACGGTAGGCTTCTTATGTGCCAGTATAGGTATACCCATAACCACAATAACGTGGTGATTTTTTTAATCGACACTTTAGTCAACTTAGAGGAGAATAGTCATATCTCAATGAAACTGTTCAATAAAATTTTATTTCGTAACGGCATAATATATTAGAATAATATAATATCATAAGTTAACTTATTTTATTTGTATTGATATAGAATAGGAAAATAGATTCTAATCCTTTTAGCACACATTTTAACAACACGCTATAACTATTTAACAACTGGTCCAAAGAATGGTCTGTCTTGCCCAGATAGAACCGTCATGAATTACGTGCTGTATATTCAACCAACTTGCAGGCGTTATAATTTCAGTAAATCTTAAACTGAAAGCTGATGGAACATGATTCGAATTATTTAGATAAGTAATTAAAGCTTTAAAACTTGGTGTCATTTCTGAGCAGTATAGTTTCTGCGGATATGTTACTCTTGTTATCCATTACATATTCCATTTAAAATACCACATGTATTTACTTGGCGTTTTCAGATCTTCAAGAGCACTAATTCTGAAAGTTAACGTAAACCTTGTGCAATGGTAACATATGAACGTTCTTACATGTGATGAAATGTATAGGGATGGTCTGATTTAATGCTACAATTTTATTAATTCTAAAAATCTAAAAAATGTAGCGTAGGCATGGTGGACAACAATATGTAAAGTTCAGTGTAGCAAGAAATTGAAGATGATTTTCTCTGAAAACAATCGTCATTTCATTCGCAACTTACAAAAAGTAAAACAAAAACACTATAAACCGACCTGTTTCAATAGCAAATCTGTCACGATCAGCGAATCAGCCCATTGTGGTTTATGGTGCTTTTGTTTTACTTTTTACAACTTCAGCAGTTCCAGAGTTTCCAATTTAAGCAACTTACCTAAAGATATTAAATAATGTAAGTAACAAGAAGAACTCCGGTTATTATCGAAAAGAGTAAGGGAAAATCACGATAATGGTTCCATGATTGACTATTCGTCTTTTGTCTTGATTGCCGATATCTCTCGAGCATTTTCGCAGCTTCTTCCCCGGGGGGATCCAAACATTCAAATTCACAGCATCTTTCTCCTACCCTAAACTTGTTGCAAAACTGAAACGCAAATCAACCCATTAAAAATTGTTGAGTAATACTTTCAACGTACATAAGGAGGATCACAATATATTGCTTTACACCACATTGGCTCGGAGTGATAGCAAACGCACATTGTGCAAACTGCAGGTCCCGGTACATACAGCATCCCGTGTGCAACTGTGTGGCCTTGGAAATCTGTGCATTCTTCTTCGATTCCCCCTACAACATTATTTGATGCTTAATCTGTCACTATAACAAAAGGTACATTTCAATTTTTCAGTATAGCGTAATCGTCATAAGGTAATAGCAAAAGCTTTAGCTGAAGTTTATTTGTGTGGTCGCCTGTATGTGCGTACACGTATAGGTACATAATCGCTCGCTAAAGGGAATAGAAGGAAGAGCATATATTTATAATGTATACTCACTTCGGAGGAGCAAATTGACTGGAACAAGTGTCAACTATAGACACGGGTGATCCGCTCATTTGCCCTGCGTTGTCTAAAAGGACAGTTGTAGGAGCTGGCTATAAGTCTGGCCGAAAATGCTTCGACCTTAAATGAGCTTGGCAAGATACCGGAAGATGTTGTGAAGAGACAGAAACCCCGTACTTTGATGTTGAATTGGTAGAAAACGGTTCGTTTCGTTGAAACTTTTGATTAGAATACAATGAGAGAAAATTAATTTTTAATCCTAGGACCATTCCCCTAGAAGTAGTTCAAAACGGTAGAAGTGAGTCCGGACGGACAAAACGCAAAAAATAACACATTTTTTTTAATTCTTAAAAAATGCGCTAAAAATACGGAAGTCAAGCAAAAATATTCAAGTTAATTATATGACAGCCAGATATCTATTATTGTTTTAAGAAGTTATTTTGGTTGCATAAAATTAGGCGTCATGAAGAAGATATTTTGTCATTTAAAACTAGACATAGGGAAAAACAATACACGTAAATCCTTATGTCTACTGCTTAATAAATATCACTGTATATGAAAGCATCCAAAGTTTCATTCTTTCTTCCGGATGAGACCGTCCGTACAACTTAAAAATACTGCCAAAATTAAAATGTGACATTTTAGTTTTCAGATCATTATAAATGTCTAAATTGAACTGTTCATGGTGATTGGAAATAAAGAAACAAAGCGTTAAAGAGGTCTAAAAAGAAATGGGTTCACGAAGGGCGCGTTGTACAATTAGCTGGCACGCAAAGGAAATTAGTGAAATCAATATGGAAGAAGGGTCAATTGATGTATACATGAAACGCAATTATATTTAGAATCCTTTAACTGCCCTTTACATACATAAAACGAAAATAAAATGTGCTGAAATCAAATAATGAGCGACTATTTAATATTTATTTTAAATATTGATTGTAGTAAACGAAAGAAAGCTTTTTTTACGAAAAAACCTTTCAGTTTATTAGCACAATTCATGCCGAAGAGGGTAGGTAAGGGCCTACCTACATTTTGCAAAATAAGTTGCAATCCTCAATCGTGAATGGCGCAACGTTCAATGTCAAGTTTACAATAGGTAAGCATTAAAATTATTCGTGCGCCCTTTACGCAAACCCTATATAATTTTATTATGACAATGGATTAAAAAAATTAATTTCCGCCGCATCGTGGCATTGCGGCATGTAAGTGGCAAGTAAGGATCAATCGATACATAACACGTGAGACCTAAAAAATTTAGAAAATATTTTTTCCATAAATTGAAACCTCTGCAATGGCACTTTAACAGAACTGCAAAGCTATTTTGAAAAATTGAAAGAATAGATTTTTATTTTTTTGAGAAATCAATTCCAAGTAATTGGATAATTACTTCGTCAATTAAACCAATATTTACCTGATGGTTTTGTTAAAATAACGCACACAATATACACGCTCATTACGTGGTAAGTGCACTTCATGTTTAGCTATTTTCGTGCACAAAAAATTATCATAATAATAAATTGACGAAAAATATACATATGTACATACATATATAGAAAATGTAAATATATAATTATAAACAATTATGTTTCTACATGACCACTCGCGATCAAATCCAAACTGAACTAAGGGTGCTACCAATATTAAAATTATGTTGTGCAGGTCCGTACCGCATTCATTTTCTAAATGTCAATACTAGCTCACTGCAGTTCCTATTGAGTAGAGACGCGGCGAGATGTTCCTTTTGTGCAATGGAGAGGAAATGATGGAAGATTTTGAATTGCGTAGAAGTTTGCGCAAATATAATTAATGTTATTAATATTAATCAAATTTTGTTTTGCAAGTATACTATCGGCGAGGCCTTTGAAACTGTGAGGAAAACACTGCACTAATTTATTCGTCATAAAAGATTGGCTCCTTACGCAATGAAACAAAATCCTCGAAAATCGTATTTATCTCTCTATTTATGGTTCAGTTTCAAATTTCAGAAATATGAACGTGAACACGTTAGCGCCTTGTAAGTATTGATTTTTTTGACCAGTTTGTTGTATGGGTGAGATCTAATAAAACAAACTCTGAAAATTATCTTATTTGCTTTATAAAGGGCAATTTATTTTGTAAAGGGTATATTTTCCAAAAATTTCATAAGATCTCAAACTGTGGCCACCTATATCAAATTTAGTCCCAAAGTGGAAACTGAACATTTTTTAGTTGGATCGGGCTCATTGAATAAATTTATTCAAATTACTTTTTCATATGGTAGGTAATCGACTCACCACACGTCACTGGACACCCTTTATATGTATCAAGGTTTAAAAATCGTCTCCTCTATAAAATCAATTCAAAGCGTGCGTGGGTAAATGAAATGAATAAATAAAATCCTCAAATACTTCGTGTTGTGTGTACCTATAGGCACTGTACCTACTTATAAAGTTTACCTAAAAATATACAGCCCCAGAAATCCTATTCCAAGTATGTCCCTCATTACTAATACCATTGAATTACTTATTCAATACTTTTTTCGTACTCATTTCATCTATATTGAACATACCAAAAACTAATTAATATTGGTGGTACTTTCAAACAGTTCAACAACGCAACGGAACCGTTATACTGTGCAATATATTATACACTCTGGGAGATTTAGTAACAACGGGTGAAGACCAGTCCTTATCACAACCCGTTAAGAACGCCAACACCATTTGTTTATAGCTACCAAAATGCAATTTAGTTTGCACAGCACAGCTTAGCCTTTTAAAGATCTATTTTCCTAATATTTGAATGAAATTCGAATAGCCTTAGAAAGTATATATTGAACATAGGGGTTGATTCTTGAAGTCAAAAATGTAATCACTTCTTCCATAAGAGCTACAGGGCCTAGGTGTGTCTATCAAATTTCAGTTTTATGTCAAAACGCTTTTGAGCTGTAGTGCGGGCAACGACCGGATTCAGACTTTTTTTACTTTTTTAATAAAGTATAGGTACCTAACCGCTCGCGCTATTTATAATTAAGCAAAGCCAAAGGATATATGTAGGTAGATATACCCTTGCCCCTAAAATCAATCGATCTGACTCGATCGGAAGACGCTCTTAAATTTATAACATTACAACAAAACAAAGGAACATAATATCGTCAAAGAATAGGTACTTAATAACTTAAATAATATATCGTGTTAAGAATATTAGGATAAAGTAATTAATACGCACAATGTTAACTGCAATATATAACAATCTTGACCTCTGTACAGAAACAGCAACGTAATTATGGACCCGCAAAAGAAATGGAATGCTGCAAGAAATTCAATTATAAATAAACAATTTCATGTCTATATCTCAAACTGCAGCAACACTCAGCGAATTGCTATAAAGTTAATTATAGGTACCGTTTAATTCTGCACATTCGTATTGAATATCCTCCATAAGCGAACATACTGGATCTAAACATAAATAAACAAGTTAAAAAGTAATCGTAAACGATTTACATAAAGCGCATTTCCACTTGCATTCATTTCCTATTTGTATAAGATGCAACTTTTGTTAAAATTTTAAAAATCCGGCCACAAATATGAAAGATAGCGTTGCACATGTGCAATCCATTTTTGACGTGCTACTTCAATTTCAGTTTATAAGAAGAGTTTCATTTCAATGCTTTTCTAAATAAGAAAGCTGGAACTGCGCATGCGCAAACCTAAATTTTGAAACTGGCATTAGCTTTTCCTTTATTCCAAGTGCCTATGTATAAAATTTCATCTAAATGCTTCCATAACTAAAAAAGTTGGCACTGCGCATGCGCAAAGCCAAATTTTGAAACTGGCGTTAAATTTGCTTTTATTCCAAGTGGCCCTGTATCAAATTTCATTTAAATCCCTCCATAAATAAGAAAGTTGGCACTGCGCATGCGCAAAACCAAATTTTGAAATTGGCGTTAAATTTGTTTTTATTCCAAGTGGCTGTGTATCAAATTTCATTTAAATACTTTTATAATTTAAAAAGTTTGCAATTCGGTTTATAAATGGTCGAGATGCGAAAAGGGCACTGTGAATTTTGAATCGATTCGACTCAACTTTGGCATTGCGTATTATATGGCTAAAGCTATGCCCATATTGGATGTCATGCAATTCAGTTCATAACTAACGGAGATGTAAAAGCGATCGGACATTTCTAAACAAAGTTATCTTTCACACGGACAGATAGAGGGACAGACAGACAAAGGAACAGACCAACAGGCAGACGACAGACAGCAATGCAAAATTATAAACGATCTCTAGGATCGTTAATAAACGGCAAAAGCGTAAAATTATGGAACATGTAAAAAACGGTTTTTTGTTTTTTTTACAATAACTTTTTTTGTAAGCGGTACAGAAAAAATTCCTTCCTTGGTACAAGACTCGACACCATAACGAACCAAATAGCAAAAAAAGTAGAACAATAGCTCTTAAGATAAAAAACTAGTAGCGTCTCAAAACGAGCGGACGGACGGACAAAGTGGCCACAATAGCGCATTTTTTTTTATTGTGGAAATTATGCCCTAAAAACGCGTAAGTCTGTCAAGTGACAGTGAGTTTGCATATGAGAGAAAGGGTTGGTAACCGTAAATTGGCAATGACTTAATTTAACAAATAATACAACGAAGTTATGACATTATGGTACCTATCAAATAAACTAAAACAAAAGAAAACATCACCTGTTTAATTCAAGATGGAGCATCCCCGGTCACAAATGAATCATTTGAACAACGAATAACCAGTGTCCTTCATTGCACTTTTGCATCTTCGGGAGCATCGATCATAACGTTTGCCGCACTCCCCGCTTCTTTACACAAAACCAGCCCACAACGGACCGGCCGTTATTAGCGCATTTTCCTCAAAGTGAAAAATCGTTATGGGCTGCACTTTGTCGTCCGTCCGTCCATGATCATTATGTACTATACTTATTTATTGTCCCTCTTTTGTTCTGGGCCCTCAACAGGCTTGCGTCCAAATACAGAGTGATCCACATAATACTTTTTTAGAGGTGCCCCTACACAAGGTCTTAAAAGTTGTAATTACTACGGTATTTACCTTACGAATTAGGAAAACCTAATTCGGAGTGGCCGGCAGAACACTCAAAACTGATCTAAGGGCCCATCTCTGCTACAGATGAAAAATTCACCTCAACCCAGGTTCGAACAATATATAATATAAACAATATACAATAACCGATTTGGGGCTCATTTGGTGCAAGGACACCGTGCGTACCGATATTTTTGGTTTTGTGTATGCGCAGGTGTCAAAAATTTGGTTTAAGGCATGTGCAATGTTAACTTTTTTATTTATGAAGATATTTAAATGAAACACTAGGAATATAAGTAAAACGAACGCCGTTTTCAAAATATTGTTTTGCGCATGCGCAGTGCCAACATTTGTTATTTGCGACATCATTTAAATGAAATTTAATACATAGGCATAGTAAAAGCAAATGTAACAAACCACTTTCAAAATTTGGTTTGGCGCATGCGCAATGCCAACTTTCATATTTACGAAAGTAATTAAATGACGTTTATAATACAGAGGCGTGATTGATTGATGGACAACCCCTAGAAAGAAAGATGTAACAGTGACCCTGATCTAGATTTGAGAGTAGAACGCGAGGTACGACGCAAGCGAGCACTAAATCTAAGCGAAAATGTTTTGAAAAGGTTGATGCAAGGGCGCCAAGGTATATGCACGATCCTTATCTGATTCCACCAGCCCAACTCTTTGAACATAACACTGTGACAGATACATAGATCTAGTTCTACTTTAATACCAATTAAAAAATTGTTATTTTCGGCAAGTTTCTATTGAAAATTTAACAAATATAAAATGCATTATATTACAAAAACAAAATAGTATCTTTTAAATTAAAATTTTAATCAATTACGTACAATAACATGAATGTGGTGGCACAAATGGCACTTGCTAGTTCCGTTGCAAATACTGTTTTGGTTTTTACAAAACCCAACAAAAAAGAAAGACTACCAAAAATAAAATCCGAGATATTCCAGACCCCTATGAAACCACAAAACGTTTCTGCACTGTATTAGCACAAAACATGGCAAGTTCACAAATGGTTGTCGCTGCAAATCAAATAATGGCTAGGCCATTGCTATATTGGGACCATTTTAGAATGAAAGTTTTGTATCTCCGTTTTCACATTTTATATTTGATAATTTAACACATAAATTATTTACATAAAAGTTAAAAACTAAAGAGAATTTCTTTGTATAACTATATTATCAATACTCACAATTTATTGTTGCTTAGAAACGCACGCCCTTACTATACTTAATTTTTTCACAGCCTAATTTATGTTTCCTGAAAATAATTATTATAATACGAAATGAAATTTTCTTCTAAAGTACCAAATAACGGAAACGATACAATTTAATTAATGAAGTGATCTAAAAGCGCAACAAATATAAACAACCTATATATAATACGTAAAAAAAAATCAATACAGATTCTATCACAAAACAGATTAGGTTATTTTTGTCATTTGTCAGCAAGTATTAAAACTAAATTAATACAAGTTTTTTTGCAGAAGGTCACAAAACACAAGCGAGAGTGCTAGACATAAGCAGTTAGAAAGGTGAATCTTGAAAAAAAAAATGAATTGTATGTGCAGAAATGAATGGTTGGAGGTTTTGTTTACTTTTTCAAACTGTGCACACACTAAGTGAATCTTTGCTTTCACGATTGTAATTTGTAGTATTCACCAAATCCCTTTCAAATGAGTTATACAATAATCCACGCAAGTAGATTATGGAGGAACTCAACAATAATGTGCTGTCCATTATTAGTTCCGCCTTAATTAACCTAATCCGCATCCTTATGTCAACACCTCACTATTGTAAACAATTAAATGGCACTAATGATATAAATATATAAGACAAAACTCAAATGAAAAATAGCAAATTCAACAAATACACACAATATAAAAAAAATTAATACACAAGACATACAACCGATAATATTACAGTACGAAAAAGAAAGCTACCAAGAAAAATGTCAGATCAATAAATAAAGTATCAATACGATTGGACGCAGATTTATCGACATCACAGATGAAAGACACTCCAAATGTTTTAACACAGTGATGTATTAAGACATAAAGAATAAAAAGAGATTCTGCGATTGTTCCAAATATCATTTGAAGTAATTTTATCTGTTGTCATGCTGTTGCTTAAAATATCAAACGAAAATGCAGCATGAACATCGTTTCATATCAATCCTTATAGAGTACCTATAAAAAATGATTACTACAAAAAATACTAATTCTCGCAAATACCTCGTGGGCCATCGATGGGCATTGTATGCAAGACTTCGTCCAACAATTGTAAGGCTCTATGCAGGTGAACTTCGATCCAACATGGTGTTTCTTTAATCGATTGTCGCGGATAATCTGGTCCCCAACCTTTAACAAAGCTAAGACGCAAAATACAGAGGCGTCTTAAATCGTCCACCCCGATACCGGTCGCGGCGGACAAACTTATTGCGGGAGCGATTCCTCCGACGGAATGCGGACCGGGAATGTGACCTGCGACTGCGGCGGCTTGCGCGGCTGCCGCGGCCTGCGCTGTTGCTGCCTGTGTTGTCATTTGGTGATGGCATTGTCGTAAGTCAAACACCTGCGGTTAACTTTAAAAGAATTGAGCCCACACAGTTTAACATCTACCTTTATATATGCCGACGGATAAATCTTATGTACCGCATCACCAGGTGCACGTCCGGCTTCTCGATCTAAATAATAACTTTGAACAAAAACTGAATGATCGCTTAAGCAACGTAACCAAACATCTCCTTCCCCTCTTAAATCCAATTGAACACCTTTACCAATATGTAACCTAAAACCAAAATTCATTACGCTCCTATCCAAAGTATTAATTATTTTTTTTTTTATTACTTTATAATTTCAATGCTTTCATAAATAAGAAAGTCGGCACTGCGCATGCGCAAAACCAAATTTTGAAACTGGCGTTAGATTTTCCTTTATGGCAAGTGCCTATGTATCAAATTTCATTTCAATACTTTTATAAATAAAAAAGTTTGCAATTCGGTTTATAAATAGTCGAGATGTGAAAAGGGCACTATGAATTTTGAATCGATTCGACTGAACTTTTGGCATTGCGTAGTGTATGGCTAAAGCTATGCCCATATTGAATTTCATGCAATTCAGGTCATAACTAACGGAGATATCAAAGCGATCGGACATTTCTAAATAATGTTATCGTTCACACGGACAGATAGATGGACAGACAGACAACCATACGAGCCAAATAGCGAAAAAAGTAGAACAATAGCTCTTAAGATAAAGAACTAGTAGCGCCCCAACGGATGGCCGGACAAAGTGGCCACAACAGCGCATTTTTTTAAATTTTTATGGAAATGCGCTAAAAAGGATGTTTGTCGCTTATGAAACAGCGACTGTAGCAACCAAAAACAGCATTGCGCACCAGCTACCCCACCCGGCTATGGTATTGTGGTCAAGTTGCATTGCACTGGGTTAAACAGTGCCAACATGGGTTCGATGCACATCAACCATGTCAATATACCATGCACGAACCTGGTGAGCTCAGGATGTTGCGGGGGGTCCCGGCTTCACCACCCGCACCAAGACGAGACAACCTTAGCTGAATAGACAATCAGCAACTACCGGACCAAACCTCGGACCATCAGGCGTTGTATTAAGTGTGCCGCGCGCGTGGACATTTATTTCCCCATACTCATGGGACTCATATGGACCAGGAAACTGGGGCCGTCAAGGATACCAGAACCTTTAGCGAAGCAGCTACAGGCTTCAGAATGACTTTTATACATGAAGACCTGGAAGGAACGCAGTGGGAAGAGAAGACGGGACAAATCAAAGGCTATATCCTTGACAATGTTGACGCTTTGTCCAATGAGGCGGTTTCGCTCAAATTAGCGGAGTGTCGCCACCGAAGGGGAGAGCTGTTGATCAGTAGCCTGGTTAGGTCGAAGCTAGCGAGAGCAGCTCTTTGGGAGGGGGCGAAACTTGAACTCGTTGAAGCAAAAAACCTTCCAGTAAGGGCATACGCCTGGATCCCCGGGACTCAGGTAGAACCGGAGAAGGTCCTGAAAAGGATAGAAACCCAAAATACTGTAATTACGACCGGAAACTGGCGTGTGGTAAACAGGAAGGAGGACCTCAAGGGACAAACTTTGATTGTCCTTATGGACCAAACTTCCTAGGACAAGATGGGGACCATTTGCAACCATTGACCCTACGTGAACTTCGCCAAAGTGACAGTGGGAAATGAAATAAATGGCACGACGAGTACTAAAGGAACATCAAATTAGCCAAGAACATGTTTTTTTCTGGTATTTAATGTAACAGGTGAATTCCGTAAACATATTATTATTATTATTATCTCTGGTCAGAGACGAGCAAAAGTTTGACTAAAGGTGTTCTCCGCCCAAAGACCTAGGAATGGTATATATTTTTTGACAGGTCTCCTAATGGGCCACTTTCAAATGAAACACACCTCCACAATATAGGCCTCGAAGTAACCCCGGAGAGCCGGCAGAGGGCGCCAGGAGGAAGACGAAACTCCTCTGCAAATATTGTGCCACTGTAAAGCATAGAATACAGATTCCAGGTGCTGCTCTAAAGAAGGTTCTTGATTTCTTTAGAGATTGACTTCTTAAGGGAGTATCTGTCAGCGTTCGTGTGTGGAGTTAAATGCGCCTTATTTATCGCAAACCGTTGAACGACCAGATTATTAGGGTTATTAAAAGAGAAAAACTACATAATTTTAAGATTTTCTTATTGTCGACGCCTGCGTGCGGGGTAATTTGTCCAAACAAGCGTCTCTTTCTTTCAGGAATTTTGTTTAACGTTCTTTACATGTGTTCTTGTGTCCAAGAATTGTGTCAGGCACTATTGAAAATTTGTGAAGTTATTGCTTTGGAATTTCAGAGGTTGACCGAGGCTACCGAGTTTCCCAAATGATTAATTTAAGTCAATACTGGAATTCTGAATACTGGATAAAACTCAAAAATAAATCGAGGACGTTTGGAAATCTCTTGCGTTTCTTCTTTAATTTTTTCCTCGGCAACCATAACAGAAAATTCCGATCACTACTATCTGGGGGATTTCTCAGCATGAAAATAACGAATCCGAATACACGCGTGGTCGCAGATTTTTCCTACAACCTGAAATAAATAACAACTTACCTTGCTCTTTCGCTTTGCTCAGTTCTGTGGACATTGCTAAGAGCTCCGAGGCAAAAACGATTTCCCCCGGATGGGTCTACGTATCCATCGATGGTTACATTGGGACAACTTGAAGGAACTTTAAACGTCTCTCCCACTTGAGTGTCTAACTCAAAATAAGCCACCGAACACCAATATTCGGGTGCAGGTTGATTTGAGAGTAGACCGCCACTAATACTGATATCATTTCCAAGTTGATTATTATGGTTCCCTAGAAAAGTCGTGTTACACTAGCCGCACAAGATTTACAAGTTATACTAACAATACGGAGAGGAATGAGATCTGTTATCTGGGGGCTGCATTGATTGTGTATATGTTAACGTGTTAGAGCCAGTCCACATTCCTTGTGCACCAGTATAACTTTGTCCTATACTAGCAGTAGGTTGCGTAGCAGCAACCTGACTGTTATTGCTAGATGCAATATTATTGCCGGCTGTGTTACTAAAGCCATTTTGATGAAGATGAGGTGATACAGGTGAACTACTACCACCTACAGTACCATCTTTAAAATCCTTTGAGGTTTATTAAGTGCTAAGTATTTACCTAATGATTGAGGTAACGCATCTGTTGCACTTCTATCTGTAACTTGACCAGAATTTTGTGTAGGACTAAAAAACTGTCCTTGAGTATTATGTGGTTGCGCAGTTACATGTAGAGGTGTTCCTGGATTTCCTGGCGGTTGTTGCGGAGGTAACGTCCCCGACGACACTTGCGTCTGATTGTTACCAGGTAGTGTATGTTGATGAATAGGTACAGGCATAGGCGCTGTAATTAAATAACTAGAATTATCGCTACAGTGGTGCAGTGTGGTGACTTAGTGACAAAATTTAAAAAAATCTTACGAAGGGGTAGATGAATTCGAGAAGGCAACCAGTTAGCTCTCGAACAAGTGTCAGGCCCAGTTTCAAGTTTAGGAACTGTTGGAGAAGGTCCCAACAAAGGTCTGTTCGTTGTATTATAAAGAGATGGCTCTCCTACTGTTGAAACGAAAAAAAAACATGCAAACATAAAACAACTAGAAAAGAGGTACTTAAACGTAATTTTTACCCTTCTTCACATGCAACAACAAACATCCACTTTCTAAGCACTATATACTACACTTACTGAATACACATATGAAATTTACATCAAATCGGTCTGATTTTAAATGGGACTCCCTATGCGCAAAGATCATTCTTCACTAAATGGCCAATGGAAATGCACAGATTGTTTTGCGTATAAATCGCTTCGTAAAAATGCTATAGGGGGCTGATATTGTGAAGCACAAACCCACTCCAGTACTTCGGGGAATTTTTGAAATCGATAAACTGTTTGCAATTGTGCATTTTCAATCACCTGATGAATAATCTGTCATTTAGTTCATTAGCCTATCGAGATATATTTGAAAGATCGTGGGTGGTAATAAGAATGATGTCCCCAGTAACACCGAATTTTTTAAAATGTAATAGAGTAGATAGAGGATAAAATACTGTTGCATAAACAACGTCATGTAGACGTTATTTCGGTCTAAACACCAAAAATAATGACGGAACACCTTGCATATGAGAATTTATTTAGTGTAAATCTGAGGAATTATTGACAAATAAGCACAAAGTTACTTTAAATTTGTTATCTCTGTGTTTATTTTTCCTGTTATAATTGTTTGTATTAAAATGTAAGGACATCTGTGATAAGGAGTTTTTATCGAACGAAATTTAATTAACGCACGTGTTCTTATCGTTCCTTTCAATTCAACCTGTCGCTGGTGACTTGTCAAGTGGACCTTAGAATATGGACGAGTCAAAATTGTCAGTTTTCGTAACTGCCACGTGACCTAACGCCTCCCACTTCTCTCGCCCGTTGCAACCTCTGAAACGGAACTTATTTTATGAAAGACGATTTTCCGTCACGTGCTCTGCTTTTCGCAAAACGAAACTTTTAGGTCCAAAGAGATCGTGGCAACCGCGCTCGCTTTCTGCAATGTTTCTTGATATCACCACACATACTTTCGTTCATGTGCGCTATGAAGCGGCACATTTGTAAATTTCCCTATGTCGAAAAATACTTTTTTAATTCTAAGCGGGCACCCGAAGAAATTCAGAGCAATAAATTCCACGCTACAGCAATAAATAAGCACTCTATTACAATTAAATTCGATGGTGGAGTTAACAGACATTTGACGTAGTTCAGTACTAATAAGTGCAGGTTTGTACACACATACCGCACTGGCAAAGTACTACCTAATTAATGTACTATACAATTTTTTAATTTGATAAATAAGAACAAGCGAACATATAATATTTGCACAGCATTGAATTTCCTTACATCCAGTCCTCTTTGCTATTACTGCAGATGTAAGTATACTACAGATAGCTCAAGAAATGTACTCTGCGCGAAAACAGAGGTCCCACGATAGAACCTTGCGGAACCCCTCTTTGTAAATTGGGAAGTTTTGATCTCGTCCCATTAACAAGAATAGAAAGTATCCATCTATACGCGTATATATGGGTTTGTAATTACGAGTTTATAAAGAGAATTGAGATGTTGTTGGTGGATTATCTCCTTATCGCTTACTAAATCCAAAAAATGAAATGAATTTGAACAGATACAAACAAAAAGAATTCAAAAACAGCTAACATAAACTAAACAATGAACAAATACCTAATCCACTAACCTGGGGTTTGTTGTATATTGGCAAGATTAAAGTTTTGTTGCGGAGGATGATGTTGGATAGTCTGTGTAACTCCAATTTCGCCATCGACTTCCATACTATTACCTGGCACAGGTGCTCCGGCCGTGTACTCATCTTTAACGAGTCGCGATGGCCCAGACTGCAATGTCAAACCTGATAGATCTATACCGGGTGAGACAACACGTTCATAATGATATGGATTTACACAAACGGAATCACATTTTAAATCAAACGCAAACTGACAATATTTTACATGCTTCAGTTCATTCTTATGAAGATCAGGCCATCTCCAGATGCGAGCGTAAATCACATGGGGAAATCCCTTACGTCCTGCGACCTACAAAACGTCAATCCTAATATGAAAATATCTAAGAGGTCTTTACCTGTAAACGGCCATCTAATGTTCTTTGTATTGTTACACACTTACTGGGATGAGCTCCGTTTGTAGTTATTGCTGTAATTAGTGAATCAAGTTCGTCCCGTTTTTCCTTCAACTTCTTCACGAGGGATTCGATTGCCCTTTTAGCAAATCCTTCACTTTCGCCCCCTTGCCTGTGGCACATTAAGCTGTGAACGATACTTAGACAAGCATCGGCAGATGTAGGCGCGTTCGTAGCTAAACTTGACATGTCTCTGCTGTAATTTATAAACACTTCATTGACATAACCTAACTTTTATAGGTCCCTCAAACATGTATACAACCCTTAATTTTGTACGATATCTGATCGTATGAGTATTTTGTTATTTGTTTATAAATCACTTTTCGCCACGATGGTTAATAAGCATCTTCGGCTACCCCCAAATGTCACTCTGAGGGTACAGGGATGTAACTTTAAATCAATAGCATTTGTTGTGCTATTCTACGGCCGTGGTGTATTGGTTGCCTAAGTAGTGTAAGTACTTCCAAGTTCAATTAATTTATTTATTACTTTGACTAGAGAAAAATGACTAATAAAGGAAATTGTACAACAATAATAATTCTTACATTGTATTTTGCATAATTTATAGAAACAAATAAACAATAAATTACCCCTAACGGCCTAACCAAGGTGGATTGGCCAGACAATGGATCCTAGGCATATATGTGTCCCTCAGCCCTCTCGACACCTCGGCTGTAATATTCCAACACTCCCTCTTTACTCTTGCCCTGATTTGTACCTACTGAATTCCACAGGTACCTTCGGAACTAATATTCCTAGAATCATCATCAGGAACTTGCTCCTAGAAAAATGAACGCCCCCACCTCGCCACTCATTCAACCCCCCCCCCCCCCCCGTCACTGGCCTACCAATTCTTGGTTAGCAAAGCGCTGGACCCAGGTCTTTTTAGAGTATCCACTAGCTGGCGCCATAGTCTCACTGGCCTGCCAATTCTTGGCTGGTAAAGCGCTGGACCCAGGTCGTTTACACGTATTCACTAGTAGCTGGCGCCAGCCTCACTGGCCATTTTATGGAAAAACAAAAATAAACAATACGCCAATATGATCAGCCTTCGGAGGTGATGACAGCGACATCTTCCTTCCTTCTTCTCTTGCAGTATTTATAAAAAAAAGATAGTTTGTCATTTCACTTTGGCCGGCTGGCTGGCAGCAAATGAGGGCCTATAGAAGAACGAGGAGTGTACGCGTACGTACCGGCTCACCAGTCAAAAAGATTACTTTAAACGAACTGTTACAATTTGTAAAATGAAATTTGGTTGGTATCCGAGTTGAATTTTTAGATTTTTTTGTTTATTTTTTTCTTGAATAGCTAACGGCTCGCAATAACTTTAATATTTCTTTTTTAGATATTGTCCTGTTATAGAGTATTTACTTGTTTGGACAATAAATATTATTATTATTAACCTTTTCACTGCTGCGCACGTATATATACGTTCTGAAAATGCGGAATCTGTGTGCGCGTACGTATATACGTTGTACCTCTTTAAAATTCTGTGCTACCTCCGTATATCTAATTGCTGCAATTATTTGCACACCATCGGAAAGCCCATTTCGTGAGCTTTCCAACGAGTACCAACACGACTCAATTTAGTTTTGTCCAGTACGCTAAAAACGGTTTCAGGTAACCCGTGTGCGCATTCATTTTGTTGTTTTAGTAGTTATTTATTCAGATGTTTGATAAATTGTTTTATCCATATATGTCAATCAGTAGATGGCGGATGAATACGTTGGATTGACGAAGCAGGAGGCTGCAGTTTATTTTTTATTTATTTTTTGTTTTTATATAAAAAAAATAAAAAAATCAAATCAAAAATAAATAAAAAAATTTTGATGCCCCTCCCATAAAATATATTGAGCTTTACTTCCCAACCTTGCTGTGCACGTATATGCACGTGCTGGGTGCTGCAAATCAATCTGCTGATGACGTATATATACGCGCGACGATTTCTCTCAGTGCGACGTACGTAAATATACGTTTTGTACAATTTTAATTTAGCACAGGCTGTTGACACTCGAACTTTTAATTTAGCAGCGAAAAGGTTAAGTATCTCAAAACTCAAGATACAAAACTAAAACACAAAGCCAAATGGGACTCGATATTACACTGTCATCATGCAACAAGGGCAATTGCAGAGACAAGCAAGGAGACAGTCCACCACACCCTTCGCGAGTGCCCCTCACTTGCATTGCTAAGAGAATCCATGTTGCTTATTAATATTGAAAGTGAAAAGTAAAAAATACACACATACATCCACAGACATAAAATTTAATAGAACAGAACATTTAACGTAATTCGTCTTTTATAAACTCAGCGAGTGTCATCCACTTCTCAATCTGAATGCGTAACATATCCTTTCGCAATCCCACAGGTTCACTATCGAGCAATGGGAGAAGTAGACCAAATGATGTGGTTAATTTTTCTAAAGCTAACTGCTTCTTTCCTTCGGCGTAATACAATTCACCGGTTTTCCCGATGTCCAAAGCTGTAACTAATCCAGGAGTGGTTGTAGAAATGTCGCGAAGAGATTCGTATGTTTGATTAGCAGATATATTTGTAGGTATTGGTAGAGGAACTTTGTAATTTGTACGACTTCTCCCATTTAGAATGTCTGTTAATGTGGCGATCCAAGTTGTGTACTCTTGCAAACGTAAATTTAATATTGCTTTCTTATTGTAGTCAGTCTCAATGGTTACAAATCTTTCTAAGTAACAAACAGCTTCCTTATACTTCGGCAGCGAGCTACTATATTGCTTTGCTTTGTCTAACTCTATAGCTTCTTCTAGTAATTTAATTGTTAATAAATAATTTTCATGTGTGGCAGCATGAGATAAATCTAAGAATTCGTGATTGAAGTATTCTTCAAATGTTATTCGCTCTTGAACATTGTACTTTAATAATGCAGATAGTAGATTTTCGCATGGTGGAGAAATGTTCATATTTGGTGGAGTCTAGAGAAATCAACAATTAATAAACCACAAGAAAAGTTGCCATTGCATACCTCTATAGGCACTTTTTTTTGCATAAACTCTGTGATCTGTTTGGTGGTTAAATGGCAGAAAGGCGAACGTCCGAACAAGCATTCAAACATTATCACACCAACTGACCATAAGTCAATGCGAGCATCGAACTGTTGATGAAGTAACTTTTCCGGTGCCATATACAACACAGAACCAGCATATCTTAATTCCGCAGGATTATGAGGCGATATAATCTGGGAAAGTCTAAATGGAAAGTATAAACATTTGTTAACTATAAGTCGGCATACCCAAAATCGGCCACTTTTAACTGTAAATTGGGCTTAGAGCTAATTAACAAATTTTGAGGTTTGAGATCCATATGACAAATATTATGGCTTCGTAGAAACCGCAAGGCAAGTGCTAATTGCTGCATAAACGTTTTAACAAATGCCTCCGAGAGTTTGTGTCTTTTACGAATAAAATTCGACAAATCTCCTTGATCACAGTATTCTGTTATTATAAATATATACCTAGGAATGTCTTTGTTAAAAATATACAAAATTGACTTATACTTACTTAACATCCCACATAAAATCTATCAGTCTAACAATGTAATCGTGTTGCAACAATTTTAATAAGGTTATTTCGTTTACAACATCATCGGCAAAGGATTTCTTTTGGTAACGTTTGTCTATACATTTAATCGCAACTGTTTCTTTGGTGCTCTAAAAGATAGAGGTTAGTACGGTGCGAAAAAGGTACAACTACTACTTTTGAAACTGCCTTATACACAATGGAAAAACTTCCAACACCGATTTTCTCCAAGACTTCATAACCAGTCACGTGTGGTAATGCCATTATCCTCATAATTAGTCTACTAGGCACTCGAGAAGTTGAGCTTAGAACAAAACGTATGCTGCGAGCTCTGCATCAGATAACTTTTTTTGTCACACAATAAAAGGACTGGTAACCTCCTCCTGATCAATAACAGCAACAAGAATACTATTTAAATCTTCATTTTTATAAAAATTAATGCAAATATTTCAATTTTGTTGTAATGTTTACATCTGCGAAATTCTAATTTTGACAGTGTGCAACTGTGGTCGTGGAGAAACGGGACGGTACACACCGCCGCATACCGTGCGATCGAAAAAAGTGGGCCTGGTACTTGAAAAATGATTATGAACTTGTAACCAAAAATAACAAAATGGGAAATACAAAAGCGACTATTTGTGGTGGCGTGTTCTTTTACTAATCGTAAATTAAACATAATTCATAGGTAGTTGGGGCAGTCAGACGGGCAGAAATAAGAGAAGATAGGCGATCTTACTTCACAGATTGTTCTAATGTAAAATTACGTCAATCATCGAGATCACGCCGTAGAGCCAAAAATAACGTCACCTGATTGGTCCACGCGGTTTGGCCGGACAGTTTAAATACCCGCCATAGGGCCACAACCGGTGGCGCAGTTGTTGCGTTGACCAACTAGGGTTTTGTCAGATTTTCCTCAGACGTACGTAGCTTCGTATAATGTTGAAATATACAATGCGAATGCTGGAGCAGTACTCTTCCCCCTCAGCACCTTAACTCCGTTCCTTCGATCCCCATCCTTATATGCCCGTTCTCTGGCTGTCTGGCCATGTCACATGTCAAACCTGATAACCCCCTCCCCTAAGGGTGAAAGATTACAACAAGAATCAAATCAAACTTTATTAACATTTTTAACCTTTAGCAACATATCATCTATTTTTTCTACAAGTTTAGCTTTACCGGACACCTTTTGCTTTATTTTCATCATTTCTTTCTTACACTGTTTTATGTCCGTGGAAAAACCTTCTAGATCAAAAGCTCGTCGTTGTTCCAAAACATTGTACTTTTCCCTCTCTCTCCTTAAGTGTTCTTTTAACTTACGGGTCTCTTCCTAAAACATCTGAATGGTGATTGTATGTCTGCTGAAATCCCAAACTTACATTGTAGATGTCTCGCTTTCGTTGGGATTCTTTTTGAAGCTCTTCAATCTGCAAACTCAGTTTCATTTGTTGTTGGCGTAGTATGCTGACAAGTTTATCCCGTCTCTCAATTTGTCTTAATAGAGAGTTAAGTATGCCCTTCGCCTCTTCATTAACCGATTTTCTTGTAATCTCGATTAAATTTTGCTCTAATACCAACACATGCTTGCAATTAGCTTTAGTTAATGTATCTGCGGATTTCAAAAATTCTCTGTGATCTTTGCAATTCTCCATTTTTTGAGTAAAGAGTTGTTTACGATATATTGTGTACATATCCAGTAAAACGGAAGCATGCTCTTGTGCTTTCTCTAGTTGTTCTTCGAGTTGTTTAACATACTTCCAATTCAAAGTTTGTAGAAGACTTAAATTTTCTTTATACAATTCTTGCTGCTCTTCAAATACATAATTTGTTACTGAATTGCCCTGGTCTTTTATTATCGGATCAATTGCAAGGGTTTTCTTTAACATAAGGCGTTTTTGTAACTCACTACTGTCGGCATTTACAATAATACTCATTAGTGTGTCGGAGGTACCCTACAAAACTTTGGGATATCGAGTAATTCGAGTATGTGCAACAAACCTGCCGATTTTGTGCCTTCATAAATCGCTGTAGACTCTGTTCACGTTCTGCAAATATGACTTTATTTAACTCGATTACTTGTGCCTGGAGAGTAACAATTTCCTTTCTCATTTTTATTAAGCTGCTATGAAGCGATATATTCTCTTGTGATATGATGTCAAACCTAAAACAACATGTTGTTAAAATGAATATTTCCAATTACAATCGATACGTTTTCAATTTGTTTTCAACAATTTCATTAATAAGCTCACAATTTTTACAAACATGCAATTCCATGTTTATGTTTTGATTTGAAACTTTGTTGTTTGTTTGTTTGTTGGTAGAACTGTTTGCCGCAACTTTTGCAATGGCGCATTTTTCAAACTTGTCTAGAACTCGCTGCTAAGGCCCTGGAAATGCAAATCTGGATACATTAATTACGTTTTGAACAGTATCCAAGTGAGAGCCGCTCTAAATTTTGTTTAGCTCTAGACAATGCATAAGAATACGAGCAGGTGAGTTCCTCTTACCTAAGAAAAGTACATGTTATCTTTGCACTAATACGTGTCCATCTAAAAAACTTGATCGAGAAAGAGAATATTGTAGCAAAATTGGTGGCGACACAACTTGTATATTTTTGTTATTTTCAAATTCTACCTGTGTAGTTGGATGCGCGTGCGTGCCCTTTTTGCATAAATGGTTTGAAAGAGAACTTGTCTTTTTTCAAAATTATCCATTCTTTCCCTACTTCACCTACTTTAAATAATTTAATCATGCTCAATCTAAGAAAATCAGTCCTCGCGCGTGGCGTTAAGAGGTGGTCACCCCAATTTCCAAACTGTTGAGGTTATGTTGTTGTTTCCTTTCAGAATAAGTAATGCAGATTGTACCCCCGTAAAGTGGTCGAAGTATTATAGTAAAGAGGAATTGCTGCATATTAATGGCAGTGAATTCAACGTGTACTTTTGCGGTAGTACTGGACCAGTATTATTACTTATACACGGCGGAGGGTACTCCGCTTTAACTTGGTCTCTTTTCGCTGTAAGTTGTTTTATTATCCTAGACGAAACCTTTCAATTAGTTTTAAGGAGGATATAACACATAAGATTGACTGTCAAATCTTGGCTGTGGACTTACGAGGGCACGGAAGCACAAAAACGGACGATGAATCTAACCTTTCATTGGATGTTCTAGCGCAGTAAGTGCTCCAATCATTAAATGAGTTTCTTAAATGTGTGTACATTGCAGAGATATTGAATTGGTTGTTTCCACCGTGTATGGAGACAATCCTCTTCCAATTGTGTTAATAGGGCACAGTTTAGGCGGTGCAGTGGTGGTGGAGGTGGCTTCGCGAATATCTGCTGTGGTCGGCGTGTGTGTTATCGATGTCGTCGAGGGAACCGCAATAGAATCACTTTCATCTATGCAGAGTATTTTACGGGGAAGACCCAACAGTTTTAGCAGTATTGAACAAGCAATTCAGTGGAGGTACAATTTGAATTTTTTACCATAATTTTTACTTGAACATTGCAAGTCTGTTAGTGTTGTGTTGTTAAAAACATTTCGCAATATGTTTTTGTTTTCAAAATGAAAAGTTCAGAACTGTGTTCATCCTTAGAAAGTGATTATAGGCAACACATCAAGCATCTGTGGTCAGGTAAGCATGGAAAATTACATAAATTTGTCAACCGATGGCGTGATGCGCAAACGAGTTTTAAATTCGTTTGCCAGTTGAGCATACCTTACTAGTTTACAGTATCAAGCTCGTTGTTATTACAATGCCACTGGAAACATGCAAGTAAACTGCACGAGATTGTTCCGTACGCATCTAAAGCTTTTGCCATGCTATAACATGCGGACTGTAACAAAATACCTCGCAAAATACAATTTTGTTGAAAATTATGGTGGAGGAGGGTGGAGGGTCTTAACTGATTCTTCATTGTGAGTTGTTCTGTTTGGATACCAATTATTAATTATTTTTTTGTATCTACAGCGAGGGGGCCCCTGAAACAAACTTTGACTGGGAGGGTATTCTCTGGTTATCACTGAAGAAGCTAAACACGGAGTGTTTATATTAGTGTTTTGTACTTTTTCCTTATTAATTTACTGTTATAAGTAATTTTGGTAATTTATCGAATTCTAAGTAATTTAAAATTCCTTTTCATGTCCTTCATACAAAAAAGTTCTTGTGGTACACTCCTGAGCTTGAACAGTGTAACAGCTTAGTTACATTTACAGGGGTTGCAAAATTCAAAAAGTGTACACAGCTCAGGATGCTAAATAAAATTTGAATGGTATCAATGGTTTTAAAATAACTCCCCTGGGTTGAGGGACTGAGCATAAATTGCCTCAAAACGATCTACTTATATTTTTACACAATGCAGCGGGGAAAAACCATCCCCTTCTCGAGACCGATGGCGATCCTGTAACAGGCCTAGTTAGTTTAAAAGGGTTGAAGACACATTTGCATAAAATAAAATTGAACCTGTATGGCACTGTCAAAAATATACACACACCTCTAAATGCTTTAAATCCAACCAAGGAATGGTATCAGTGGAATTCAATGTAATGTTCTAATTAATGAAGCAAAAAGACCAAAATCCTTTGTTTGGATTTGACTCTCATCAATAAATACAATACGGAATCTGTTCATGAAAATGGTTCTCATAGGTCGATTTCTTTAGGAATATTAAAATTAAGCCGTGGACGTAAACAACGCGTGTCGTTGTTTGTATGTTAGAAGTAATGGCTCTGTGGTTATGGCTTAGCGTGATTCTCACAATCATTGTTTCAAAGTTGGCCGTTCGTGTAGCATCCGATGGTTTTTTCGTCATTTTGCCCGTGGTTCGAAAATTTCTAACTCATTTCATAATCGGTGGTCGGGAAGGTACGGCTCCATACTGGTCAACTTTAAAATTATTGCAAAAATCAAGTTGAATTGCAACCACTAAGTCATTAATCATTATTTCTAACATACAAATCGTAGGTAAACATGCGTTGTTCACGTCCACGGCTCCATTGCGTCTGATATACCTAAATGGCCACTCCATAGGAGGTGAATTATCCCTGCCCATTACCCCATGGTTCACCAGGGCTGAGTACAGCTCCATCAAAAATGTAAATACTTTTAGTGGTCACCCTGTATCTACTTTGAAAATGTTGCTCCCTTTAGAAATATGGAAACAGACCGCTTCAATGGTACAGATGGTACAGCTGACTGCATGATGAATGCAAAACAAAAATGTCCATAGATATTACAAATCCGAGCAAACTGATTTCAAATTCGAGAAAGTAATACTTGAGGTCGTGATTACTTTTGCCCAATTTATTAACTAGGTTTTATTACGGGTACATCTTGTCTTGTCTTTAAATTTTTTGCCAAATGCTGTTGTATACAAATGTCACGTGTTCGGCTTTTCACAAATCGGAACGAAAGTTTGAGGTCTGAAGAGATCGTGGCAACCGCGCTCACTTGCCGCAATACGTTTATTGATATCGCTTGTTACCGCCAGACATATTTTCGTTTATGTTCTCTATGAAGCGGTACATGTGTACATTTTCCTATACTGGACAAAATACAAATTCGACAAAAGTACTTTTTTATTTCTAAAGCGATCACCCGTTACAATCCTGGTCTTAATGCGCCCTGTTTCCTTCACGGTTGTGTGTTTGCCACTTCTTGTGTGGGAGCTCGTATTGCTCTCATCACTTCCGATGCTTCAGCTCTGTCTACATGGTTTAACTCTTTCTTAATTTCAAGCTCAACTTTGTCTTGGTTTATGTACCCGCCCTTTTGCTCCATCCAAAGCTTTCCTCGTTATCTTTCCCTTGTTTTACTAATTAATTGTTCATTCTTTGGCGAACTGGTCCACAACGCTCTATTACTGCTTCCAGTAGCAGTAGACGTTTGCCTGACACCTTGTTTCGTACTCTTTTGGCGGTTACTCCTTGTAACTTGTCAATAAATTGACCTTCGTGGTATGGTGGTGCCCTCTTGAGAATGCTCGCAAGTCGCCATGGGTAATGTCGATATCCCAAGTTGGACGTGTGATGGGCACTGAGTGTGATAGGCTGCCTACGCGCTTGGTGTTGCATTCTCAGCAAGAGGGTGTTTCAGCCGAGCTTATATGACGCATTTGCTTTTCGGTTTAGGTACAGTGTCTCGACAAAACCCCTACCGGCAAGAGTAGGCAGCGAGGGATGGGATTTCCTTATCGGCGAAAAACTTCCTCAGCCGGCCCAGAATTGATTGCAATCCAAAGATGATTACAAAAGTGCATTAGTTTTTTTTTTTCTTACAACCGTAGTCGTTTTTCACAACTGTAAGTTTTTTCTTACGATTCTAAATTTGTTTCTTATAATTGTAAGTATTTGTCTTATATGTGTAACTCCGTTTCTGATACTGTAACTTTTATTTTTGGGAGTGACTACTTCTTATACCTCTGTATAGACTGTATGTTTTTGCACGGGAGTAAAATCATCTCATTTGTCACCTTTATAAAACAGTATAGGCGACGATTAATAGGACAGTCTCACATACACTTATATTGTGGACAGTCGCCGATGTCGCGGGTTCGAACCCAAGCGCGCGCGTTTTTTTTCTGTAATACATCCCGGCAAAAAGAAGGGAGTAAAAGAATATGAGAGAGAAAGAAGTGGTCACCTCAGTCGGGGTCGATTTTTGTTTCTTACAATTGCAATTTTGTTTATTACTTTTTAACATTTTTCTTACAATTTTCCATTTTCTTACCTGTTACCTATCATGTTTTTTTTTTCTCTCAATTGCTACTGTAGTACATTTTTAACTATTGGTTTTACAATTGCAGCTTTTTTCTTACAGGTGCAACTTCCTTTGTTACAATTGTAAGTTTGTTTTACGTTTATCATATTTTGTTCTTACAATTGTAAGAAAAAGGATTTCTTACAGTTGACGCTGTAAGTCGTAGTACCGATATTTACTATACCTAGTGCGTTGGCATTTCGAGACCAACCTGGAGGGCATTTTGCCATGACTTATTGCCTGAAATGCTCTATGAGAACAAAAGTAAGAATTGCAAGTAGGGGACAAGTCACAGCAAAATCAGAGGCCCATCACAGTTATAAATTACAATTATGTCAGTACAAAAGGGTACTCCTCATTAGGTATGGTTGTCACTACAAAAGTCGGGCATCTATCACTGTCTTGGAACAATCTGCGAAGACATATCAAATCTTGTTACGATGGTAATTATAATGAATGTCCTTTTGTTTTAGTTACCGAAGCGGGCAAACCCATAATATGGAGGCCGCGAAAGTTTCAATGCCCGGTCAAATTAAAAAGTAATATTTTGCGGCGTATACTTTCAATGTATTACTGTAAAAATAATTGCAGCTGTAGGACAAATGAGTTAGCTGCAAGGGAAACTTGGGACAAAAATAAATTGAATACCGAAATCGCCGAAAAGGTGTGTCGACATTCGGATGTGATACGCGAAGAAGATGAGGATCCAGAAAACGAGACTGTGGACGCTACGAAAAATAGTTCGCCCGTCTTTGAAGTGCCGAATACGAGTAGCAAATATACATGGAGAATTGATTTGAGTAAAACCGAAAATTACTGGATTGGTTGGTTTAAAGGGCTGTCTCAAAAGTTTCTTAATATTCGTGTGCCAAAAGTATTGTTATTGGCTAACATCCATGGGCTTGATACCGCCCTAACAGTGGGTCAAATGCAGGGAAAATTCCAGTTGCAAGTGCTACAACGTTCCGGACACGCAATTCACGAAGATCAACCCCATCAAGTTGCCGATATTATCGCTGGATTTTTAGTTAAGCAAAAACTTGCAGTGGCTAAGAATGATTTTACCCCCGCAATGCCAGGATGTTAACCCTAGAGTATAAAAGATCTATATTTTTATGGAGATAGTTTATTTTATATACCTGAGCCTAAAATTGTACAGTTACTAGAAATAAGTGTTCAATTCTTATGTCATAATTGTGAGAAAGATGTAGGCCGAATAATTTTGTATTTAAAAGCAACTAGAAAGAAAAATTGTATCGTAATTTTGGTTAAATGTGTTTGTTTCGTAATTGAAATCATTAATTTATTAAAAACGTCTGATAACAAAGCCTTCGTTTTTATAATTTTGCCCAGAGAAATCATTTTGACGATCAAATTGTGCTATGTACTGTCTAGCACGCAATACATTGTGCAGCTCCTCATTTATTGTGTACAATAGTATACATTCATTAGACCTATTTAAATTTTAATCTAATCTCTAAACGCTTTATACTTTGTGAAAATTTTAACTCGGAACATACGAATCTGCTATGACAAGTCAATGCATTGAAATGCATGACGTTATGCAACCCACCTTACACACAAATTTGACAGCAATGTAAAAAAAAGAAACTAGTTATTTTTAGTTTCGTAGAATCGACTGTATTTAGTTACTGGAACTTTACTTTACTCCTTTAAAGTATTCAAATACTTAGTAATTAAATACTTTTATGGAAGCAGTATTTGTATTTGTAACTCAAATACTTTCACAAATATTTAGTATTCGAATACTTCGCATAGGACTACTCCAAAATTTGAATGAANAAAAAATTCAAAGGGCTGTAACTTTTGATCTAGTAGCCCAATCTTCAAACTGTTTGAAATTATGGATTGTACGGGCCAAATTCTATAAGAAAATGTTTTTTCCCGGTCGATCTCAGACAATTTTTTTTCCGGCCTCAAAAAAAGGCAGTACTTTTAAGTTATTCAAATATTTGAGAACAATTTAGAAATGTTTAGGGAAAGCGAGAGGGAAAGTTTCCATTGTCACAAAATCAAATATAAAAATCCGATACAACTGAATACCGAACGATCCTGGAGTGAAACTTTTTGACTCGATAGTCTACGTAATTTAAAAACAATAGGGACCTTTCTTATATCCTTAAGACCATGTGTACCAATTTTCAAAGCGATCGCACGTTTCTAAACAAACTATCATGCACACGGACAAACGGATGGTCAAAAATGGATCTGTTCCAAAATCGCTAGGATTAATTTCAGAAAGGCGTACGTATCATGTGCACGACGTACGATCGCTTTGAAAACTGGTACACGTATTCTTAAGGATATAACTGGTATAAGAAAGGTCCTGGTAGGTACCTCCTATATAATAATATAATAATAATACACTTTTACTCCCCTTAAATTTGTATATAACAATAGAACTTGATTTTTTAAGTAGTATTAAGCCTTTTATCTAGTATACTATTTTACATTTTTTACGTATTTGAGTGACAAATATTTGAATACTTTTTACTGTATTCGAATACTTTTCAATGTAAGTTAATGAAATACTTTTCAAAGTATTCGAATACATTCTAAAGTATACTTATTTTTTAAAGCATTTGAATACTTTTCTATGTATCTGTATCTAGTATTCGCTTGTGCTGGACGTAAAAGTATTTAGTATTCAAATACTTTTGATTTGTGTAAAGTATTTACTATTTAGTATTCAAATACTTTTTGAAAGTTTTCTGCCCAGCTCTGCTGTGAATTGTCGAATTTAACACATTTCAAATTGTCTACGTAAATTATACGAACAGTGATGTATGTAATTGGATTTTCTTCTACATACTTAACTTCATTTCTACAAGTAAAACATGGCAAGTTCTTTGTCTAGCACTGTTGTGCTATGTTTGTAATGAATCTTTGACTAGTAACTCACCTAGATTGCATTGCTGCAAGATTTCCTCTTTCTTTGATGTTCACCAGACATTATCCCCAATTGTAAGGTTACATGCAGGGCCTGAAGTATTTTAATTTTCTGTTAAGGGTGCCCTACATAGTGATATTGTAATGGCAAAGAGAATACAAAACTGGTTAGATATAATTACCCCCTACTTCCGTTTTGGAAGTCATCTATTTTATTCACAAGGCAGCGCGACTAGGGCATACCAAAAGGACAATTGAGCTCACCCCCTTTATTCCTTCGTAACTGTGTTCAGAGCCCGTTCCCCTCATGACGTAAGGGATAGGACCTTGTTTAGCCTGTTACTTTACCCTCCCCGGTTCTAGAAAACTGGCACTAAAGAGCTAATGTCTCCATTATTAACGTGTTACAGTGACGAGCCACTTGCTTGGTAGTTCCATATGCCTCTCCACAGAACCTACAAGCCCAATCTTGTGCAGCGGATAGTTGACTATCACGTGCTCCGTGAGTGCCCAGAGTCTAAAAGACTCAAATTTGCCTGAAGATCCTGAGTCTGCAGTTTTTTGTTGCCATTGAGCCTGGAATTGACTGGTTATTCACTCTCTAATCCTGGCTCTGACAACGGAGGGGGCAATTTCTAGGGCAGTAGACTCGGGCCCGATGTAGACATCCGAACCAACTCGTCCGCCAATTTGTTGCCCTGGCACCCAGATCTAAGCTTACCCTATTAGACACTTATAGTCTCACTAAAGTTCGCCAGTAGCCAATCAGAACCTGTCGGCTGACTGGGCGCCACCTGACTGTTACTGCATGATGTATATGAGGTTCTCGTGTGTGCGGGTCGTGGGTGTTAACATCTTTACTTGAAACACAGTACTATATTATCCGTGGGAGAAGCTGATGTCAACTCTTGGTTGATTACCATATCTACCCATGTCCATTTTTAACAACTTTTTTGGTCTTAGTAAAGGGATCCGATTTGAGAGTTTTCTCCCGGATGCGTCCTTGCTCAAGGCTGCTTCGATCCTTCCACTCACCCCAAACCGTTTAGCAGTATGGAAGCCTTTGCACGCAGCCTGATGCGCAATATTAACTTTCTTATTTATTAATATATTCTGTTGAAATTTTAAACACACACAATTCTAATAAAGGCAAACATATAGCCAACTTTCCTATTTATGGAGATATTTTTTTGAAATTTTAACCATAGATGCCTCTAGTAAAAAAAAACATAGCGCACATAGCTATTGCCTTTTGGGAAGTACTGATCAATGCATGGAGCTACTCGCCTTAGGGCGAAAACCTGTTTTTATTTGTTTTTTGTACATGCAATTTACCATTTTACGAATTGTTTTGCCTAAATTGAACCGTAGATGTGTTTTGTACTTGATCTGATTTATCATGTTTTCTAAGCTGGGGTTTTTGTCTCGAAGAAGGTTTCCCTGGTTCTGCATTTTATTCAATTCCCTTCCACATTATGTCTCAACTCCCAACACATAAAAGAACCGCCCTAGTAAGTATTACACAACGTGGAACCTTTTCGTGCCATCCAGTCCGAGTCGACTGCTACCGAGATTCAAGTCAAGATTGCAGTGTCGACTTGTGGGATCCCTAAGATCATTACACATTTTTAGAAGAATCAACGATAGGCTGCTGAGCCTGTACTCCTGCGCCGTGTCGTATTTCGTATGATCTGGCATAGGTAGGTACGCTTACCTTTCTCCAGCATTCGGAGACGTACCCTAGAGCCAGACCGGCTCTAAAGAGGTGCAACAGTCGATCGGTCTTGGATCAACCCTGGTAGCTCCTTTCCTTTTGGTTTCCATAGTCCCCAGAGCTTGAAAGTGTGGTTTTCCAGGAGACATGTGAGAGCCTCACTCGCGTCAGACGTATATCTGTCGCATGGATCGCACTGTCACAACGGTTTTCTCACTGGCGCAACCAGTTTCACTATCAAATCGTAGTATGTATTGCTTTCAGCGCCCAAACACTTGATTGAGTAAAAAATGTATAATTTTGACCGCCCCCCCCCTCCCAGTAGCATTTCCCGCAACTTTGGGTGCTTCAAAACCCATGAATATCTTCTCGGGCCGCCCTAAGTCAAACCCTGAAGTATTCCCCTCTGCCCTAAGACTTTCAGTCCTGGCGTTGAGTGAAAAATTTTCGTTATTCAATGGTCCTAGACGTCGGAGTGTCCCCGAGCCTACATACCCACCACCGCTTTTTTAGCGCATTTTTTAAGAAAAAAATATGCTATTGTTTGCGTTTTGTCCGTCCGTCCGTCCTGACCCACTTCTGTGGTTTTGAACTACTTTTAGCGGTCTTATGCCCGTTTGCACCGACAAATTTAAGTGGAGCTTAGCCTAAGCGTCCCTTAAAAGCCATGGCAACGATTATTGAGACAATGGTTGCCATGGATTTTAAGCTACTCTTAAGCTAAGCTCCGCTTAAATTTGTCGGTGCAAACGGGCACTAGAGTCCTGTAATAGCAGTGCCAAGTAAAATTTTTGATAATGGGAGGGAGCGGGGGTGAACACACGTTCTACCCTTCCTGGTATTTTAATGAAAGGTCTCACCGAAATGAATTGGTTTGTACCAACTATTTAACTTTCATGGTATTCCAATTTGAGGTTTCAATAAAAGGAACTGTTTTCTACCAACTACCGCCTTACTTTCTGACTCTTTATCAAAAGGGAAGGGGGGGAGGGGGGGCTGGTTTTATCCTTTATGGTACTCTAATGAAAGGTCTCAACGAAAGGAATTGATTTCTACCAGCTATTGAAATTGTTATAGATTTATAGATCAGTCTGTTTAGTCCGATAATTATCGGATAATCGTTAATCGATAATTATCGAAAACTTTAGATAATTATCGATAATTTTCATTAATAATCGCTAATTATCGATAACTTTTGATAACTATCGATAACGTTTGATAATAATTAATAATGATCGTTAGCTGTCGATAATAATCGATTATTATTGACATTTGTCGAAAATTGTTGATCTCTGATAGTTATCGATTAATCGATAAGTAGCGATAATTATCGAAAGTAAACTATGGATACCTATTCATAAATCTACAAATCGGTAATTATCGATTTATCGACCAATCCTTTAACATTTTTTAATTTTTTGGCTATTTATTAATGGATTATTATCGATTAATGGTTTTTTGCAAAGCACTACTTTTAAATGACTAATTATCCATTATTCGATGATTTTTTTTTAATTTATCGGTCGTCTTATCAATTAATCGATTTTTTGCACAGCACTATACACGATACAACTGGCACTATATGTACCCGATTTATAAATTAACTAGTAGTTAAACTTCCTTTATTTTTATGCAAAATCTTACATAGATACATAACTTGAACAATGTTCTATTGGAAAAATTGTATTGTAATCTGCATTTGAATGTACTAAAGCAATATTTCAAAAAAATCGTTTGCTTACAAAGCTCAATACTCATACACTGACTTTACAGCAGTTTTCCACTTATTGAAGATCAAGTTTACGTTTCTCAAATTATTCTTCGCGTAAAGATTGCGCGTTTTAAAAATTTTCAACTTCCATTCCAGGCCCGCAATGATTGCCTTATGCTCCTCCAGTTTCTGTTCATACTTCGTTTTAAGCTCTTTGAATTTTCTCATGGCATCCGATACAATAAATAAAGGATTAGGCAACCATTCCTCGTCCATGTACCCTAATATGTTGTCCATGTCGCTGCTAAAAGTGCTGATTAAGTTTTTGTTTGGATAAAAATATCGCACTATACACTTACTCGTCTACATTACCGCAATTTTGATGTTCTTCCTTTGTGGGAGACGCTGGAGATGACATCGGGCTCAGAGGGCTGTATTGGATACTCACACTTGTAGGTTCTCGGTAAGACGAGGCCACTTTTGTACCTTGTGAAGATGGTGACGCTGACATCGGGCTCACAGGGCTGTATGGGATACTCATACTGCTAGGTTCCCGGTAAGACGAGGTGACTTTCATATTTTGCGATGATGGTGACGGCGGCATCATGGGGCTGTTCGGGTACTGGGGTGACGACTCTCGAACAGATGGGGCGATTTTAATATTTTTCAGCTCCCTTGGCGCGACATCCATCCTTAACGGTTCACTGTTACTGGGGAACTATCTTAACTAAACACAAAGCAAAGTTGAAACTACTTCCTTTTTGTGAAATGATAGCTTTGTTGTAATTAAAACTGCTTAGTTAGCAAGCAATATGAGAATGAATGAACTGTCTGTTCTGGTAAAGAGTTCAGAAAATTCATATCCCTACATATTTATGGAAACTGCGCCGGTTTATGGCCATTAAACTATTTATTTCATTTAAAGCGAAAGACAGGTCTGATGGTACCAAAGATTCTTAAAAGTTATGGTCGCTGAAGACCAAATCTACTAGATAAACCGAAAATTTACCTTAGGGAAACACCGTACATTTTAAATTAATAGAAACAAGAAGCTTATTTTGCACAGTAGGATGTTATATTACTTCATTGCGCTAAGATAATTTTAGATGCAAGTAATCTCAAAAAAAGAAAAACTAAGTACTTCAAGGTTATATAGTCCCCACCTTAACCATAAAGTTGGACCCTTTGGAATTTATGAAAAAATCCTTAATTGTAATATAAGTCCTTAAAAACACCGCAAAGTACGTCAGATCCATTCCTAGATCCAGCCCGGGCTCTAAGTGGCAACCAATCTTTGAAAATGGCGGAGGGATGTTTAAATTTTCTATTTTCATTCAATTCAAAATTTCTTAAATCTAATATGATGATGATGACATTATTATTACCTACAATCGCTTACCAAATTTAGCTTTTGAGATCAAATTTGGAGATTAATTACCTAATGCAGAATAACTTGAATAACGATGTAGATTTCAATTAATTCGAGACCACTCGCAGTTGAAGAGTTGTCACAAGCTTGCATTTTCGTTTATACTTGAATTACGAGCTAATTAAAAGCTTTCACATTATGATTGTAATGAAACTTCCTGAAACTTTCTCAAGTTCTCTCAGAAACTATACACTCCAAATTCTCCAGAACTTGCTAAATCCCATATCTCTGCAACCGTCTGAAATCTCTCCTCAATTGCACGAGATTCTTTAAAATGCCTTAGAACTTAATGGAAAATGTTTCTGAAACTAGAAAGTAATCGTACACAATTTACAAAAAGCACATATTTTTGGAAAAAAAAAAACTCCAGCCAAATTCGTTTGTCTTTCCACTTTTTTTTGCAGAAAGACTGGTTAACCAATGCTATTCTGAGGCATTCAAATATAGACCAAGGGCCAAAATCAAATAAATAGTGGGCAAAGTCCCGAAATATTTAAAACATCTTTCATGTTAAATTATGATGTTACAGAAAAAATCCTTCCGGTCAATAAGAAAGTGAGTGTTTTACCCTAACATTTTAGAGCGTATGTACAATTTATTTTTTTATGTGCTTTTAATTCATCCCTTCCTTCTTTTAAAATTTCAGAAAAATCCGTCCGTTAGCACTGCGCATGCGCAGGACAACCTATTCTTTAATACGTCATTTTAATTTCATTTCATAAGAATCACCTTCCTTAGCGTATAGTATTTGTAAGCGCAATAAACGGCAAAAGTGTAAAATTATGGTATATGAAAAAAGGTGATTTTTTCCTTTTTTAGTAATAAACGCTGAAAAAATTCCTTGCTTGTTGCAAGCCGCGACACCATAGCGAACTAAATAGCGAAAAAAGTAGAATAGCGCTTAAGATAAAGATCTAGTAGCGACACGGCCGTAGGGACGGACGGGCGAACAGACGGGCGGACAAAGTGACCACAACAGCGCCTTTAAATTTTTATGGAAAAAAATTGACTGCGCATGGGCAAAACAAATATTTAATGAATCTGCATTAGTTTATACCTGCAGGTGCCTAAATTCAAAGTTCATTTATAAAAAAGTTGGGTTGCGCATGCCGCATGCGCAATTTTTTTAATAATCTGTATAGTTGCTTTGTATTTACGAACACAGAAAACCGGACATTCATATGTTCTTTGTAACAAGAATTATAAAAGAAACCCTTTTATTTGGAGGTTTGGGCGTATCGCGTATAGTTTGGCTGTAACTCTTTGTGTCCCGATAGTCTACTCGGCTGAAAATCGATACCTTTCTTATATCCTTGTGTACCAATTTTCAAAGCGTTCGGACTGTTCTAAACAAAGTTATCGTGCACACGGACAGACGGATAGGCAGGCAGACAGACAAACAGCCGCAATACAAAATTATAGACGATCTCGAGGATCGTTAATAAATGCTAAAAGTGTACAGTTATGGTACCTGAAAAAAATGATTTTTGCGATAAATTTTTACCGCATTTTCCAACTCATGTTAGAAGGCGCTTTGAGCAAAAATGCTATAGAGTATAGGCTTTTAGAGAACTGTAGCAAAAGTAATTTTCTTATAGCATTTGTGCCATTTGATACTTATTTGTTAAATGTATAAGTTACTCATTTCCGTGCCTTTGTATGTTGCTTTTCTCCAGCAATATGAAATAAGCTCAAACTCATAGGTAAATTTCATATGATTTTCCTTGTCGCAAAAAATGCGATAATCTGCCTCAACCAAAATGCGACCGCAGCTTAATCCCTGCCAGAGCTGGGCAGTATTCGATTTTGTAAATACTTTTTAGTATTTAAATCCTTTAAAGTATTCAAATACTTTGTAATTAAATACTTTTATGGAAGCAGTATTTGTTTTTGTAACTCAAATACTTTTACAAATATTTAGTATTCGAATACTTCGTAAAGTATTCGAATACTTCGCAAGGTATTTGAATACTTTGAGAAGTATTCGAATACTTCGCATAGTATTTGAATACTTAACCTTCCTTTTTTACCAAAAAAACTACTCCAAAATTTCTCGGGAAAACACTTTTCCTTATTAATTTTGGTGCGTAGAATCCAAAACAATTCGTACTTTTTCGATCAGACTTCTCAATCAAAAGTTATAGACTAGAAACCAATTTCGAATAAAAATTCAAAGGGCGTAACTTTTGAACTAGTAGCCCAATCTTGGAACTGTTTGAAATTATGGATTCTACAGGCCACATTCTATAAGAAAATTTTTTTTTCCGGGTCGATCTGAGACAATTTTTTTGTCGGGCCTCAAAAAAGGCAGTGTACAACCTTCCTTTTTTACCAAAAATCGACTGCACCAAAATTTCTCGGGAAAACACTTTTTCTTATTAATTTTTGTGCGTAGAATCCAAAACAATTCGTACTTTTTCGATCAGACTTCTCAATCAAAAGTTATAGACTAGAAACCAATTTCGAAAGAAAATTCAAAGGGCAGTAACTTTTGAACTAGTAGCCCAATCTTGGAACTGTTTGAAATTGTGGATTTTACAGGCCACATTCTATAAGAAATTTTTTTTTCCGGGTCGATCTGAGACAATTTTTTTTTCAGCCTCAAAAAAATGCAGTGTATAACCTTCCTTTTTTACCAAAAATCGACTACACCAAAATTTCTCGGGAAAACACTTTTTCTTATTAATTTTGGTGCGTAGAAACCAAAACAATTCGTACTTTTTCGATCAGACTTCTCAATCAAAAGTTATAGACTAGAAACCAATTTCGAAAGAAAATTCAAAGGGCTGTAACTTTTGATCTACTAGCCCAATCTTGGAACTGTCTGAAATTATGGATTCTACAGGCCACATTCTATAAGAAAAAATTTTTTCCGGGTCTATCTGAGACAATTTTTTTGCCTCAAATAAAGGCAGTGTATAACCTTCCTTTTTTACCAAAAATTGACTACACTAAAATTTCTCGGGAAAACACTTTTTCTTATTAATTTTGGTGCGTAGAATCCAAAACAATTCGTACGTTTTCGATTAGACCTCTCAATAACAAGTTATGGACAAAAAACAAATTTCGAAAAAAAATTTAAAGGGCTGTAACTTTTGATCTAGTAGCCCAATCTTCAAACTGTTTGAAATTATGGACTCTCGATCGATCTCGATCTCAGACAATTTTTTTTTCTGGCCTCAAAAAAAGGCAGTACTTTTAAGTTATTCAAATATTTGAGAAGAATTTAGAAATGTTTAGGGAAAGTTTCCATTGTCACAAAATCAAATATAAAAATCCGATACATCTGAATACCGAACTCGATAGTCTACGTAACTTAAAAACAATAGGGACCTTTGCTTTCTTATATCCTTAAAACCATGTGTACCAATTTTCAAAGCGATCGCACGTTTTTAAACAAGTTATTTATTTATTATCCCTCTCTTGTTGTGGGCCCTCAACAGGCTTGCGCCCAATTACAGAGTGACCCGCATAATGCTATTTAGCTATCATGCACACGGACAAACGGATGGTCAAAAATGGATCTGTTCCAAAATCGCTAGGATTAATTTCAGAAAGGCGTACGTATAATGTGCACGACGCGACGTACGATCGCTTTGAAAACTGGTACACATATCCTCCTATATAATAATAATACGCTTTTACTCCCCTTAAATTTGTATATAACAATAGAAATATAAAAAAAGCTAACCCCATAGAAAGTATGATTTTTTAAGTAGTATTAAGCCTTTTATCTAGTATACTATTTTAAATTTTTAATCTATTTGAGTGACAAGTATTTGAATACTTACTTTTTACTGTATTCGAATACTTTTCAAAGTAAGTTAATGAAATACTTTTCAAAGTTTTCGAATACCTTTGATAGTATTAGAATACTTTTGAAAGTATTCGAATACCTTTAAAAGTATTCGAATACTTTTCAAAGTATTCGAATACTAAAAAGTATTTACAAAATCGAATACTGCCCAGCACTAAGCCATACCTATCTTTGTTCTTTGATAATAAAGTTTTCTACACAATCGCCCTCACCGTGGGCATAGAGTAAAATTATTTACTGCATGCCGTGGGACAAATTATTATAGCTCTAGCTCCTGCTGAAGAATCATGGTGTACTTGTGGTTGCCTATCGCACCGGCGTTACTACCTTCAATAATGCTTCAATTTAGGAAATGAGTATGCGTTTGGTCTGATGTTTTTAGTAATGTTTGTTTAGGTAAATAAATTTCGTCTTTCATTTTTAGCGCATTTTTTAAAAATTAATAAAAATGTTAAATGTGATATTGTTTGCGTTTTATCCGTCCG